TATTTAAACAGGTTCCCCCGGTTCAAAGAGACCAAAACACACTTTAAACATTTCATATAAAAAAAGCATGTCTAAATAAACAAAACCTAAACGCACTCTGTTTTTCTTTTTTTGGATGGTGCTCTTAAAACAAAAGTACAACGAATTAACGAAAAAAATCCGTAAAACAGAAGACTAGAAAAGGCGACCAGGGGTTCAACCCCTGGTCGTCTTTTAGTCGAAACGTTGACATACTTGTCACTGAGTGGTAACTATATTTTTATTTACGAATCTAGAACTTCTTCATGCACAATTCATTTTTTTTGAAAATATGATTGGAAAAAAGGTGACGTTATTGACGACTGTATGTCGAATGACTCTGTGAGCTTTTTTCAATACCTCTGCAAATACGCATTCATAAAAGTTATTAACACGCAATCGATATGTGCTCTTACTTGTCACTAGCGTAACTGTGAAATTTTGATTTCGTATTTCATGGAATTTTGTTGAAAACACTGCATACCACAAAGAAAATGAACTTCTTAACATGTTACTATCGTGAATTCAAACCCCTAAAGATTTTATGCTTCTTTTTACAATTTTATCGAAATTTCTAATACTTAATAATATGAAACGTTTATGAATATTTTGAACAGAAGTTTAACTTACCTTTAAGATTGGCAGGTTCCTTGAATAAATACAGATGAGAAAATTGCGAATTAATATTTTTGAAGAGCGAAAGACGATCGATATTGGATACTACTCAAGAGTGATTTCTCCAATTCTCTTATGATGTGTTTTAATATTTTGGTTTTATACCAAAGAGGTTGTATGATAGAATGGTGATACTGAAGCATGAGCGCGCGTCCCAAATAAAGCTAGAAAAAGAGCAAATTTGATAAATGAGCTTCGTCAAACACTGTCAAAAAGGGAAAAATTGAGTTCTATTCTAGGTGACATTTTAATTTAAAAGTTTATATTACAGAATGAAATTCCTGGTCCTTTTAATATCTGCGAAAAAGCAAGCCTGTGGTATATTTTTAATATTGATGAATAAGGAAAAAATTATACCCATAAGTTTCGAGTCATGAAACAGATATGACACGATATATGAAAACACTTCATTTGTTATTCCTCTAGACAAGAAACTAGATAATTTATTCCATAACAAACTTGTTTCTTGTCTTAGCTTCGCCAATGGAGCCATTTTTGGTGACCCATCCAGTTTCCTAACCCCTTCCAAAAAGGCTAACCTTAGCTGGGCTCATTTTCCCCAAGATTCGCGAGGTTTTGTTTGCGAGATATTTATTTTTAGTTGACGTTTATATTAATAAAAAAGGTGATACTACCTCTTTCATGTCGATTAAAGAAGTAAAAAATCATCGAGACGGAACTAGATTATTTATTCCACTAGAAACTTCTTTCTTCTCTCAGCTTCGAGAAAAGATTTCGAAAACTACCTCAATTAAAATCTAATGATTTGCAAGACAGGGAATACACGTCGAGAGTTATAGGCCGTGTGCAGAAAAACAAACATGTTATTGCTGTGAGATCTGAACCGCCGATCGGAAAAACATTTTCAACCCTTGATCGTAAAAGTGTGCCTGTTATACAACTGTTAATTTATTTTAAAGCATTAAGTTGGCTACTGTTCGGCATTTAAAAGTTTTCTCTCGCTGAAAGCTCAAGACGATGAAAACTCACCTGACAAAAAAATTTACACACGGGGAAGGGCTGCAGATAAATCTTCAGTGAGTACTAAATGTTTACAAATAATAAGAAATTTACTTATATGTTGGGTTTATCGTTACGCCATAAAGTTAAGACCTTTATCAATCTTACCTTGCAGCTCATTCGCAAACGGTTATGACAAAATCAGGTACCTTTGTCTCGAATTCTTCCGAAATCGATGCAACACCAAGGATACAGCGTGACCCCAACAGTTAATCTTTGATTTTCCCCTTTCCACTTGACTCGAGCGAGTTTAACCAATCAACGTTTGGACTATTGCCCGATCTATTTAGCTAATAAAGAGAGGAGAAAAGGAGATTGGGTACAAACGGCAAACTTCAGATTCAAGTTGAAAATTTTTTAAAATAGAAAACGTGCAGCTGGAAACAGTCCATAACAGTTATTATAGACAAAGCTAACCTGAAGCTACTAATATTGGGGTAGAAGTAATGAAAAGTAAGTCAGTAAGGTACAAATTCAGGGACAACTTGGTTACGTGGTACTAATTCATGTTTGCTGTTTGCTGTAGACGTGACTACTTTAGGGATTTTGATGAGACTTTTTTCAGCTAGAGGGAAACCTTAACGACTGTTTCTGAGGTGATCTTGTTTTCAGCTCGTGGACACTTAATCAGGAGTTCAGCTTTTGAAATTCTGCAACATTTTCTTTTTGGAATTTGGCGGGTTTTTTTTTTAGTACTTTTTAGGCATTTGTGGGGCAAGTTTGTTAGCAAGATTTGGATAGTGGGCCCAGAGGCTTAAAAGATCCTGGTAAATACAGGAGAGACTAAGGAGGCTGGGTCTAAGTAGCCTGTGCCAGGATTTCAGACCGTAGGGACGTTGCAAAAATAGGCCGTTTCCAAGTTCCAAAAACCCTCACTTTCAAAATGAGGCTAGGTGCACAACCTTTCTTCTGAAAATGAGTTTTATTTGCATGAGAATGAAAAATGATTTCCATATCTGAGGCTGAGCACCTACCCTCGCTTTGAAACAGAGACCTGGGGGAACTCGGAAATGGTCCATTAAACAAGCCAAGCGAAAATGAAACGGTCGGGACGGGATTTGGAGCCCCTCTCTCCCCCAGCCCCTGCGCGGTTTTTCGTATCACTCTTTTTAAAATGCACAACTGCGACACAACTGCATTGCTATCTGAGAGCCTGGAACGGGCTAGGATCTCAGTAGAGGGTCTTGGTTTGCTCATGTGTGGTTCTCATTCGCAAGTTTGACACACTAATGAGGGAGGCAAACGCAGCATTGTACAGTTGCTTATTAGAAACCGCAAGGATTCAAAATCATTCCTCTTTTCAGGAATTTTGTTCTTGCTTAAAACCGGAAACCGCATTGAATGTCAGTTCCAAGTAAATGCTGGTTATTAAAACCCACAACCGAAAACTAAAAAGAAGAAAACCGTAAAATATACAATAACATTAAGATACGCATACGCTATGACAAACTATTGGTTAAGAAATTCTTCAGGACTACCGGTAAGTATCTTTCTCCATTTAACAAATCGACAATTTTCCACGGTCTATACTCTTATCGACCATAGAAATAATAATAATAATAATAATAATAATAATAATAATAATAATAATAATAATAATAATAATAATTAATAATAATAATAATAAATAATAATAATAATAATAATAATAATAGACTTCTAGAAAAATAAGGTTCATGAAGGGTCTACCCCTTTCATTGCGGGGATTTATTTCATAGGACTCCAGTTGACATGGAAAAAATTTCCGTGGAATTATTGGACTTTGCCCTATGGAAGAGTGGGATGTTTGCTTGTCAGAACGATTACAACCAATGTGCGTGCAAGGATAATAAGATGTAAGGCTCAAATGGAGTGATTTGAGTTTTTCTCTGCTTTGCATCTTGGAGAGCACCTTTATTGCCACACCGATAATCTATCAAAGGATCTTCAGGGTACTAAGATGGCTGCTGTCAGTGGACAACGCCTGGCAAATCTAACAAAGGGGACGCTCACAAAAATTTGCATTGATCAAAGCTTCGACCATTTCTATGCTAATGTTGCCCGCAAGAGTGAAGGCCTGCTTGGCGAACCAACGCTTCCAAGAAAACGACACACTCCGGCCAGACTGAAGGTTGGTGCTGGTGCACCAAACTATCCCCAAACTGCTAAAGATCACATTGTACGGGCCTATTATGAGGCTATTGATCTTATCGTCAGGGCTATCTATCAACGCGTTAATCAGGAAAGCTTCAGCTCTTAAGTACAGATGGAGACCCTTTTGCTTAAAGCTGCTATAGATAATGGTGACGACTATGAGGCAGAGTTCAGTTTATGAACCATTATACAGGGAAGATGTTGCGATACAGGGGCGCTACCTAGGCAACTAAGTACTTAATGGAAGAAGGAGAAGATATCATGTTTTGACGAAATCCTGTTGGCGGTGTTAAAGTTTCCAGAACCAGAAAAGAAGCTAATCCAGGAAGTCAGTTAAACTATCTGTAAGCCGCTTGCTGTAAATCCTATTACCAGCGCTGCTGGCGAGAGTTCATTTTCATCCGTATGTACGGCGTCTGAAGACGTGGCGTCCATCCAGGATGAGTGATGAGAGGTTTGGCAACCTAGTAGTAACGTTGAATAGTTACAAGCTGAGAACAGACAGTGTCTCTATAGCTAACGTCGCACAGGAGTTTGTTTCCAGCAATGAGGACCGCAAGAGAAATTTCGGCACTGCTGACAACTTCAAAGTAGCAATTTTAGGAAGGTTTATTCAACATATTCGCTATACTGGATACTATAACACGTGACGACGTTTATATTATATTTGGTGAGGCTGTAAATAAGATGGCGCGCAAATGCTAGACTGCGAGCAGTCTATCTGTTTCTTCAGATTTCAAGGGGGAGTGCACGCGCCTGTGAGCGTGTCTCGGGCGTTTTGCTCGACGGACCAAGAGAAAAGAGAGACTGCTCGTAGTCTACGCAAATGCAAGATAAATGGCGAAACACTGAACTTAATGTTTCTTTGTATTGGCAACAATTTTTAGCCCTACCACTTTAAAATGGTCTCCGCGGTCCCTGCTCTATCAGAGTTAAGAGATGTGGACAGAGCAGCTCGGAAGATCATAGTTGAGAACGGTGGCAAGCACCCAGCTAGCCTGACGTCTTTGTTATATCTACCGAGGGAGAAAGGGGGTAGAGGCCTGCGATCAGTCGAACACGAGTACAAGATCACTAAAATCAAATCGCTACTGAAATTGTATCAGAACCCGGACCAGACTGTGGAAGCAGTTAGAGAATTTGAAGAACACTCCATGGCACCAGGCCACCAGTCGCTCGTAAAGGAAGCAGCTAAGTACGCTGAAGAAGTCAACATCACACTTCAGCTTGATACCCTAAATCCCGTGTGTGTTACAACAGAAGGAAAGGTGGTAACTGCAGCAAGAGCTGGGAGTCTGTTGAAGCAATCTCAAGAGAAGCAGTTCTTGGAGATCGCCAAAGACAAAAAGTGGCAAGGAAAGTTATTCCGTATCAGATGGGAAGATGAGAGCCTAAGCATAACCAGCTGCTTTGCATGGTTAAAAGGTTGGGCTACATGCCCTACACATACCAACGCGGACATGTATGAATTGTATGAGCAGTTGTTACCTACGAAGCTCTACACAAAGGAGAAGACGCAAACCTCCACCGACGGCGAAGTTCTATGCAGGTTATGTGGGAAGGGAGCTGAGAGCGTTGCACATGTATTGGCTGGATGTTCCTCCCTGGCACAAACCAAGTACCTATACAGGCATAATGCAGCTTTGAAGATTCTGTTTTTTGAGCTCCTACGAGAGCATGGGTTAATGGAAGAGGTTCCACCATGGTACTCACCGGTGATGCCAAAACCAGCCTACCAGAACAGCACGAGTGAGGCGTTTTGGGATATTCCCACCTATGCAGAGCACAACGAAGTTAGAGCAAATCGGATCGACGCACGACTTGTCAACCACGACAGGAAAGAAGTCTGCACAATAGGACAATTGCACGATGACGTCATTTTACTACAACTACCAGAATCCTTGAGTTTGTTGTTTTCTTGTGCAAATTAAGGCTATTGTTCTTTAATCCTCAGTGGGATTGACAAATTTAAATAACAAAGCAAAACCGAATTGAATTCTGGTAGTTGTAGTCAAATGTCGTCATCGTGCAATTGTTCTATTGAAATGAGCTGCCCATGGATTGAGAGTAGAGCTAAGAAAGATGAGGAAAAGACACTCAAGTATGGGCCCATGATGTGGGAGCTGAAGCAGAGATACAATGGTTACAGGGTTGAACGGTACAACGTAATAATTGACGTACTGGGGGGTTACTCTAAACACCTAGAGAAGTCGGTGAGAAAGCTACTTGGAGCGAGAGCACGGAGCGTACTTGAGCAGATGCAGAAGTCGGTCATCTCAAACACTTTAAACATTGCCAGAACATTTAAGATAAATACTTAGTTAGGGCGCTATGGACTTCAGTTTTTAGGTTTTTGTTTTTTCTCTAGAAATCTAGAAACACAAGCTTGCTGACGTTTTTACTTAGTTTTTTTAGAACATTAGAGTGTGATATTATTATAAATATGTTTTTAGTAGAGATAGCGAAGGTTTTACAGAGTATCAGAATTTAATAATATTCTAAATTGGCTTTTTAAGTAGAGAGATTTATATCACTATGTATAAGCTTTTAGTAGAGATAGCGAAGGTTTTACAGAGTATCAGAATTTAATAATATTCTAAATTGGCTTTTTAAGTAGAGAGATTCATATCACTATGTATTTTAGGATTGTATTAGGTTTCGTATCGACCTTTTTTTACTTCTAAGTATAGCTTCTCAAGTGGTGTAGGTTACGCTATGCGCCCTATACTACTCATAATGTGGACAGCATTCCAAAGTTTCATACTGCGACATAATAATAATAAATATGAAACTTATATTGCGCATGTTCAATAGAAATATTTTCATATGTGCAGTACAAACGATAAGATAAGAATAAGTCAATAAAAGGCTATATTAAAAAATAAATAAATAAGTCAGTTAAAAGCCGTCTTAAAAAAGTACGTTTTGGGAGCTCTCTTAAAAGATGTAAGGCTCTAAATGTTTTTTATCTCCGCTGGAAAAAATGACGTCTAAATGTTGAAAACTCAAGTGGAACCAAGAGCTGCAGGCAAATGAATTCAAATGTAATCTTTTAATGATAAGGTAAAAAGTAGCTAACCACTTCTGAACAAGACAAACTAGGGGAACCCCCCCCTACCCAGATGAGCTGAAGGAATCCCTATAGCAAAGGCGGAACATTTTACAACTATATACAATCCTGGTTCCCCTACAAATATGATCCCTGCTAATTTACACACGTCTCTTCTTCTCATCAGTCAGCCCTTTTTTGTTCTCTGACATCAACGTTACTGTAATTTCTTGATATATTTTAGAATTATGTCGCAATCCGTCACTTTAGAAACAGTGGAGGGTCTTGTTTCGCTCATGTGTTTCTCATTTGCAAGTTCGACACACCAATGAGGGAGGCAGGTGGAGCAATGTGCAGTGGTTTATTAGAAACCACAAGGACTGGTTTTTATGCTACAAAGAGGAAAACCGCGAAATATACAATAAGATAAAGAAGCACATACATGATGACCAACTATTAGCTAGGAAATTCATCAGGACTACCGGAAGGTATCTTTATCCATTTAACAAATCGACATCCATGGTCTGTACTCCTATCGACTATAGAAATGACGTCAAAATGTTCAATACTCAAGTGGAACCAAATGAATTGAAATGTATTCTTTTAATGATAAGATAAAATGTAGCTAACCACTTCTGGACAAGGCAAACTAGGGGAACCCCCCCGCCCTCCCCCACCGCTACCCAAATGGGTTGAAGGAATCCTTGTAGTAAAGGTGGAGCATTTTACAACTATATACAATCCTGGTTCCCCTACAAAAATAATCCCTACTAATTTACACGCGGCTCATTTTTTCAACGGTCAGCCCTCTTTTTATGCTCTGACATCAATATTACTGTAATTTCTTGATATATTTTAGAATTGTGTCGCAATTCGCCACTTTAATAGGAAACTGGGGCGAGTTAACTTCTAAAGACTTCTGGGAAGGTGACTGGGGGTAGTAGACCGGCACGTCCCCAATAACGATCCCAGACTCCTTTGCGAAAGTTAACTCGGCTCAGTTTCTTTCTCGTTTCTAGAGTGGCGTTCGCAAAGACTTCTGGGACGGTGACTGGGGACAGTGGAAAAATTGGCCAATAGGTGACCGGCGCGTCCCCAGTAACGAACCCAGAAGCCTTTGCGAAAGTTAACTTGGCCCCAAACCCTTTTGGCGTAATAGTCCAAATAAATAGTGGAATTCTTTTTAACACTGGACTGGTATGGCTCTCCAGTTCCGAAAGCTGGCAAGCAACCTCAGCGTTTATTTGATAAAAAAAAAAAGTTGAACCCTTTGCCTGAGCCAACTGCGCTCGCACGTACTCTGATTGATTCGCCTTGACCGAGTTATATGGAGAAAAGTTGGTGCCGCTAAGAAGGGCGACGCTACCATGGAAAAAGGGTTACCCGGCAAGGCGGATCACCATTCTAGCCGAGACAAATTTTCATGTAAATGGTTCGCCAAGTTTGGTAGGAAAAATGAAGAAAAGTTGATCCGCCCAGGGTAGCAAGGGGACAAGTTTTCTCCCCATAAATGGGGCATAAGTTACCTTAAATGTATCTATTGAGGACTAGTAAGGGTGTGGCCTGTGTACAGACCCCGCTTCCCCTCAGGAAAAGTCGGAGAAGGGGCGTCTGCGATTCACCGTCGCTAATCGTGTATGGGAACAATTTTGCGATTTTTCCTGAGGGAGGGGGGGGAGAGGGTCTGTACACAGGCTAGAAAGGGTGGGGTGGGAGAAGGGTATTTATTTTTAAGAATTCTACAGGGGAGACGGTTAAATAGAAAGGGGGAAACGTTTTCAATCTTCACTTAGACGAAAGGAATAGCAAGTAAAAAATCATCATTATTAATACAGTACTGAAATCTAAACCTCAGTAGAGCACTCTAACTGTCCCATATGAAATAATAAGTTGGAAATTTTGACATTAAAACTTTAATGCTATTGTATTCCGACCTTAGACAGTGTCTCATGGGGAAAAGAGGGAGCTTATCAAGATTTTTAGAGGACGTATACGGATATTTTACATGAGCAGCAAGCTCGGCGATCTTCGCGCTGAATGATCAGTGGCAGCAGATGAGGAGGATCATCAGGTGGGCCTTTGCCTTTCCCAATCCAATACCGACGTTCTAGTAAAGTATAAAGGTTATTTAAGATAGAGTATTGGTTATGAGAGCTTATCTGATAAAAACAAGTAATAAAAATCATCCATTGTTGTCAAAGGATGGGAATACAGTTCCGATAGAAATCTGAGGTGTGATTTCAATATCTGGAGAACTAGGCTGCGACATAAAGAAGAAGATTTGACAATGATTTTAAAGGGGCATATGTCACAAGTATTTTTTACCAGGTGTTTTTTGGGCGAGGGGAAGAGCAGATAGAAGCAAAAAGGGGGACAGTAAAGAGAGAGAAACTTTACCTATCTATCTAAATTTGATTTGTGTCAGGCCTTCCTTCTTCCCTTCCCCCTCCCCTCCTTCAAAATCTCCTCTCTCCTAAACCCTAAGGAAGGCATGAAATCAGGCTATCAAATTGAGTGAATAGCGTTTCTCAGTGTTGCGAAAATTGATGCTGGTTAGCCTTCTTGTGTGGGTATTGTTCAGCATTTTTCAATCTATTCTTGTATTAGGTCATTTGGTGATCGCAACAAGAAAACGCTTTACAAATCTTTCGCATTAACGTAAGATTGGGGGAACTTCCCATCTACCCCACCTACCCCTCCCCTAACCCTACATTTTGCCCAAAGTGAAAGGTTACTGTTAACGTTTGGACAGGGGAGGGGTCAGTCTCCTTCGCAGCCGCTCGGCCCGGAGTAACGCAATGCTCCCCGCCCCCACACTGTGGGGTATGTGAACAGTTTCCTAGACTCGTTAACTGACTCACGCTTTTCAAAACGGCCCTTATCTGACCGGCTGTTTGTAGGTGGCGCTTTCTAATCTGCACAAGTGAATATTTCTTTATCTGGTAAAAAAATGATGTAGGAGAGATGAGAGCATAAGATTCCCTCCCTAAAAATTATGGGATAAAGTCTTTTTATCCAAATATATTTACAACGTACACTAAACCCTAAACTATGCTTAGCATTAACCGATCAATATATTACTGTACTAAGATAATATAAAATACATTCGCAAATTCCATGTCTGTTTGCATTGGCGTTCTATGCATGGTGTGACGTCATCTTAGTCGCTTCTTCTTGGTTTTGGATCTTGCCCCTAAAGCAAAAACGAAAACAAAAAGCAAAAAGCTTAAAAAAAAAATAGCGAAAGGATACGAAGCTTCAAAGTGATCTTCAAGTTTCATAATAACGGTCAAAATCCCGTGAATGTTATAGGTAAACAGTCCTTTGTAAGTTGCTTATTCTTACTTCCAAATACTTCAGACCTTCCTCATTACTTAGTTTAAACTTATACTTCGGAAAATAGCAAGCAGCAAAACTGAAGAGAAATCGCTATCTAGAAAAGCAAATAGCACACTGTGAAAGTACTGCTATGGACGTCATATCATATCCACGGAAGCAAAAATTCAAATCACATTTTACAGAATAATAAACAGTACCACAGGAGAGTACTGCTCAGTAGCTTTCATTTGAATTGTCACACTTAAGGATTTCATCCACATACTCAAAAGTTAGAACAACCTTGTACCGCATAAAAACAGTAACACAGGAAAGTACTGCTGGCAGTAACTTTCATTTGAATGGTCAAACTATAAGATTTCATCCAATGACATAAAGTTAATTTTGGAAATAATTCACTACTGTTTTAAATTTACATCCCCACCTTGTCTTCCTCTAAGGCGTTCTCTCTAAAATATCAAAAGAAGAAATAAAGACAAGGTATAAGAAAAGGAGTTTTAGTATTAATAAGATCCCTCCCCCTTCAATTAAGCCACTCCTTTTGAAAAGTTACAATTTATTGAAACCCTCTTTCTCTCTTATATGCTCCTTTCTCTAATGGAAGAGAGAGTTGAAAAACAATCTGAACAATCCCTACTACGAAAAAAAAAAAAGAAAAAGAAAACAAAAGAAAAACAACATTAACAACAACAACAACAAAAGCTTAGCGAGGGTTTGTATGGGAAAAAGAGTTGACCCCTTTGCCCGAGCCAAAAGCGCTCGTGCAAGCTCTGATTGGCTAAACGAATGCTCGCGCATACTCTCATTGGCTCGTCTTGACCGAGTTGACCCTGCTGGTGGAGCTAAAGTGTTTACACAAAGAAACGTTGCCGGTTAGGAGGGGTGACCCTACCATCTTAAAAGGGTCACCGTTCTAGACGAGCCACCTTTTTGCTTCTCATATAAACGGTTCTCCACGATTTGTAAGGAAACGTATCAAAAGTTGGCTCGCTCAGAGTAGCTCGGGTAGGCGAGTGACACTTCCACTCGGGACAAACATATAAACGGGTCTATCTTTCATAAATAACCATCAATCCACAAATAAAAGAGTGCTGAGTTCCTCGCTTCGAACAACACTTACCATATCTAGAGCTTCCAAAGCCTCGCTGATTGCTTGTTCTAAGCTAATCCTTGCTTTCTTGGCTCTAACACAAAGTAAGCTTTTGTTAGAATGGTGTGCAATTTAACTATATGTTTAATCTGGTTTTGCTCTAACGTAGCCTGCGCGCTTGGAAGTAAGAGGACAAGAAGACTTATTTCACTCAGCTTCGTTTACATGTGACACAGATTAAAAAAAGAGAGACAAATAAATACATTTAGATAAGTAAAGAATAAAACTTTTATCTCTAAATAAGGAGTGAGTTTCCAAATAGCAGAGGCTAATCTGGTGGATGACCCCAAAAGTACAATTACACACAAAGTAATAGGCTAGCTCTAACGTGACGTCTGGTTAAAACTTCAAGAGCCACGCTTTCTTAAAGGGCGGTACACACAAGGCGACGAGTTGCAGTAATACGTGGCGGTGATAAATCACACCTTGTGCACAGGTCGGGGGACTAGTTGCGGCAACACGTTCCGGCGACACGTCGCAGCGACAAACAGATTGGAGAACTTGTGAATTCTTGGTCTCCCCAACAGAATTTTGTCACCCTGAAAAGCCGCACAAATTCAGTCTAATTTGATTTTTTGCGACTTGTTGCGATGACAAAATCCTGTTGCGAAAACAAAGATTAGTTTTCACAGAAATTTTCCAGTATACATATCCTCAGTATCGAGCAATCTCGACTCCCCTGGCCTAAATGAAGGCCTGATACTTAGGGCCTGTTTACAGGGAGGCGGGGGACTCCAGGTAGGTGAGATAACTCGCTTAGGTGGGGTGACCCGCCTGTCCATATAATCTATCATTTTACTATGACCACGTTTACATGATAGGTGGGGTGAACCTTCAAGGCGGGGGTCAGCTGGGGTCAAATTTTGCCATGTAACCGTTTTAAGGTGGGGTAACCCGTCTAGCCGGGGTTGGATTCGTGACAAATCAAATTCGCGCAAAATACACTTTGGCGGTGGCTTTGCATAACTATTAAAGATAACAATAGAAAAACACAGCACTGAAGGTTGCAGCAAGAGCAGCAAGAGAGTGTTGAAGAGCATTAATCGCCAAAACACGTGATTTTCCAACGTTTTTCTTGTTTACGTGCTTAGCAACCATTCAATAATCTTGAAAAAGTGCACCCCGGGATGGCAGGGTTGTAACATTTTTTTAACCCACCTAAGCAGGTTACCCCACCTACCTGGGGTTCCCCACCTCCATGTAAACAGGCCCTTGGGCACGTGTCGCCTCAATTAGTCGAAAAAAAATCAGGTCAGATTGAGTTTGTGCAACTTGCTGCGGAGACAAAATTCTATCGCGGAAACAAAAATTTTCATAAAAATGCTGCAGTAAACTCAAAGCGATTTGTGTCTGCAACCTGTCCCGCAACTTGTCACCCGACCTGTAAACAAGGAGTGATTTGCTGCCGCGACGTTTTGCAGCGACATCTCGCTTAGTGTGTTTGGATCTAAACAATCAACAACAACGGTAAGATTTCCCGCCCTGGGGAACTGTCAGGTACCCCCGTGCTTCGTTCACTGGGCAAAGAGTCATGTTGAGCGCTCCTGTGCTAAGCAACAGTTGTGGGTTTTGCCGCGCTATTCCGACGCATTCGGTGCTATTAAGCAAAGGATATACGCTTTGCCGTGCTTTACACCCGTTGTATTTTCTTGTCTATAATCTTAAGAAATATAAAAAAAAATATCATATCTGTACCTGTATTTCTTCTTGCGAGATTTATCATCTAAAGTTCTCAGTCCGTCAGAAAGCGTTTTGAGTCTGTCTACTTCTACTTGGCTATATGTATTCTCACCAAACCACATGACCCAGCGCTGGAATTAAAAGTTAGAAAAAAAAAGTGAAGGAACACGTCGCGATAACAATAATACAATAAACGTGATTAAGTCTCCCAACAGGGATCTTCTGTTGATAAACAACATCTCTACTCGTACAGAACAACATATTTAATGACTCGTATAATATCATATATAATTTTTTATGCATTATGTCATATGTTTTTAGGGAAGAGACGACGATATGTCGGGTGCTGTTATCGATCAGGGTATCAGAGCAACGAGAAACTGTCGGTACTTGTCTTCTTTTATTAAAAAAAAAAAGGAAAAACACATTCGCGACTCCAAGTCTCGACGGCATGACGTCTAGCCAGCCTGCGAGCAGTCTCTTAGTTTTCTTTTATTTCTGCTTTCACTCCCCGCGCGTGGCCTGAGGAAAAAGGACGTCCGCTCACGGTTTAGCGCAGGTCTAAAACCGAACTGACCGATGGTAGGGTGGCAAATTGAGTACGGCGCGCTTTCCCGTTTCCTCTGACGTTGCATTGTCTTTTCCCAAATCTACCTACTGTTGCTTGCCCGACGAGGTAAAATGTGTTGTTTAATACCTTTCCATCGTCCGGTCTTCCTTTTCCAACTTCACTAGCATCCACCACCTTTCCAGGCCAAGAGGGTAGGCCACGAGCCTGCGCCCAGACAATGTCACCGATCTCAAACTGCGGCTTAACGTTCGGCACTCGAGGCTTATCCAGATGTTCGTCAGCTGTGCTGGGTGATATGGAATTTGTCTTCACTGGGAGATAACGTTCCTGGTTGACCACCGCCATAGAGAAGTTTTCTACAAAAGCAATGTTAATTTCCCGCTTAAGGTGGATTCCCACTGTCGCGTAATTTTTACATGTGTACGCACGTAAGTTTTACGCGCGCGTAAATAAAATTGAGGCAATGTACGAATTTTCGCGCGTATAGGTAAAAGTTGAGGAGTTTATACTTTAACGTTTACGCTCAACCTTTCATAAATTAGAGAGATTTAAAGCCACGTTCGCGGCAAACGGCAAACGTGAATTTGTACCAGGTGAACAAGTTTTCCCTTAACTTGTACTTCACTGTTCATTACTTCTACCCCAAAATTAGCAGCCCCAATGTATTTTTGTCTATACCAATTGTTTTGGACTGTTTTAGGCTGCACGTTTTCTATTTTGAGAATTTTTCCTAACTTGAATCTGACGCGTTGTCGTAAACGTCACTCTAAATTTCTCTATTGCTTCTATCTTATTTACGCAAATAATTTTTACGCGCATCAGCAAGTAAGAAAAAAAAAGGCGCCAGTGGAAATCCACCCTTAGTTATGCAATCTTGTTACATAATAGTGAGCTTTAGCGGAGAAGTTTTTCAGGTATTTTCCATTTTTGGACGGTGGTTTTGCCAAAATTTTAAACAAATCGTCTCTGTAATAGTAAAGACACTTAGAAATACACGTTTGGGTGCGTCAAGGTGCTTTAAAATGAAAAAGGCTCACTTCCGGTCAAAAGCGCCTTTCCTTAAGCTCCCTAATGTCGGCAGCAAGTTTTAAGTTGTGTGAACACTTCCGAGACCGCGCCACTTTCAGCGTATGCAGTCACTTCATTTTCGTGAGCTCACTCATGTCGATACCATGGTTACCAGTGTTTTTTTCTTTTCTCCCGTGCGACGGAGATGCTTCGGGTAAGGCCGCATGCCAACGCGTCTTTGGCCGAAGGCCACAGCTCGACTTGACCGGGACCGGAAACTGCGCATAAGTCTCTGGCACCCACGGTAACTTGTCGATTGGTAACCTTTCGATCACATTTTGGGGGGATAACAACTTTTTTTTTGCGTCATTCTTAAAGACATCGTCAATGTATCCCGTACACTTCACATTTCCCTCAATTGTATGCCTGTGATATTAAAAGATTTTAGCGTTTCCATGGGGAATTAAGCATTTCTAGCTTCAAGGATAAAACGGGAAGTTTTCGAAAATACTCAGAGACGCTTCTGGACGTTCCTAGAGCTTTGTTTTTGATAGAAGCTCAAAAAACATCGATAAAGGAGGGAAGGAAAAAACAACTTTGCGTTAACTTCAAAATTTCTAGTCAAAGCGGTTGATACTCGTAGTCACATGATCAACCTAACGGGTGAAAAAGAAAGAAACTATTCCCTTTGAAGGGCACTTACCATCGACTTGGGAAAACTGGAAATTCCAGTTGAAAAATCAAATGGTTGGCGCCATTAGGTATGGGAACGGACTGTGATTAGAGACCATACAATTTTGCCACTTTTTTTAGTCTGTTGAACTGTTTTGGACATACTTTGTAGTGGTTCGTTCTCTTACCACGTCAATTTTATAGTTTTCTGTTTATGAACAAGATTTCGCTTTCCATTTCCAGGTTGGTTTGTGTAAACGGTAAGCGCCATTGTAATCAATTTAGGTTTCTGGAAAACTGCCCACCTACCCCTCCCCTAAGCTAATGTTAACACTTACTTTTCGCTTTGGGCAAAATGATGGCTTAAGGGAGGGGTAGGTGAGCAGTTTCCCAGAAACCTAAATTGAACCCACTATTAGGCTGATTTAGCAACAGAACCGGAACTCCAGTTGACGACGGGAAAGCGCGCGGAAAGGACTAAACGCTACTTCCGGTTCCGTATTTGCCGCTCTGCGATTGGTCAAGCCAGTTGGTTGATTTGCGTGCGCAGTCGTCAACTGACGTTCCCGTTCTGTTGCTAAATCAGCCTATTGACAAATACAGCTACTGGGATAAATTGCTCTTCACAAATAACAAAAAAAAGTGGTTGGAGATAAATTGACGAAATATAACGATGAAAGTGCTTTACAGTTCATTAAACCCATCGACATTTGATGGGCGTTGGGAAGGTAACAACCGGTTTCGCTACATGTCAAATTCGCTTCGTCCTACTTCGCAGCAAATTCGCTACATATTACTTCCTGTAAACCACTGAAAATATTCCCTTCATTCCTCTAGGAAAAAAAAATTAATTTCTGAGTTCCAAAACCCTAACAATTTTCAGCTTTTTAGCCACTAATTGTTATGTCCGTTGAGCTTTAATTCTTTTGTGTTCCCTCGTTACCAACTTGCAGAGTGCCAAATTTTAAGCAAGGGCAATCTTTTCACCTCACAGAGATAAGATACCAGTTTCTTACCAAGCAGTCCTTGATTTTCATTGGCTGAGACATCTCCGTTATAAGTCGAGTGAGTCTGGTGCTTATCGCTTATTGGCTTCATCCCAGCTGAATTTGATTGGTCTTCTCCAGAGTTAGATTTTCCTGAAAATGTGCAAGTTGCGCCCAACGTTTAACCCTTTAAGCCCCAATATCCACATACAAATTCTCCAAACTGATCTCCATACATTTCCTTCATAAATGAGTTGAGAGAATTTGATAAAAGATCAAAGCATTTTCTCTTAGGTGATCATTTTGTTAATTCTCATAACCTAATCTCTTGACATTGTATGGATATTGTTAGGAGAAAATTGATGTTGGTCACTATTGGGACTTAAAGGGTTAAGTAGTTAAAGCTACTGGATCTTAATATAAAATACAAGAAGGAGACCAATTTAATGACATCTATGGAGCAGTGCGTTTAGTAAAGCTATCCACACAAGCTTTCTGTGATGCAGCGATAAGTAAATGTTTGTGGATGATATCCTAAAGTGTGACCATTCAAATGAAAGCTACTGAGCAGTACGTTCCTGTGGCACTGTTTATTAAGCTGTACAAGGTGGTTCTAACTTTTGAGTCTGTGGATGAAATCCTAAAGTGTGACCATTCAAATGAAAGCTACCGAGCAGTACGTTCCTGTGGTACTGTTTATTACGCTGTACAAGGTGGTTCTAACTTTTGAGTCTGTGGATGAAATCCTAAAGTGTGACCATTCAAGTCAAACTTCTGAGCAGTACTTTTTATCTTCTTTTATACTGTTAATGAAGTTTCTTACTTTCGAGATCCTCAAGTTTGGCAAACGACGCAAGTCTCCGGGTGGTAGTATTTCATAGTATGCGATTTTTTGATTGCATTAAAGTTGAACTTGAACTTGAAATCTAAAGGGGGTCATCAAAATTCTCTCTTACCTCTTCTGCATTCATCATCGTGATCACAGTTGTTATAGTTGCTACCCGTTTTTCTGTTTGCATTTTCTTCCCCTGTTTGATGGTTTACAGGGGAAGATCGCTCGTTTTTTGGAACCGCAGAATCCTCTTCATCGTCATCATCCTCGTCGTCATCATCGCCCCCGTGGTCCTCCTTACGCTCTGGACTGCAATAGGCTTCTATGGCCTCACAAGACCTCTTGAGCCCCAGAAGGGGATTAGCTTCGTAATACGCCGTTTCATCAAATTTTGACTTTTTGGCTGGATCGTTACTTTCACTGTAAGGTCGTTTCAGGGTACACGACATTTCAGAAGATGGAGTGTTTGATGGTGGATGGCATTCTGAAGTATTCGTTGTTTGAATTCCAGAGGGTAATGCCTCCACGCTGCTCCTATTACTCACAAGTGGCGAGTCTGATATTGGAGATCCTCGGCAGCCAGAGGGCGACTGATTGAGCGGGGGTAATGGCGAATTTAATGGCGATGACACGCCTGGGTGCCTAGGTGACTGAATGCAGTTTGAACTAGATGTTCTTGATGTTATTCCTGACGAATTTGACTCTGCACAGCTGGTTTTGCTAGTTGTGAGAGATACCGAGGTTCCTGAATTTGTAGCACTACAGCTATTGCTGTTGCTGTTGCTACCGCTGTTACTAAGGCTACTGCTGCTGCTGCTGGTGCTCAGGCTACTACTGCTACGGATGCTGCTGTTATCTGGAGTGCTGCACCTTCTTTGACTGGTTGCTGCCGCAGATGTACTTTTGGCTCCACTACACCACGATGGCACCGAGCCGTGAGTGACCCCTGATGCATCCAGTCGTTGACTATTGTGACTTGCACTGGATCGACTTGAGGGTGGCGAAAAGGCACTATCAGGGTGGGCCTTCGAAGTGCTCTGGGAGTGACCCGCCACACTGGGATTGGTCCCAAATGGTACTAGCATCGGAACATAACCCTGAACAGTCCCTCCTCCCTGGGAATCGACATTTGTCCCAGAGCTATGCTGATGGGTTGTGGTGACTGAAGAAACGAGACTACTAGACGTTGATGTCGTAGATGACGTGGAAGAAGGATTTGAACTCGTACCAGGATTCGCGAAGTTTACAGAGAATGGGAAACGAGGGCTGCCGATTTGGCCAAATGCAACATAAGGCATAGCAGCCACGACAGCTGTCTGAGGATGCGTGTTTGCCGATCCAATGTTACTTATCGTCGATGCTTGAGAAGCGTATGAACTTGGTTTTACTGTATTGATTGGATACTTAACAGAGTAGTCGGCAATGTTTAACAAAGCTGGCCCTAACTGACCGTTTCCGCTGGCTTGAGAGTGCAAGGAGCTCATTGGAACCATCCGTTGGGCAGCAAACTGCACTGGAGTGCCTCCTTGAACAGCCCCTCTTGGTAAAAACTGCGTGTAAGCACTCGCCAAATGTGCCAAAGTCTGGGAAAATCTCGGAGATGCAGCTGGCGCGATGGGTACAAATGACTCATACGCGGCTGCGATTGCTGCATTTTGATTACCGTAGGGGTACGACGCGACTGGCGCAGCTGTTGCTGATGGAGATGTTGCTGTCGTCGGTACAGACTGGGCTGCCTGGTTAGCCTGTGTTATTGCCGTAGGCATCACAATACCCAGCATGTAGGGGTTTGTTGGATACAAGGCGGTTCCAGGAGCATTTGATGACACAGGCTTGCCAGCATTAGTTGTAGCCAGAAACGTTGCGGGGATGGCACCTTGATAAAGTGCACCGTGAAGTTGATATGGCCCTTTTAACTGGCTAGAATCCACATTCATCTGCAATACTTGGCCTCCATTCCCTTGGAAGAACACGCCACCCTGTCCCTGAGAAGACGCAAGCTGCAATGACGGAATTTGTGAAGCCACAGATGTATTTGGCACTTGCCCATAAACATTAGCTGACGATGGTGGTATATGAGCTGTAGCCTGAGCCATGATGGATGTCTGGACAATTGGTGGCTGGCTAGTGCTGCTGGAAATGGAAGTTGGGCTATAAAAACTGCTCCCCGCGTTCACAAGTGGATATCCTGTCCCTGCTGATTGCGACCTGTTAGATGGACCATGTTGAGGGACAGCTGGTGGAACATGAATTGGGGCAACACCTTGTACCACTGCTGTCGCAACTTTGGCCATTTCTTTGGAAGCCACAGTCTTGCTTCGAGAGGAAGCGGCTGCCTGTTGCGAAGTCTTTGAGCTGTGGCTTGTTACTGCGTGACCCGTTCCAGACGTGGAAGTGTTTGTGCTTGGAGATGAAACAACACGATTTACTGGACCCTGGTCCTTTTTGATTGCATCTTTCAGGACACTATGAAACAATGCTGGAACAACTGTAGTGCTCGGTGAACATGTAGGTGTCGATAGCTTACCAACAATTTTAGTTGTAGTTGACTCCACGGACGAAACAGTGGCAGTACTAGCCACAGCTTGCAGTCTCTGAGAAGTGTTAATAAATCCTGTCTTTGCTACCCCTGACGGCATAGATGATTTTGAAGCAGCAGCTGCTTTGAGAGTTGCTGCAACTGTTTTCCTGCCGCTGTAAGATTTTGCTGGCTTGTTGCCACGAGGAGCAGCAAGCTTAGGAGTTGATTTGACATCAGGAAACTTGTTGGCATTGCTGACCGGTCTCGCACCTTGTTCAGTGGCTGGTATAGGCGTGCTGCTTGTTGTTACAACCACTGTTAAAGAACTTGACACAACTGTCGCCTTACTTGGGGCCTTGCCGCTTGGTGCCACCACTGTCAATGAACTGCTTCTTGCACCAGAGCTTGGTGAAACAGAAGACTTCACCAAGGTAGCCTCTGATGGCTTTTTGGCAGGTAACTGCGCTGTTACCACCAAAGTGTTTTGAGAACCAACAGTCTCAGTCCCAGAACCTGATGATTTCGAAGCCTGCATGGTGGCCATGCCTGTTGATCCTGCTACTACTGGGATGGTGAAAGAAGAACTAGTTGCCACACTGCTTACTACCACACTTGGTTTTGATGACTGGAGGGATGCTGCTGTTAATGGTGTACTACTTGCAGCACTTGTCACAGCGGTGCTAGCTGTACCCAACACGGAACTACCCAGGCCCAATGTTCCAGCGCTGGGGTTGAAGAGTTTAGAACTGCTCACTATTGTTGCAAAGCTGGGAAGAGGTCCTTGCTCAACAGTAATGTTGGTCGGTACACTTTGGACAGGACTGTTGAGCACGGAACTTGGAACAGGCAAGGGAATGTTGTGCAGAGGTGATGTAGGTCGATCAAGGTCTGATTTAGAAACAGCAACCCTCCTTGGCTTTGACAAAGCATTTCGAGGTCTCCCTGGGCCTGAAAAGTAACAAACCACCATTAAAAACTTTGTAGGCGAAATTTGGGTACGTGGGTAACATGCAATGTTAACATCCAATGTTTTAACTTTTACCATTCAGTTGAAAAGACCCAGCACACTTCCGCAAAGGTACAATAGTACAGTGTAAGTAGATGGCTGTCTGGTCTTTTTCTACCTTTCAGGCAGCCGGTAACATTAATTATGCTTTAAATAGTTGTTTTTAGTTCTATTTTCAAAGTATATGTTACTTCTAGTACAATAAAGACTGTTGTTGTCGTCAATGTTGTTATGTACATCTGGGGATAAAATTCTAATGAGTTGCCATTCAAAAAAAAGCTACTGAGCAGTACTTTCCTGTAGTACTGAGAAAGCCTTTGAGGAAGACAAGGTGAGAACAAAACTTTAAAACAGTAGTGAATTATTTCCAAAATTAACTTGCATCATTGGATGAAATCTTATAGTTTGACCATTCAAAGGAAAGCTACTGAGCAGTACTTTCCTGTGGTACTGTTTATTATGCCATACATTGTGGTTCTAATTTTAGAGTCTGTGGATGGAATCCCAAGGTGTGAACATTCAAATGAAAGCTACTGAGCAGTACTTTCCCGTATAAGTGTTTAAGTCATGTTTGTAACATGAGCAACAGTGTTTTATCTTGAGCCAAGGGCAAGAGATTTTATGGGCTTATATCATCAGGTAAGAATGATTTACTTTGCATTAAGATTTCCTGCATTTTGTTCATTCTTCGAGTAATCTTAAAAGATTCATAAACACACTTGCAATTAAATCTTTCTCATTCACTGATGATCATTCTTCTTTATCACCAATAATCCTAAGGTTTGTGACTATTTTGGCCCATGAAACTGTAGATTTACAGACACTCATTAAACATCACTAAATCTTTTGTGTTTTCTTCACAAATAGCCTTAAATGACATCTGATTGCCCAGTTTTGAGGAAAATCCCATAATTCGTAAAACAAATTGCACCAGAGACCTTTCCTATTGCACAATCTGCCCTTAAAATACCACATAATTTCTGATTATTCATCCAATCCTATCAGGTGGCCTGACAAGTCATAAATGGATTTTACAAACAATCAACAAGGTACATCATGTGTGCACGTGTTGTTAAAATACCATTAAATTACAACTACAATTCACCTCTTTTCGGCCCCAAAGTTGAGCCTGAAGGCAACTTGCCATCATTAGATTGCGTTGTTGCTAACTCTGCAGCTTTCTTGAGGTTACCAGTATCTATATGGTCTGTAAGACAGTGTTTACATCCTGACTTTGAGGGTTGTGGTGTGGAACCAACAGGAGTTGGCTTGCTAGGTATTCTCGCATCAAAGTTAAAAACTTTGTGAACAAAGAGTGGGCAATCCAGTCCACATTTACAAGTGCCTTCTGTTTTCAGATACTCAATCACATGGTCCAGAGATCTGAGACGACTGTTGTTTGGACTGAAACGGAAATCAAATATTTCTAAGTTTTTCAGTTAGCAGAATAGGCCCAGGAGGGGTGTGTGTGGGATGGGGGGGGGGAGGAGGGTGGCATTACTCAGTTATAACAGAGATGAGGGGGTGTGAAAAAGGCCAAATTGCTATGACCCAAATTGTTCTATTAGTCTGAAGCCAGATCCTAAAAAAGCCAAGAAACCAGGAAAAGCACTATTTCACTCTGCATAAAAATCAATATCAACAAAATCCGAAAGTGTTACCATCCAAATGAATCCCCTCTGGCAGAACATATGCATAGAACTACTTTTCTTAGGATATTTTTACAAAAAACAATTTTAAATGTTTTGGTGAATTTATACTTTGGTGATTATCAGGCGTGAAAGGCTTAAACAACCTGAGACCAGTAGCTCAGATGCTGGTTAGTATCTCATGGTTAAAAGTGTAACCCTGGATTCGCTTTACAGTTTATTGTGACCATTTTGGACTGTCATTTTATGTTAACATAACAGGCAAAGACCTCTGAGAAAAGGTTTTAAACTGTATCATAAGTTCCAGTGACATGATCCTAGAAAAGAAAATTAATTTTGTTTAACATTTTTCTCAACCATGGGTTTAAGTCGACCATCTTTCAAGAAACCTGGCCTGGGTTCCAACTTAAGATCTGTACCTGCAAGCATTTTAGTGACAACACAACAAGCCAGGTGCAGACAAGGGAACCTCTTGAACTTGATCGGTAGATGCTCTAAAATGACTGGCTAACCCTTTCCTAGCACGCTCAAATAGTGGCCAAAGAAAAAAAAACTAAAAATAATAAACTGAAATTTCTTTGAGGAAAAATAACTTGTTCAAAATTCCTTTTTGGGCACCTATTTCAATTACTTTTGCTCAACTCCTTACATAATATTGCACAAAGTGTCTTTTTTCTTTCTGGGGACCAATATTTAACATCTGGGAACCATGTCTGGAGCACTGTAGAGTAACATATAATTTTATCATCTTGTGGTCTAGGAGATACTTGAATGGTTTTCAACTAGAGGAACAAAATCCCAGAAAACAATTCCTTCCTGGATCAGGAGTAACCAGCATTCAAACAAGATTTCTCTGCCTCAATCTTCCATCATCAAGAAATAAACAATGACATGCATGTAACATGAATTTTGAGGAAATATATGGGCAAAATTTTGACAGTTTCCCAGATGACAAAGGTTTGCCACTACTTAATGTGCCGCAATCATAAATTTACAGCGATGTGTAATCTGATACAAATGTTTCGAGTAACCCGGGCCCAAGAGATCTGCTAAAAAAATGTAACACAACATCTGGAAACCTCATAAAACCATAAAAATGAACAGCTAGTTCTAACCAGGCGAAGTATAAAACGAAAACGGAAATAGACCAAACGTTTGAGCTATGAGCCACCAACGGCAAGCGACGAAACGACAGAAAATGCTCACGATATTAGAAATGAGTATGTGTAAATTTATCTCGACATTGGACGAATGCAAATTAGAAAATGAAGGTCATAAGTTCGAAGTTAATTTTAAATAATAAAGGATTCCTACACAAATAATGCCTAAAAAGTACTCAATTATTTGACCCTAGTCGCTTGAAATTAGTCTTACTTTACTTAGAATGTCGTATCAATGTCAAAAAAAATAAAATTTCTGAGATGGAAACGAAATCTTACCTGATGTATAAAATGGAACCGTTTTCTGAGATGCGACTCCAGCCTCGTGGAATTTCAATGCACTTGGGTCCATCGATAACTTGTTCACTCTCGCCTGACTTACTACTCATTATAATCCATGAAAATGTGTTGCCTTGCTAATAAAGTGTCCGAGCCAAAGCTCGAAGAAATACACAACGTGACATTAAGCTAACAAAGGACTTGTTCGTGTTCGATATCCAACAACAGACGACCAGAAGTTACACACAGCTATAACGCGGTACTTGCGAATTAACACGTTAAGTTTGATCTCCAGTAGCGCATAATTCACCAGATACAAAGCAAATGTAGCGTTTTCAAGTCACCACGTCGGCAAAACTCCCAATAACTGATGCTTAGGTGCTTGTATTTACATGTGAAAAGATAATTCTTCACCAGAAGAAGACCGCCATGTTGGATATGCGTGTCGCATTGTATTTTCTTTAATGTGACCGCTGAGCATTTCTTTCATTGGAAAAAATGCTGGCTCAAAAAGTCGAGAGAGTGTAACAAGGCAGGAGTACCTGGTATTATCCATCCCGAATGCCCCAAATCAATTCTTGAAGCACACCAAAAAATATAAAAGAAAAAGTAAACAAACAAAAACAACAAAAAACAAAATAAAGCCGCAAAAGTAAGTGACAAAAAGGTATTTTAATATTTTTACTTTACAACCTCCTCTCCCCGACACATCCAAAGTCATATAAGAACAACATATGGTATACAGATTTAAGACAATAAACATTGTCTTGTCTATATGCGGCCAATAAACCTTTGCATAGCACAGGCACGTTTCGCTTTTTAAGATTTTACTAAAAAATTGAATTTTTTATGAATTTATTTTCCCCTTAGCAGTGAAAAATGGTCACTTGCTGGATCAATTTAAGTTTTTGGGAAACTGCCCACCTACCCCTCCCCTAACTCAACGTTAACAAATGTGTCTCACTTGGGGCAAAATATTGGGTTAGGGGAGGGGTAGGTTGGCAGTTTCCCAGAAACCTGAATTGATCCCACTTGCCAAAGTCCCATTATAAAGTTATTTTAATATTGAGTCCTAAAGTGTGACATCACAAAAACTTTAAAGTTGTGAAATTCTGGAATTTTACAGGGTATTATGAAAGAACAACATCCAAGAGGCCTAATTGCCAAAAATAAGCATTCCAAGGCTCTGATGACTCCATATAGAAATCCTTCTAAATTTGACTCAGTTCACAACTTTAGGAACCAAAGTCAAATTTAGAAGGATTTGTATGGAGGCAGACCCAAACGGGACTAGTATCTCTGAGACAATTTGCCCCACAAATTATGCTAGTTTTTGGCAAGTAGACCTTTCAGATGTTTTTCTTTCAAAATATCCCAACATATCCCTAAATTTCAAAAAATTAATTTTTACGACATCATGACTTTAGAACTATATTAACCTCTATATTCACCTCTGTTTAATGGTCAACCTGTATCAAGAGAAGAATGGTGAGGGTATATCATTAGTCTAGGATAGGGGGCTGGTCATTTTGTAGCCTGTGAGTAAGCTCTTCATCTTGAGCAGCGAATGAACCAAGCCGCGAGAAAATGCGCTAGCGGGCAGTGAAACCGCAAGGGGTGGAGAAAAGAGGGGGGAGTTCTCCCTTTCTTTCCTCGCCTCTCTCTTTTGCGACTCCTTCAAATGAAGCGCTTGCTTGCAGGCTTTTCATCATGAAAAAAGCCTAGAAGATCTTCAAACTGACTTTCTGCTTCATCCAAGCTTTTTAGAAATGCCCCACCCCCTATAAATTTTACATGTTGTGAAAGTGACCCCCCACCCGATTGCTGTGGAATATTCTAGCTACAAACCGTGTCCAATCAAGTTCATCACGTACTACAGATCGGTGCTTACTATTCATGGCTGTTACAATCAATAATTGAATCTAGCAGTAACTAGTGTTTATTGAAATAATTATTTCAATAAACGCTAGTTACCTCTTTATACTACTTTCATGAAATTTATTAAAATGTCCCCCCAGGACCAATGCTTCCTTGACTGAAAATGACCCCCAAAGCCAAATAAGATTTTGAAATGACCCCACAACAAAATGGCCACCCCTCCCCCCACCCTCCTAGGTAATAAATGACCAGCCCCAAGCTGAAGGGTGAGATGTTTGGTGCCTGGGTTATAAAAGGGTTGCATAAACAGGCAACTGAAATTGTTCTGGTATGGACAAACGGTTTTAGAATCCAAGCATTATGCAGTCACCCTACAAGTCCAAGAGTACCCCTGCAGCTTTACCCCTAGCTTGTGCGCTAAGCTTTCAGAAGAATGTTTGAAACACAGGTTTCCATACAGTGGGCATCAACATTCAAAGCCACTTAAACAATCAAACACCTTGTTTTAAAACATTAAAATAATGTTATCTTTTTTTTTCTCCACACCTCTTCCTTAGAAAGGCTACAAACTAAGTTTGCAAAATACCTTTACTAATATATTTTGTCATTTTATGATTTATAATACTATTTATTTAACAACCCAGTTGCACATGACAAATTGACTGAAATAACTGAGCCAAAAATAAAATGCATCTTTCTGTACGTACATTTTATTATTCCAACAAACACTCAAAACACTCACAATAATAATTATTAACCCCAAAATTATATTCACGTTTCATATCCATCATGTCATTTTATAAAATTAATATTACTTGTGACAATTAAAGGGACAATAATGTATCGTATTGAGTGTTGCACATATTAGGAGGTATATTAGGTGTATTATTGCCATATTAAGTTATGAATATTTCCCTCAAAATAACAAGATCTTGTGGCCTTGCTTTGATACGGAGCAAAAGCAGAAGATCGTCTCCATGCACGATTTTCACCTGGTCAAATGTGGTGAATTTTACTGATTCCAAATAAAGATGGTTTGTAAGCTCGCGTAAAGCTAGCATGGAATGTGACAAAACCAGTAAAGCCAACTGAAAATAGAAAATGACAGGACTCAAAAGAAATATTATTTACATTTTTTTTTAAAGTTACAAGACTCAGATTACCACTATAGACCAATCTTATCTGTAAGGATTGCAAAGAGTAGTTTAGGCTGTGGTTTAATTTTATCCTTGGTTTAAATTTCATTTTCCTTGTTTTTGGGTATGGTAGTGTTTGATAATGTGTTTGAAACAAAGGAAAATAAAATTCAAATCATGATAAAATTGAATCTCAACATAAACACATGCAAAATATCAGGAGCGAGCTTTTCTGCGAAAAAGAAAAAGCTATCTTTAAGGATGAAAATAACATGTTTTCTTCACATATAAAAAGACAACATTGCTATGGTTATATACTAGATCACACCTTTAACAGCAAAAAATATTAATCATAGAACATTACTGTAGCAAGCCCAATGCTCTGAACTTGATACAATACATGTAAACAAATCTAAGGTACCTAGCATACTGAAACTTCTGCTTATAAGCTGCCCCCCCCTCACTAACTGTAGTGGGACAGTTTATGCTGTCATATATGAAGTAGATAATACTAGCAACCTGTCTGAACCGCTCCGAGGAATAACACATGCATAGCTTCTGTACCAGAAAAGATTAGTCTGTCTCGTAGTGATTAAAGTGTTGTGTTCTCAGTTCTACTCGTATCAAATCCTTCTACATAACAAGTCCCCCAAGTTATGGGCCCTTTCTTGAATTGAAAGGAATCAATATTTATCACATTTTAAAGCTTAAAAAAGCAAGTGAATTCAAAAAATATTTTGATCAGCACTACTAGGAAGCTTGTTTTGAAATAAACCCTCCCCCCCCACCCCATTTATAATCCCTCCTAAAACCCCTTATGAAGTTGTATAAGCCCAGTGCTAATAAGCAATATTTAAGTGGAAGTTACGGTATGAGATTTATGCAGACCCAGTAAGATCTCTTAGTCACCCAAGGCCAGGGAAACTGTGTGCTTCCAGAACACAGCCCTGTTGTGGTGGTTACTGCACCTACTTCTATCCCATCTGCACCCCAATTAAAACTCAATGCCAACTGTACATACAGTAAACACTGACTGTATATACATTTTAAAATATTTTAATTGAAAGATTTGAATCTACTGACATGTACGCATAATGATTAAAGGATGTAACTTACCGATAAAATAAATAAAAGGGACAGCACCAGGAAGGAGGCCATAAAATGGCAGTTCAAGCATGATAAAAGCTGTTAACTGTTCTGAAAGGGACAGCCTCCGACCTAGGAGACAACGGTAGAGTTCAGACTCTGTGTGGGATAGTGTTAGTTAAGAAAAGGTGACCAATAACATTCAAAACAGAAGTCAAAGTAGAATAACCTGAGTTTAATGTTGACCTTTAACATATCAGGGTGGAAAGAAAGTCATTTTTACAGCTTGCCATTCAGGCCAGCTGAAGCTAGCATTTACTAGCTCAAACGTCACTTCAACAAGCTCCCCAAATTCTTTGATTTGACAGTTCTTCCGTAAGTCGCATTCCTCAAAATACTTCACTTGCCCATCGGGCAAGTTAAGAACAGAATTCACTAGCCTGATACCAAAATCCACTAGCCCCGGGCTATCAGACACTACTTTCTTTGCACGCTGTTAATGCATATATCCCATAAGTGTTGAGAAGTAATCTTCAAAACTTACCAAACAACTTAAATACAAATCCACTGACATTTAATCCATAAATCAGAAGCACAGTGATGCTTGTCCACAGAATACAAAAGTTGAAATCATCAGAATTAATCCTGTAAATGTTAACTAATGTTAGCTCTAATTGCATCGCTGTATATTGCTCATTACTGGTTCACATACTAGATCGGGTGATTAATTTTATTATCCTCATCATCACTATATATACCTAAAGATAGTGTAAAAATATACCCATATTCACTTACACCACAAGAGCTACCATAACAAGGAGCAACATTAGCCATGCATAGTTGACTTGATAATACACCAAGTTGTGGCCAAAATTTTCAGCTGAGGAACTACAGCGGCCGCTGAGGCACATACTGAAGAACCTCTTCCATGGACGCAGAGCAAGTGGAGGGAGGAATTGAAAACTACTGAAAGATTCTGTGGGGGAATTGTTCTCCTTGTATGGTGGAGGGTCTTCCATCAACAAACTGAATAGGCCAACATTGCTTTGTTTCTTTCCGTCCCCAAGATCAAGTGGTGGTGTGTCATATGATGGTGGAGGTCCAAGTGGAATCTGTTTCATGTCTGCAGACATAGTGTGCATAAAGGCAGTATTGTGGAAATCAATTCAACACTTCCATCCTAAGAAAAAGGAAAATACTCTTAATCAAAATTCTGTTTTCTTCAACCTCACTTTGCTAAATTTTTTATATACAGTCAACCTCCCATAAGCGACCACCCAAAATGCAAAGATTAAGTAGTCGCTTACAGGAGGTGGTCGCTCATGAGAATTGAAAAACAGGGTGTCTTTTCCGAGAAGAGGTCCTGACACATCTCTTTGGGAGAGAATTTATTACATGTAATTTTTAAGTTATGCATAAGAATGGTTCCATGTTTTCACAACAAGTTCTTGCAATACTCTGAGCGGCATAGCACATACAGCAAACAGAGTCCACAGAATGCATCTAGTGGACACCTGCAAGAGAATAAAAACAATGGAAAATGTGTGGTCGTGGTGGCTCATGAGAGGTGGTAGTTTACGAGAGGTTCGGTTTGTAGGGATTTGACTGGGAAAATTTTGGTGTTTTAGATACCTGGTCGCTTATTGGAGGTGGTCGCACATGGAGGTTCGAGTGCATTATTACATATTATAATCAATAATTGATTATAATATGTAGTAATAATAATGATAATAATAATTAGGTATTTTGTTTTTGTGCTAATCTAGGAAACATATACTAGTAAAAACGCTGAGTAAAAACCAATGGTAAGGAAGTGCGGGCAACAACAATCGAAGATCCAAATGCTTTTGCTCCATCACTGTGCTTTGCGTAAGCTTCACGCATGATCAGATTACGAGGGGTACAAGGTCGAGACGTGCGTGATCAAATTCCGGTCATTCTTAGTGGAAGTCCAAACTAATGCTGGCAACATACATGCAATGCACGCGTAATAACAACCTGGAGATAAGGATTGTGGGCTCCTCTTGTCGCCCGCAAATACCTTATATAAGCTAAATCTGTCAGAAATTCAATCTTATGAAAACAATAAAAACTAATTTATCTGTAAAAAGTAATTATTTTGTTATGAAACAAGTTAAAAACTTAAAAAGAAAACACTGGGAACATTATTAGGAAGGAAGTTTCAGAAGCCCTTATGGGTAGCATTCTTGGTAGCACTTTTCGATGACACGGACGATTTTATCAATAACCTTTTAACTCAAAACAAGAAAGAGCATTGTTGATAAAAATTCATTCCCTGCTGCCTTCCTAGTCAGCATCAACTAGTGCAAATTCGTTTTAAGTTTTCTTCACGAAGCACCATTGCTACATACGAAAACGATGAAGTAAGTATCAGAAATCATTTCATTGCAAAGCCTACAGAGGGGGTAAAGATTAGCTAAGTTCAGAAACACAAATTGGTGACTAAAAAAACAAGTCCCTACTTACTTCACCCAGAGCAAATCTTCCTTGCAGTAACTAGCAACGAGGGTGCAAATCCATGCTATTATATGAAGGGAAAAAAAACTCCTCTTTCGATTAAATCATTCAGTCAGGCTGTTTACGTTGATTCACAGTATTCTTACCCATAATACCTTTCAGAATTGGATCAAAAATGATAAAAGGGCTGGGAACTAGTCGACGCTTGACGATCGCGGGCACGCGGGCGGGCACTTCCGCACCCGCACGTGTTATGTTGTCTTGAAATCAACTGAATTTCAAGCTGCTTTCCTAAAGAACTGTATTGCTAAGTTGGCGGAAGAGTGAAGCAAGAGATAAATAATTATATTTACTGTTTAGAAATATATTCAAACAATGATAAAGTAAAGAAGTTGAAAGGTGGAAACTGAGTTGCGGTCACTCATTGCGCTGCAATTCCCCCCCTTGCTCCCGCGCACAAAGCGTGCGACTAGCTTCGCTTCTTTCATTTTGCCAGGTTCTCCATTTTAGTGTGCCCAAATCAATCTAGGTAAATAGAAATTAGCTAAATTGGTTTGTAAGACATTCTTAGGTTCTCTTAGTAACCTAGACTTGCTACAAGTCGACCTCTTGGCGAGCGGAGCGAGCCTTGTTTGGCCGCGAATCGGCCGACCGCGAGCGACGAAGTCGCGAGAGGTCATATGAAATCCGACGAAGGACTTTTTTGAAAGTCTATTAGTAACGGTTCTTTGAACAACCCACCTTGATTGTTCAAATAAAGGTTGAATAATTAAAGTGCTCATTGTTCATGTCACGGGGCCTGGGTACCATAGAATTTTTTCGCGAAAGGAGGAATTTTCTGGCGGTCGGCTACATCTTCAGCTGACAGATCTTGAGCCGAAAACGCAAGCTACGAGCGGCGAGTCCACAACAAAAAAACGGTCCTTAAAGAATTGACCGACACCATAAACTGCGCAATTCAAAGTTCTCATGGGATTACAGTGCCAAATTTATGATTCCAAACATAAAGATTCTGCATACAGTCGAACCTCGCGTAAGCGACCATCCAAAATGCAAAGACTGAGTGCGGGTCGCTTACGAGCCGGTGGTCGCTTTTAAGAATCGAACCACAGGGGGTCTCTTCCGAGAAGAGGTCCAGACACATCTACTTTATGGAAGATATTTAATGCATGTAATGTCTAAGTTACGCCATGTGTAGTTCCATGTTGTCACTTAAAGTTCTTTGAATATTCTTAGTACCATAGTACACACAGCGGACATAGAGATCAAGAGAATGCGTCAAAGTGGTCGCTTATAAGAGGTTAAAAACAAAAAGTGGTCGAGCTCGCTTACAGAAGGTAAGCGTTTACTAGAGGTTCCAACTGCAAGGCTTTTGACTGGGAAATTTTTGGTGTTTTGGTTTGGCGGTCGCTTATGGGATGTGGAGGTTCGACTGTATCAGCTTTGCTCACTCGCCTAGCATTATAGCACTTCCGGCAATAAATACAAGAATCAGACCAAGTCACCACATTTTCACTTCCTCTCATTCATTTTAGGTGATTGCTCGTTCTCAGAGGATCTTAACTTAAAGAGCTCTTACGAGGTCCCTCCATCGTTCTCTACCAGAGTCATCCTAAGTCAGTGGCTTCAGTTCTTTTCAGCTCTTTAAGCTCTTGTTAAACTGAGCGTCCTAATCTCAATATTTCTTTACCACGTTACCGGCTTTCCATGATTTGGAGTTCAGTCCAAGGTTTCTTTTAAAAAAATTAGGAAGCTTTAGCAACAACGACGGCTACGATTAAAAAAATGTATTCGTGCTGCTTCAAACTTTATCGCGCTTATTCTAACTCGTTCAGTTCGTCAAATGTTGGCAAATTTTTCTGGAGTTGAATTCTAAAAGACTGTATCAAAGTTCAGGAAAAGAAAAAGAAAGTCGTTGTCTTGTGTTCACGTCACGGCCTTGACAAAACGTGAAATTAGGCACTTGCCCGTTGCAGTTGTGTAGCGACGGCAAAGAAATATACAAAAAAGCGTGATGCACGTGCCAAGTTGTTGTTTTGCCAGTCTAACCCTATTGTTTTTTTGCCGTTCACGTTGCCGTCGCCGTCGTCGTTGCTTATGTTCACTAATGTTTTTACCGATAATCAGTCTGTTAATTCAAGTAATCGGCTCCTAATTCAGGACATCAAAATTTGAAACTTTTCTGTGCTAAAAAGTTATTAGAGAAAGGAAAGAAAAATTAACCAAGGAGTAGTTCAAAAGAAACTGCATGAGATTCCGTGTCGGTGTATGGAAAGCCCCCAATCGGGTTCTTCATTCCCGTCATCTCAGCCTTTCCGCCCAATCCCCTAATCCGAATGTTTATTTCAGGATCTCCGCTTCCCGGGCGAACTTTAAATCCCAGTGCCGGGTCCAGGCCTTGAGATAAGGGGGCTCGGTCATCCAGACCCTTAAATAAGGGGTGGGGGGCGGTCTCCAAATTTTTTTTTTTCGGTCCTTCGAGCCTCAGTTTGGTCTAAAAATAGGGGGGACCGGGCCCCCGGGCCCCTGGATCCGCCTCTGAATCCCTAAGGGACAGACCATTAGAAAACTTATGGGGGGGGGGGAGAAGTACAAAAAAATTCGCGCAAGGGAAAATTAAATGAAAAAAAATTCTTACACGCCAAGTAACCCTAAAAAATATTCATGCTATGGCCTAAGAAAAAATTCATACAAGGAATTTGATAACAAAAAAAAATTCCTACGACTCGAAAATTCCCCTCCTCCCCCGTAAACTTTTCTAATGGTCCGTCCCTAATCTCGCCCCCATTTTGCTTTAAAATCCCGAATCCCGACCTTCAAGTAAGGGAAATCCCTGATCCCGAAAAACCTACTGGGGACAGGAGCCCATCATTAGGGACCCTTGGTATGGGGGCAATAAAACCGTTGTCACTCAGGGTCAAGAACCGTTTATATCCAGTACCGTTGTCGATCGACGCGAACTTTCCTTAAAGAAATCAGGGCAGTGTCCTTGTTTATCTGCAAAAGCGCCATTCTCTAGTCACAAATTTAAATCAATCAGTCAGAGGTCAAAAATAAATACAGAATATCCATTCATTAATTTAACAATTTCTACATCTTCCGATTTCCTGACTCTTACTATGGCGAGTTTCTTTTCCTCGTAGTGAAGAGCTAACGAATTATTTTGTTTTTTTTTTGTACATCTTTAACTTAAATAAGGTGAAAAGGCGAAGCAAAAAAGTTCCTCCTTTTAAGATCTGAAAAAGCGTTTCACCGTTCTTAGGGTGGTGGACGCTAAACTTGAGTAAAGGCAAAAGGCACCTCAGTGAGGGATATAACTATTTTATTTTTTGTGTCCACTCAACCAAATTCGCCCGTTCGTTGGTTGATTCAGACGTGGGACTCAGCTCATTATCGCGACGTAAAAAGATACAAGGCTCGCCAGTCCAAAAAGAAATTATAGCAATTTATGTATTAGATTCAGCACCTGAAAAGTTCGTCGGTTTAAAGAGGTCGCTTGACAGTTGAAATTTCCCCATGTGGGCCAACCGACTTCAAATTACAGATGTCGGGCTTAACTGAATTCTAACGTCAATCCCCTTTTTATGTAATTTTGGAGGAATTAGGTTTAGTACACAAAACGATGAATGTTTGAACTGAGCCTTTTCGGATCCGTAGAGAGTGTAGAGGGGAAGGGGAGGGGAGGGATAGACTTGAAAAAAAAAAACCTGTATAGATGAGTTTAGAGGCAAGAGGAACTGAAAATGTTGTCTCAGAGTTTTAACCAAATTTTTGCCCATGCAAGAACCGCTGACGAAAACATTTTGGTACGAAGAATTTTCAATAGAGTCAGCCTTCAAACGATAGTTTCTGCGAAAAAATTGGATAAAAGACGATTAAAATAACGTCAATCAAAGACAGAATTGTACCATTTTATAGTGAAATTTGATTTAGCAATTTTCTGGAGTTTTTCCGGAAAAATTGATCGAAAGGGAGCCCCTTGGAAAAGGGGGGAGCAGGATAACTCCACGACTCCCTAGCTTCGCCCCTGGGTAATTTTCATCTGTATTCTAGTTTTAGCTTTTATTCTTAAATCATAGATCTTTTTATAAAACTTTAAGATAAGGTATTTGTTAGCTTATCCCAAAATTCTAACAATAAAACCGGCCTCCATCCCCTTTGCAGAATAGGGAAAACTTCTTTTGTCACGCCCAAGCGTCTTTCAATTATATGCGCGCGCACTGTCCACCGTATTGCATTTTGGGACATATTTCCCCTATGAGCGTTTTTGCCGCCATGATGGATCCTAGAAAATGGGATCCAAAGAAGAAAATTCGTTTAAGTCTGTCTTGAACGACAAACTGACACTCCAAAAAGCTCAAAATGGTTTAATACGATTTCTCTAGTGTTTGTTTTAAAATTTTTCTGAACCTGCACCCTTTGTGCAGTGTTTCAAATTTTTGAATTTGAGCGCCGCTTTGGAAACTCAACAGCGCGTCAAGATGAGTAAGTTGTCATTCCGAGCTCGACAGCTCGATTCCAACAAGGCGCTTCCAGTCTATCGGGCGGAGGAACTACCCGATTTGACGGAATTCAGCACCATAAACCGTGCTGTGCCTCAAATGCCTACTGGAATGGAGAAAGAAGAAGAAACGGTGAGTGAAATAAGTTGTCAACTTGTAGTATTATGCTCATTTATTTAACAAATTAAAGAATGTGTGATAAGTGATTAAGATTTTCAGCCTCTTAATGATCCGACCATCCGTCTGCAAATCGAAAAGTTTCTAAACGTTATTTTGGGCTTCTGATCGAGTTTAAAAGCTTTGTGAAATGTACTTCTGTTTTGTTCACGTGATGTCGATGCGTAAACCCGCCATTTTTGAACGGGACTTGCACGATACCCGCGAAACGCGGAAGTGAGCAACTTAGTAGAACTTCAGAGTAGAACTTTAACGATTTCGCGTCTCTTGTGGATAATTTATTGCTTTTAGGAAGTTTTGTCTCGAAAATCTTTAGTTTTCCTAATAGTTTTGAAATGTACAAATTGGCCATTTCCTTTCTTTTTGGGGTAGGGAGGGTTATGTAATTCCTTATTTGATTATGTATGTAGCTTAGCATCATTAAAAGCTTTAAAATTATAATTAGTTATGTTGAGTGTGTTTTAAGTTAACTGCTCTTAGAATTTTAGAAAGATTTCTGAACAGTCCCATGCATAAACTCTCAAACTACCCATCATAACAGTGAATGTGAATAGTTTGAGTCAAAAATTGTATGGGTAACTTAGTGTAGGAATCTTGTCTGAAATTTTTGGTAGTTTTTCATATTTTGATTTTAGAAAAAAAGACTAATTTAGTCAAACAAACACCACTATAGTTATGTAAGGTGCATTATCACCAAAGAACTTTTGTTAAATTCTGTAACCTGCAATGAATAACAATCATAAGCCATATGTTAACTGTGTTACAATTTTCAAACAAAATTATTGTAATACTTGAGACAAGGTTTTCTGTCTTCTTTCCTCCACTTTTCTTTTTTGTAAGTTCACTGTTATGGAGACACAAAGAGTGTCTATAACTTTGAAAATAATATCCTATGATTTGTATGACAGCTGCCAACCACTGCATACAGAAAGTGTCTTACCTGAATCTAATTAACCATTGTTAAGGCCTTCTGAGGGGTGGCATGTATTTCCCTAGCCTTACATGTACAGCAGAACCTCGATAACTCGAACTCGGGTAACTTGAATTTCCCGCTAACTCGAACTAAATTTCCTTTCTCTTGATCAAAATTTCACTGAAATTTACCCCAATAACTGGATCTCCCTGCTAACTTGATATATATAATCTGTCAGCAAGCTACTAAACTGAATTTTGTGACCATTGAGCAATGGTTTGTTTACAATCATACGTGATCATGCCGGGTGGTCACTTACTGGAAACAGAAATCAAAAGAATACGTCAAATTTCTGGCTTTGAAAGTGCAGCATCCCAGTTAATTCTTTCAAGTGGGGGGTCATGTACGTACATACATACATACATACATACGTTGTTTATTGTGTTTTGAAGTAAAAGTACAATTATAACATGCCCATGGGTAGCTAAGCTAATCAAGGCAGGTCATGTTTACAAGAAATGAATACAACAAAGAAAAAAGAAATGATCTTCACCAGCCTAACAACAAATACACATATGCAAGAACTCAGAGCGCTAGCTAAATCGTCCGGTCAGTCTCGTGTTCAGAAACTTAGAATCTTTTGTGACATAATCGTTGTTCCATTACTACTTTGTCTCCTCTCCAGTTCTTCTTCTCATCTAGACCATCTGAGGGTTCACCAAGACCACGTGCTAATCTTTTTTGTTATCTTTAACTTAATACTTGTATGTCTGTGTAGGAACACCATCTCCAGAGAGCAATTTCAGCGCAGCAGGTTTACGGAGACACACAACAGCTAGTGATTCCTACACCAGAGACAGAAGAAATAAAGGAAAGAGTAGTTGAAACGCTTTACCAAGATCCTTTCAAACAACCAAAACAATACATCCACGTCCAAGGTTAGTAAGTAAACTTATGTAAGCAGCCACCTTTGCACAAGAGATACAGCCATACAGTAGTAGCAAAAAAATATCCTGCGTCAGAAGACAATGCATTGTTTTATATTAAAAACTGAATCATTGGATATTGCAATTGTAGAGCTCTGATTGGCTTAGCCATCATGGTATATGAACCATGCTCTCCAAATATGGTAACTGTACGCATCTGTTCAAAATTAAAAACAAGCTGAAAATCAGTTGTTTGTACAAAATTTGTACAAACAACTGATTTATATTATATTTATATTTAATATGGTCGGGAAGAATTCTCGATATTTTGTGGGTGTTTTTAATAAAACAATTCCACTCGTACTTGTTGGATATGAGATGATTATAGCCAAAGAAGTGTGTAACGCCAACTTGGCTATCTACCATCTCATATCCAATGTGCACTTGTGGAGTAATTGTTAAATGTCCATTAAGAAGGGGACACCTCATTACACGAGGAGTGAGGACCATTTCAGTTGAAAATGTGCTGAAAGTAACCCCTACTTTACATAATAACCTTGCCACCATGATAAAAATGCCATTTTTGCTGTGTTCTGTTGATTCCATTAGCATATGAACACCAAAAATAGAAATGCTAAGGTAAAAGGTAATACAGTACGGTTCAAATGAAGGTTACCACACTCGTCCAAGAGAAGCATCTCCTCTGATGAGACAAAAGTTTCTCCTTGAGAGACATGTCATGTCTCAAGAGACAATGTTCTTGTCTTGGGAAATGGTTAAAAATCTTCAAGTATAAATATTGTCACCTTTCCAGCATTATAGTAGCCTGCGGAAACAGCCATCTCTCCTTGCTCCTTGCTGCTAGGGGGGTTTGCGGGAGAGATGTCTGAGCCTTAACGACAGAAATTTCATACCAATAATGTAAAATCTGTCCTGAATCTGGCTGGAGCTTTGATTGGTCAATGCATTGATTTTATTCTTTTAGCTACTGTTTACGAATGACAGACAAAAGACAAAGGTTCACAAGGGTCAAATGAAAAATTATTGTGATGATTCTAGTACAAAATAGTCACTATATTCTTCTTTAGAAAAAAAAATTGTTGCTGCAGCTCATTTGCAAAGAACTCAAAACTTTACCATAATAGAGCATGAGAAACATAAACTTGGAATTTATGTCAATTTGGAACCCCATGTATGAAAATATTGATTTACATCATTGGTATGGCATTTCTGTGGTTGAGGTACAGATAATTATCTCTCCTGCAAAACATCCCTAGCAGTGGGGAGCAAGGAGAGACGACTGTATTTGAAGGCTTAAGTTATAGTGATGGTAGCTCAAACACAGAGATTGAAATTTCTTATATTTTATCAGTGGATCATACTATGCCCCTAACTCTCACAATTCCTGATCCATTTGCCATTGATTGTGTAGAGGGTAATTTATTGAAGAGTGTTCTTGATCTTTGTGGTGCAGTGAAAGGTGGTCATCTGAAAAGCTATTAAATGGTCTTTTTTTAGCTTTCAACTTTGATGAGGAAGTGCCAGAATATGACATGGACTCTGAGGATGAGGAATGGCTGAGGAATTTCAACAAAAAGAAGGTGAGATTTCTCCCTTAACACAAAGTTTGTGTCAGTATTGGTCGTCAATAACAATTGCTCACCTCTGTGTAACTTGTTGAAACATTGATTTTCTCATACTGACTTTTTTCATTTCATTAGGAACTATTGACACCCCTTAGATTTGAACAGTTACTTGACCAGCTGGAAAGAAATTCAGGAAACCAGGTAAAATAATACTCATTTGTTTGGTACAGGACTTTCAGTAAGCTTTGAAGAAGGTAGCTTGGAACTAACTTGGTTCACTTAGAGTTTTTTGCCTGTGGGAGAGATTGCAAAATTGAGCCTCAATTAAATGGTTTGGGAATTTGCTCCAACAAATGTTGGGAGATAATCAGACTGTGCTGGGTTAAACATCCCCTGAGCAAAACAATGTAAACAGATAATTATGTTTATCACCAGAAGAGAAAAACGTTACAGTATAGATACACTGCACTTGTGTGTTGAATGAAGTTGAGGAAGAAGACCAAACAGCTTCAACATTTTGAGACATGTAACTATGAAAGACAAGGTGTAAATAATTTTGAGAGCTTTTTCAACCTGTCACAACATCTCAGATCAATGCTCTGAGGGGAAGTTGAACAGTCTCAACTGTGTCTCTCAACAAACTAATGTTAAGACAATGCTGTGACATTGTTGTGGCCATTTGTTTGGGGTTTTAATAGACTAAATAAGAATGTCCTTCTTTTCCAGCCTGTGACAGCGAATGAAGCCAAGTCGTTATTGAAGGATTTGAGTCCTGAGATCCTTAAGCCTTTATATGATTATTGGTTGAACAAAAGGAAAAAGATGGTAAAGCACTTATAGTACTAGTAGCATAATGACACAATCCATCAGAAATCATTACTAAAATACATGTAATTTATACTTAAATAATGAAATTGAATACATGCAGTAAACAAACTTTTTGGTGCTCTGCCACTTCCTCCTTCAATGTTAGTGGGGATTTTAAGTTGTTTTTTATAGTCGAAAACATGTAGCTAAATGTGTGATTACCCAGGATATTGTGTTACTTTGACAAGAAAATGTGCATGAACGTCCACCATGTACACTGTACCTGTTGTTCCTTTGAAATCATTTCACAACCCTTGGGATTTTATTTTCTGAAAATTATCTCAAAATTTTGTCTTCTGTAAGTGTGTAAATTTGAAGTTTGTAATAAATTTGGCATCAAGAACAAGAGCCATCGCAGTACTTTACTTGTGAACAAGATTTTGGGCAGGGTTTTCTCTTTTTTTCGTGCCTGAACGTGAAAGGTTGTAATTTGGCATCAGAATCAAACGGCTTAACTAGCTTCAAATGCATTCTTGAGCAGAATCACCAGGGAGATGGGGTTAGTCTATGGGTTGAGCTTATGCTTCATTAAGAGTTAATATACTGTAATTAGCTGACATCTTGTTGTTTTCTTGTAGAAGGATCTTGTGATATCACTGATTCCTCAGCTTAAAGGCGAAAAGAGGGATGGTACTTCTGCTAGTGATCCATATGTGGCATTTAGAAGGAGAACAGAGAAGATGCAGACAAGAAAAGTAAATAATGTTTTATTATATAAACACCAATGAAATACCAAGTGAGCTTTCGCACGAAAACTTGTTATCTTCACATAATAAATCGCACCTTTTACACCAAAAAACTATTAAAGTGAAATGGTTTGGTATTTCATTGGTTTTTATATAATGAATAGAACATTACATGGTCGCTTGGAGATACGAAATTTCTTCTCTTATTTCAACACTCCAAGGGAAATTATGTATCTCTGCGTGGCTATGTAATATCCCCTATAATATTATGCATTTCTAGAAAATATCTCTGAAAATAGCTTGATGTGCTAGATTGTATAGATGTAAAACAGAATTGCCAGTTGGTTATCGTTAACTTCAGAATTAAGGATGTAGAATATGGTTCCTCGAACATAAAATATTTATGGCACAATACACTAGTTTCCATTTCTTATCTTTCAAAGTGCTCTGAAGTGCTTTCGAAAGCTGTGTGTCATGGTCTATGTCTCACTGGACTATTTTCTTTTCAGAATCGTAAGAATGACGAGGCTTCCTACGAGAAAATGCTGAAACTCCGTAGAGACTTGAATAGAGCTTGTACAATTTTGGACATGGTTAAGCGAAGAGAAAGCTCAAAGAAGGAGCTTCTTAAGCTTACTGTTGATGTGTTTGAGAAAAGGTAATGTATGAAAAAAATAAAAATATCAATACATTATCATGATCCACTTAAATTTATTAAGAATTTAAACAATTTGTCTCACAGTAATTCTGTAATTTAAAGAATTTCCCCCAAAAATTTCACTTGCCCATCAGGAAAGATAAGAAAAGAATTGTTTAGCAAAACGTGGCTGGCTCCTGTGGATTCAAAGTAAGTTTTACTAAACAAACCTTTGTGGATGTGTAGATATGCCGCCGGGGATTACGCTGGTCAGATCCTTCAACAGTGTATGGATATGATCAGATATCAGCCCCCTGCTACTAACCTTACAGTGCCGACATCAGCTGGTTATGGCGAAAATGTCACACCAGGTGCGATGACAGCTGGAGAGAGGGAGCAGGAATTGTGGAGGCGAGGCTTACATGTGAGTTTTAACACATATCATGAGGGTCATTCAAAAAGCAAATTACTTATTTTATTCATTCCCTGCTCCATCATTACGCATAAGCACTGTATCAACATTCTGGTCCTAGCAGTATGTGGGATGTTTGTCACATGAACCTAGTTTACTGACCTTAGCTTCCGCGAGTATTCTGTAGCTCAGTGGTAGAGCTTTTGGGCTGGTACCCTGAAGGTCATACATGTAGGTTTGACTCCTATCAGGAGTACTTAGAATTTTTCTTCCGAACCTCCTGTCTCACTGACTGAAAAGTCATCTTTCTTATGTATTCACCAGGTATCACATCTCTGTCAGGGTTTGACTTTATTTGCATCATAATAAACCCAGTAAATGAGTGATGGTGGATTACATTCAATGGATATAAAATTAGCTACATCCTGTCTTACTTTTGTAACTACCAAACTATATAATTATCTTTCAACTGTTCTTTCAGGAAAGACAACGAGTAGGGAAGAATGATGTAATCAATGAATTAGGGTAAGCGATATAACTTGAAATTAGTTTTAATAGCCAAGCCTTGATACACAGTGGACTCCATTATACACCCATCTAATTATTACAGCCACACAAACCAAGTGTGCTTTGAAACAAACAGACAAGTGATAAACAAAACTACATCTCGAAACACAAAAACGATAAACGATACTCCTTTTTCACTGAAAGTGTCTAATATCATATTATTATTAAGTGTCTAATATCATATTATTCACTTTTAATATAGACATTTCTTTACAAATTCAGCAGTGTAAAAGCACCCATGAAATATGACCCCACCCCTCAAATACGGCGCCTCTGCTGACACCATCAAATTGTTATGGTCCGTTGGCAGCGGCATTACTCTAATAGACACGAGTAGAATTCACTTGAATAACTCTAGAAGAAGAGTTGAGTGCAGCTGGGTTTATTTCTTCTTGATTTGTTTTAAAAGCGTATCACGAGATTAAGCAGTAGCTTTTAAGACAGAACAGTGAAGTTCGAGTTCTGCAGTGTAACTTTTTTTGTTGAAGAAATACTAGATTAATACTGCTGACTTTCCCCCCTCAGAATCAAGAGACCCAAACTTCATCAACATGCCAAGGTTTCTCAACCAGGAGATCAGTTGGTGTTTAGTGATGAAGAAGAGCTCATTCACGTTTCGCCTCCTCCGGTATGCTATCGTAATCTTGATTTATTATTATGATTTTCAAATTCAATTTCTTCCACGCCCTTTTTCTGCAGGTTCCTTGCTTAGTTCTCCATTCACTTTAAAACCGTTTGTTAAGAGGCAAACTGATGTTGAATTGTCTTGTTGTGCAGGTTGATATTCCTTCAGAACCTGAAGATGACGAGGATGATCCGGATGGTAGATTTGCATTTAAAAGAAAGCGTGGTGTCAAATACATGGCGGTGAGTTGGACAAGTGTTTTATTTCCAGAGATAATTTGGAGTAGGGGATTCATCAAGCAAGTTGGGGACCCGCTCATCCAGACCCTGAGATAAGTGGGGGGGGGGGGTAGGGTGGCTGGCCGGTTTCCAAAATAATAGGGAACTTAAGCAACGTCGAAGGCGACGGCAACGAGAGCGTCTAAAGCAATAGGTTAAGATAAGAATCGGTTAACAAAGCTTTGCACGTACGTCACGCTCTTTGTATATTTCTTTGCCGTCGTTGCACGACTACAACGTGAAACTTCCTAATTATATCTTTTTTTGAAGGGCGTGAACACAAGACAACGATTTCCTTTTTCTGAACTAAGATATTGTCCTTTGGAATTTAACTTGAGAAAAATTCGCTAAATTTTGCCAATGTGAACGAGATGGAATGAGCGCAATGAAGTTTAAAACAGCGCGAGAATTTTTAAGTGACGTTTTTGCGGCCCTCGACGTCGTAGTTGTTTAAGGTCCCTTATTCTCGGTCCCGCGGGCTTTTGTTGGCCTTAAAAAAAGGTCCCGGCAGCCCCGACCCTCTCGGGCTCCTTCTTCCCTAGATGCGCTAGTGATTTTGTACATATGAAGCCGTGTTTTCTTTGTGGATTCAATAGAGTGGGAATTTATTTCGAATGTTCTCTTTCAGCCTCGATTCGATTGCCCTCAGCCTCTCCCATGGATCGATCCAGCGGAAGGAGGTCTGGGTGACAAGAGATTTCGCTTCACTTGTACATCAATATCGTCTCCACAGCGAGTTATTGGTTTCGCGCGGAGAAGAATAGGACGAGGTGGCAGGTAGAGCTGAAGAGCCCTCACGTTAGAGTGGCTGCAATTTGTACAGTATTTACTTGAATAAGCGCCGCGGCCGTGATATAATTAAAATCAAAATAATTCTTTGGCAATACCATTCTTTGTCGCGTCCAACTTTCAAATAAACGACGCTCTCAAATAAACGCCGCACTTGAGAAGTAAAATTATTTATTAAGTGCCGCGATGCTTATTCGAGTAAATACGGTAGTCAAGTATTAAAAGTTACAATTGACACATCGTTATCCCCAAATCAATAAAATGAGGCATTTCCATCAATGAGAGAAAACCGCTTTAACAGGAACCCCCAGGTGAACGGTATCTTAAGGGGTGTCTTGTCTTTGTCTTGTTTTTTTTTGTCTTCATATGCTTCCAAAGGTTTCACTCAGTTTTCAAGTTCATCTCTTCATCCCCCCCAGACTACATGACATTCCTGTCATGTATTTTTGTTCTTTATGTCCTTTGCGGAATGATTCTATTGTAAATGTAGAACTTGAAATGGAACTTGGGTTTGCGAGCTCTACGGGGCGAAACCACTGTTCAGAAAGCACTGCAAGGCTGTGCTGTGTCCAATCCCCGTTACAATGTCAGTGTTGTTATATTTTCAGTCAGCAGAGATTTGCAGCGATTTTTCATTGATTACTACTCAGCACCATATCGTGCAGAAATATTGCTATCATCTACGTTTTGATGAATTCATTGCCTTTCTGTATAGGATATACATGGACCGAGGCTACAGTCCTTTATCTGAAGACTTAGATGAGCTGGATTCGCGTCTCAACTCCTCGACGTCTTCATTTTCATTACCAAATGGTTTGTTTCCGTACGATCACCTCACCGGCTGGAAGAAACCTCTATTGTAAGTAACAGCTTCTCAGCAAATCGAATCAGATTGTACTCCAAGACCATAAACGCCTTACTAAGATGCATTTCTCTTTGTTTTTAGGCCGCATTTCAGACCGAAATCTCCACCCAGTCAAGTCACGCTTTCTTCCCATTCGTCATCTTCTGTATCGTCAACTGATTCACCTTCTGCCAGTAAACAGACCGGGGAGCCAAGACCGCGCCTTCATAGAAGCTTTTCCACGCAACCAAGATCGAAATTCTCACTTAACCCCACCCCTACAAATGGTGTGGTGGGGCTGAACTTTACGCATCCCAACTTGGGCCGTAACGCTCTAACGAACGGACCATTATCGAGTCAAGGCGGTTACACTACGGGAGCACTTACTAGTAAAAACACTGCCTACTCTACGGCACCTATGAACTCAGTGTCCGCTTTGAATTTTCCTGTGAACTCTGGACACACAATATCGAACAGTTTAGTGCGCGGCAATGCGCCGTTTTCACCCTCGGCTCTTAGTTCATCATCATCGGCGACTTCAACGTTGAGGGCGGGCAGCGTTGAAAATTCTGGCGCGGAACAAATGTAAGTGGGGCCATTGTCTACTACAATGTAGTTAGTAGCACCATCGTGCTCTTCTTGAATCTCCTGTTTTCACTGTCCTGGACTTACGCCTCCCCCATTTTTTTTCGCTTCAGACATCCGCTCCCCTCCACCCTTTTGCTCCTCTTCCTCTTCCGGTTTTCCCAACTTCAGATTTCCGCTTCCTATAGCCGATAGCTGATTAATACAGGACAACTTTCCAGTGTGCGCTCCGCGTAAGATAAATCCCACGAAATGAGTCTCTGCCCTTCTGTCGTCACGTACTGCATGAGGTGTGTCTGGGGTCCGGGAAGGGCCGCGAAATCGTTATCCCGCATTCCCGCTCGTTTCACGAGAATCTGGCCGCATCCCGAACTTGTCCGCCATTGCCATCCCGAATGTCGTTTTCTTTCCCAATCCCGCATCCGTGCTCAAATTTTGGCGAATAGCCCTTCCTGGTCGGGTAGCAATCAAATCTCGTATCCCGCTAACGTTTCCCGAATCCCGCACTGTATTTTGGTCAAACCCCGCGCTCGGGAATACCCTTCCAGACCCTGTTTGTCGTGTGACTTAAGAACCTGTTAAAACACGATGACATATTATGGAATACGCAGATGTAAGCGGGAACTGCCTGGTAAGAGCAATGCTTTCAGTCAGCATCTTCGTCTTTTCTTGACCTTGCGGAAAACAGGTTTTTTATGATTTAATCTTCCATGCAAGGCTCCGTTTCATGAACCGCTGAAGTAGCCCTTTGTGGTTTGTTGATGTTTTCTCTCCAGGGAATTAGATGTGGTAAATAGAACAGATGGCATTCTTAGCACAATGGATGGGTTAGGATCTTCACTTAGCAGTGTACCAAGTGCATCGTGATGCCTGCTAGCCAAACCAATCAATATAATCAAGAATGCGATTGTTCTCCATCCAGAAAGCTGGTCTTCTCTCTGTTTTAGATGGTTGCAAGTCGTCGGGGTGAAAGTTGCCGAAAGAAAGAGGAAGGAATAAGAATTGGAGGGCCGTTACTTTTGCAGAAACATTAAGCGCCCTGTATAATTTGTTACTATTCCGAAGGGATGGAAAGATTCCCCCTCGGATGGCGGGTTACACGAGAGATATAGACATAGTCTTCAATTTGCTTGGGAATTCTCTCATATTATGCACAGATAGTTAAGGGAGGTGAAACAACGCGACATGGAACTAGAAATACGTATTAAAGCGCTTCACTGGATTTGCTTGATGGCGCCCATGATATTAACGTAGAATCCACAACTCTCATTTCATCAACACAGACGTTTCGTTGGAAATATTTTATTCGCGAAAATCTGACTGATTATTAGCTCAAACAAACTTCACGTTCTTTGTAACTTCAGCCTATAGGTACCTTTTTGTATTTGTCAGCGCATGCTCTGTGAAGGGAAGTTTTTTTTGTTGTACTTCGATTATAACGTGCATATCGAGTTCTTTTTTTCTGAACGCCTTTTGTATTATCGACTCTGCCTTTATGTTCAGTTTTGACAGACTGCATTTTGTTTCACAAAAGGCTGTAGTTAAAGAGAGCGACCAGTTTAATCGAAGATAGAAGAATATAAATTTAGAAAAAGAAAACGTCAAAACTCTGCCACTGGGGTGATGGTGGAAGAGCTGTACAACTTTTGTGCTTCGCATCTTTTGCGCGTTCTTCAGGATAAAAATATCGACGGTGAAGCATTATAGTCTATCAGAAACAAGCGTGATCAATTTGTGTTATAATCAACAGGACAGAACAGTGTAAAAAGTAAATAAACGGTCGACGTTCCCGTATTTTTTAAAACATTATTTATTGTTACAAATTATAGGAAGATTATTTGCGCATCACGCCTCTATCGTGTTAACTGTGATGCGATAATTATGAGGGACAACATTGATTAGTATTCTCCTTAGCTGGGGTTGCGTTGGTTGGGTAGTCACGCAGTGCCTGCTATAATATAATTGCATGACAACCAGAGTAACGCAACCCCGGCAATAATAGCTGCCAAGTTTCAATCGAGGCAGTGTTCTTTGTCCAGTGTACTCGGTACAGCGACAAAGTTTTATTTGAATTGAGCTCCTTAGATAAAAATCCTATATTTTATAAAGCAATCAATGTGAAACCAATACACTCTTTGTACAAGTGACTCTTTCATATTCCCTTCTAACGTATTTGTGTACAATAAATCGCTGACAATAAACAATTCACCTGGAGTGAGTCTGTTTTACCATTGTTTTTACCCCCTTTCAACGGCTTACCAGACAATTGTGCCATTTTTTAAATATAATTACCATAACTTTTTTCAAATTAATCGCTTACGGTCGACAAGTGCGCGTTGCGTATATAATTCCATTTGTCTTTTTCTTTTTCCAACCGGTAGTTTTTGTCTGCTCTTGACACCGACCGTTTCCCGGGGCTTTTCGCCGCCTGGTTGCTATTCATACTGTCGGTGATGACCTGGGACTACCTTTAAGTCGAGGCTCAGGTACGACACAAGGTGCGCGGAGCACTAAAAGTAAGAAAATTATTTTGGTGTCTGTCTAGGTTTGATGACTTGCCTTTTTTTGTGAACTTGCGTTCGGAGGAGGAGAACGCCTACCGGACTAGCTCAAACGGGTGGAAATAGGTGCTCCAAAATAGCACCAACTCTTAATCTTTATTTTCATTGGTCCCTATTCCCAGAAATTCCCACTTTTTAGGGGTAATTGATGCATTGTCTGGGTCCTGTTTCATGTTTGATCAAACCAATAACAGGACCTGTTGCAAATGGCGTGTTATTCCGCATCGCAGGGAAACCAACATGGTTTTCATTTGTGTCTATCCAGTTAATTGCCGAGAATACGAATGAGGTTAAGTGTCCTGCTGCTTCAATAATAGTGTCCAGGTCGACACTTACAGATATTTTACTTTGTCAGAATTAACTTCCTGTACCCATTCCAAAATATATCAATAAGAGAACTTCTTTATCATGATCATTGCCAGCCAAGAATGTCCTTCGAGTCACCTAGTGACTTCAAATAGACAGGACGAATTGCAAAATTGTAAAACTCTTCCACTCCAGGTTTATTAAAGACGTGCCTCTGAGGTTGCCACGCGTTGAGACCGCCGTCTCTTCACCTGGCTGTGTGCTGTGCAAATCTGGCAAAACGGACCCTAAAGAAGCAAACAAAAATATTACTACCAACACGATCGAACATCGAACGCCTCAGTCTCTCTTTCCGCTATTAAAAAGGTGGAACACAAGAGGAGAAACACCTACGAACAAGTTGAGGCTGACCCAGGTTTAATTATACAGCCTGCATAGCATTCTTGTCCACTTCCTTTTAGCCGAAGAGGAGACGCGCAGGAGACGCGCCAGAGGGAAGTGAAAAAATCGCTATAAATAACCACCGTGGCCAGCCACCCCTCTTGATAAAATAACGCCTCCTCCTCCTTGCTGGCAAAGTCCCGCACCGGCATTCCCGTATTTGATCAGTGTTTAGTAAGTGGAAGAAGAAACAGACGAGAGTGTTAAGGTAGCCTGGCGAACGCTTAAAAACACTGCTAACAAAAACGTTTGAAGACTGAGAGAGCATGGATCATGAAGTCAAGCCCACACAAGTCGCTCAGATCAAAATTATAAGAATCAAGCAAGGAAATAATGGGTTTTATTTACTATACAGAATGTCACCATAATTACGACTGCTGGCGAAGAATGAGAGTCGTGAAATGTACAGCTTGAAGCAAAGAACTCGTTACTTACCACATCGCGCGCGGGCAGGCAGTCCTCGTGATAGACGTGTTTACAAAAGAATACAACGACGTGTGATGCTCTTCTTGAGTCTGAAAAAGATAGGTTTTAAAAAAACACAAACCTGTATAAAGCACAAACGGTAATAGAAGAAGGATATTTGTTGTGTGATGGTTGACATTGCAAATACTGCGTGACTTAAAAGCAGGAGAGAACGGCTGTCAAGTGGAATGAGTAACTAAGGCTCCGTTTTATGGAGAAAAGTTGTCCCTGGAACGAGGGTCACCCTCCCTGCCCAACCAATTTTAGAGAACGTTTATGTGAGAAAGAAGTTGACCCAGAGCTGACGACGGTGTTTGCGCATGCTATGATTGTCTCGCCTTGACTGAGTTGACCCGGCTGAGCAAGCCAAAGTGTTTGTGTGGAGAAACGTTGGTCCGGCTGGGAGGGTGACCCTACCATTTAAAAAGGGTGACCCGCCTAGGTTGTTCACCCTTCTAGCCGAGCGAACTTTTTGTTTCTCATGAAAACGGTTCGCCAAGTTTTGTAAGGAAATGTTAAGGAAAGCTGGTTCGCCCCAGGGTAACTCGAGTAACTCGGTGACGCTTCTACCCGGAACAAAGGAACGAGTTTCTCCAGATAAATGGGTACTAATGAAATGATTGAGTTTTTATAATTAGCCTACCTTCTGCGATGATGGCACCCTGGCACACAGGACATTTTGTTTCATCTGCCAAAGAACGGTAAATGTTATTTTTAATAACATCGCTTAGATTGTACGGGAAAGAAGCGCTTTGTCGCCGCAATACGAACATCAATTAGTATCGTACGCCCTAATATCGCCAAAGGCAAAAAGAGAACGCTACTTCGCATTTCAGATGCAGAAAATGCTTGTAGTGCCAGAACTACTGCTTATTTCTAGAGTCTTCATAATGAAGTTTATTTCAGTAATAAATTAATGAACGTGCAGGAATTATAAGTTTGACGCTTAGAGACGCAGAGGTAGCGAAGTCGCGGGGGACTTGTACGCCAACGCCACACGAAGCCGATATGGATGACGGGAAGGCGGAAGTCTATCTTTCTTGCTACTTCTCATCAGCCCTTCCCCTGCCCGGATTAGTGTTCTTTCTGCCCCAATCTCATCACGGTTCCTCCGCGCTCGCCCGACAATCACTTAGCTTGTTTGCGCGCCCGAATAAAACCGCCATGCTCCGCAGGCTATGGTCCAGTTCACTCAAAAACTGGACACCTCTATCCGCGAGTAAATCACTATCCAACGAATAAGTATCAAGAAAACTAATTGTGCCATACAGTGGATAACGGTGCATTGAACAACAGGAGCCAGCACTTTTTCTTCCGATCAACAGGATCAGCGATTATAAAACATTCACTACCACAGTTTCATTTCAGAAAACTTACCATCTACAGAAACACCCTTCTGCTGTACTTTGCTCAAACGCTGCAGTAAGGAGACACTACAAAAATCACAGAAATAAACGTAAGAATGAAGAAGACGAAACCGACACGGTAACAGCTTTTACATTATTGTCCCACGGCGAAAATAACCCCCAAAAGCTTTTACTTCAAAGGTCGCACCAAAATACCTTAAGGGTCAGAAGCTAGAACCATTTTGTACAGTATAGTCAACTGTGCTAAGGGAAACGACAACTCAACGATCCCAGTTAAAAGGCCAATTTTTGAAGGACTTTTCTACAGATCCAAATGTTATCAGGATTACCGGCACGTAAGGCTATGTTCACCCACTTCACCACACAGCTTTCCGTGCCGACACGACAAGTTCTCCGGTATATAGATTTAGCCAGGGCTAAAAGCGAAGCGCTCGATAATATTTATAGTTTGTTCAAACAAAATATATAACTGTGTAATGCTAAGTGGCGAAGGCAACAAAAACGGTGAAAAAAAAAAACAATAGGTCTAATTAGCAAAAAAGCAACTTTGCACGTGCAGCACACTTTATTTGTACATTTCTTTGCCGTTGTTTTGCACCACTACAACTTAAAACTTTCAGAAACTTCCTGGTTACACGTTTTATGGAGGAAATGTCGTACGTGTCGTTGTTCACTTTTTTTTCACTGCCGCTACAAACTTTTCATGTTGTTCTTCCCACAAAAAAGTCTGCTTTGTCTTTTATTTCTCGCTCTAGCTATCTGTTGCCCTTTTTTTCTTTGAGTTTCGCTGGCCTGTCGCCTACTTTCTCTTTTTCTCTCTCATTTTCTTTCTCTGTATTCCAAATTTGTGGACATGACAATTAATCTAAGCTTAATACTTAGACAACACAGATACAGAAACAATTTCCGTTTTCCGTTTTCGTCTTTATTGACTCTTTGGTTGTCTCTACTTCACAAGACGGGGCTGGCTACGCGATTTCCCGCCAAAATAACCTCGAGTCATCATACCTGTTGATTGAGTTATTTTGCACTGGTATGCCTGTGGTGCGGAAGGACAGTCGGTCGGTCGGGCGTACGGTCACGTGATTACCAAAATTTCTCGGACAGGTAGATCACCGCATTTTCTTTGGTATGGGGCTGCGCTCGCGGCGTGGAGCTCCGCAATGAACACCTATCCGATATGTGACTCTCCACTTAGAATAAAGGCGCGACACAGCTTTGATCTGTTAGAGAAATCGTGCCAAAATCACCGTTCTTATGAGCGAACAGAAGCCCTACCCAGTATAGTTTTCGTGCCGGCGCAAATCCTACCCGGTATAAAGGGGACATAGTCTGTACTGTAACGTGTCGCTAGCTCACCTGTCTTTTACAAGAATCTTTTTGCAGCCTTCTCGAAGAGATATCTAAGGAAAAAAGATGTCAAGGATAGGAGAAATCAGACGCCGCTAAGATCCTAAAAATCTTTAGATATGTAAAAGGTCATTATCGACAAATATAGGAAGAAGAGTTATTGTGACCGGTTTTCAGGAATTCGAAATCCTGTCCAGGTGGCGAAAATATCAATTGTATTCAGTTGTACTTTCGAGCTTTATAACGCGTATCACAGCACAAAGTTACTCATTAGGGTGGGGTTGGGAGGTTGTTAAGGACAGGGATAGTCTCAAGCATGTGCATAAAGTTATCGCTAACACTCCCTTGGGATTGCCTTACTTGCTGCGCACGTTCTTTCGGCGTGCCCAGTCAATTGCTCTCTGTAAGGGGACTACTATCAGGCTGGCAAAAGGCTTGAAAATGCCATGCTCTGATCTGAGGTCCATACTGGGACATTTACTGACCTGTGTGCAGACGTCTTCACGGAAATACCAGACGTCGACACGCCTTCTAGACGCTTATCAAATTTTTCATGGATTAAATGCTTACAATAAATTTGAGGGCGGCATTTATTTGAGATTTAGACGCAAAAAGAATTGTTTTAACTATGGTATTATTATTGTTTTCCGCATTAAAGTAAGAGAATTAACGTCTTTTGAGTTTGTTCATTTGGACGCCGCGCGCTAAATTTGGGGGCGGCACTTATTAATTTTTTTGTCCCAAATGCAGCGCTTATTCGAGTAATTCGGTAAGCGCAGTAACAAGCAAGAATAGTCGGAAAAGCAAGCTTTTGCCACACTACAACTAGAGGAAAGTACACTATTCTACGAGATAAGTGGCAAGATGATGGTAAAGATTCAATATAACACGAAGCAACGAAAGCTGACAGTACTTACCTGCAAATTAAAATCTTGCAGAATTTTCACCAGGGAGTCTCTAAGGCCGGGAATCTTAAGTCCCTCAGGTATCCTCTGTCAAATAAATCAATACGTTGAAATAATGCCGAAATAAATTTGTTTTAATGAAACAGAAAACTGCAGAACCTCCAAGATACCTGAATAAGCTTAATAGGATCGACATGAGTACCAATATTTTGTAGGAGACCAGTGATGAATTCTACAAGAAAAAGACAGAAAGAAATTTAAATGACTTTAGATGACTTGCCTCAATCAGTCGAATGTCTTTAGGCAAACCAATACCAGCCTGCGTAACTGGCGGTTTCGTATGTCGAACGCGCAAATGTGTGGCGCGGTTTTGTTGGTCGAGCGCGCAAGTGTGGCGCGGTTTTGTTGGTCGAGCGCGCAAATGAGCAGCGAAGCCGAGAGGAGATAAGGACGAAAATGCGCGTTTTACGCGCGTCTTCTCAGCTTTTTCTCTCTCTCGCCAAACAAACCGCCAGCTACGAAGGCTAAGCAATACTGAATCAAATACCTGGTTTATCTAGAGAATAGTTGATAAGATCATCCCATAATTCCTCGTCATTTTGTTCCTTGGCAAACTCAATCGCCTGTCAATCAAAAGAATGCCAGTCATTACCTGTTACTAACAGGCCAATTCCAAGTTTCTCCAAACCTCCACTTCAAAGCGAGACTAAGTGCAAAGCCATTGATACGAAAATGACTTTCTGTTCTCAAGCTAGTAAAACTCATTTTTCACAAGAAAGGTTTTGCACTTAGTCTCGTTTTGAACGTGAGAGCTTTTGGAACTAGGAAATGGCCTATTTCCCAACACAATTGACTAGGAATTTAAATCATCGCTCTTAAAAAAATAGACCACTTCTAAGCTTAAAAAATCTACTTTGAACGTTCAGTAGCATTTTAAGGTGGTGCCACCACAATGGCAAGAGTTATCGGTGATCACCTTTTTTACGTCGTTTTCTTCCTGAATTATCAGCTGCAATGCTTGCTTGTTGTTGCCCATACGACCTGGAAAACAAAAAGACGTTAATTATGTTACACGATGTTTTATGCCCATGTGAGAGGTTTCTTGTCTCCTGTTTTAGTGGACAATTTAGAGTGTATATAGAACGTTAAACGTGTCGGGAAGTTATCTTTTCAATTTGAGTCTTTAATACATAGTCAAGAGAAAAGATCATGAGAATTGCTGAGATGATCACCAAAGGGAATTCAAAATGCTTTGACCTTTTAACAAATTCTCTCCACTAATTCTTTAAGGAAATTTGCGGGGTCAGTTAGGAGAATTTTTATGTGGATATTGGGACTCGAGGGTTTTAATAAATACATCAGTATTTCCCTTTCCCAGTAAAACACACCTTGCCATTTAGAAATAACAATAAACAGTTAAATGAAAAGACTACGTACTGAGGAGAAACACCATCTCTGGAACCAAATGTCTTTGTTCGCACTCGTTTAAAGCCTGAAAAAAAAAAAACCGAGTTTAAACTGATCAAGGTTGGGTGATTCACGTAAATTCCGAAGTATAGTTAACCTACGAGACGGTGCCAGTAGGGGAATCCCCTGTAGTCGAAGGTGTTTCTGTCAAATCAATAACCAAGGATACGACTACGGGGGAAGGGGGTATTTCTTTAAACAAAAGATACCAGAATTTGCCCTATGGACGTGGCTGCAATGAACTTTAACCCCTAAGTCGTAACAGAAACTCAGTTGAGTAACAAACTCCTCCCATCATTTTTGGGCTTGACACCCTTAAAAGGCAGGGGCACTTGTAGAAGAGAAGGATCCCGGGGCTGCCTCGTACCCAGACGCCTCTCTGTCTCTCAATGAAAATTTGCGCGCAAAGGAAGGCGGGAAGGAGAAAACGGGCGCCTCCCGTCTTTACCCTTCCCATGGCCCCTTGCGCTTCGTCACTACTTACTCGCGTTTCGCGCCCGCCTCTATGCGAAACCATGCGAAAGACGAAACGCCTAAGGAAAAGGCTGATCCCGGCGGGTATAGCTACTTTCCCAGATTGGAATGTTACAACAGTGCAATTTAAGTTGTATCTAGCATTACACGAGGCTATTTAGAAAAGGTTAAACGAAGTTAAAGCAGCGGTTTCACCAAAGTGATGTGGGGGGCGCCAGGGAGGTTTGCAGGGGCATTGCCATGTGCTTTTGCTCAATTTGCTGTGCTACTTTACTGCGCTTGTACTCGGATAGGCCAGAATATAGTAAATTGTACGGTCAAGGTGACAACAATCCATTTACACCATCTTTATTGATGAACATTTTTCATTAAACACGGCTCTTCGAACACCAACTTGTGAAAAAAAGCCTTGTACCCTCGAGCCAGAGCCCCGCGCAACTGAGGTCCAACGTGCTCTTGTCTGCCTAAATCACATTGTAAAAAACCATTTCATATAAAACTACACATGTATACACGGCTTTACCTTTTGAAGAGGGTAATAGTTGCTGTTTCTTAGAAAAGTAAGAAGCTTTGGACGATCAAATTCGGCGTAAAGGGGGATCTACAAACACGAGAAAAAAGTTAATGGACTCTTGAAAAATAAACGTTTAGTTAATGTTCTCATTTCTTGGCTTTGAGCAGAGGTTCACTGTCAAGAAACACGTGTGAAAGTCAGCGTTTGTGCTTTTCATATTCCTGGTCCTTTCTTCAGTATGCTGCGTTATAACAGATTTAGTCGCAAAGGAGCTTAGCCGTTGACTCTATTAAAGCATGGTATAAACGAGCCAAAAAACAAATAGCGACCCCTCAGAAGGAACAGTTGCAAGTCTTTTTTCCCGCACATTTTTTGCCACTTTGCACGAGTAATTGTATGATTTTTTTTCCCGCGTCATAAATTGTTCCGTCTGCATCCTTCATTTTCCTGTGCTTTGCACCAGTTGTAAGCTTAATTATTTTCCCGCGCTTCTCATGATTGATTGCATGCTAAATTTTTTCCCGCCCCTTTACACCGACTGCAAGCTAGGTTTTAGCTCGCCTTGAAACGATTGCGGATTTTGCACAAGTTGCAAGGTTCAATTCAAATCACAATTTACACAACATTAACCAACCTAAACTCGTAGCAAGGCAACAGATCATTTAGTACCTGTAACTCGTGATAATCCATCCCAGCTTGAGGATCTTTGACGAATAGCGCATCTAGGTACTGAATGAAGAATAAAAATTGACTTAGAGAACATTATGTACAAAGCATTTAAAATTCTAAGTGTCAACACTTAAAGGAAATATACTGAGCAAATGCTTTCCTATGGTATTGTAAGTAACGCAGCACAAGGTGGTTTTTACTTTTGAGTCTGTGGATGAAATCATAAAGTGCGACCATTCAAATGAAAATTACTGAGCAGTACTTTCCTGCGGTATAATTTATTATGCCACACAAAGTGATTCGACCTTTGAGTCTGTGGATGAAATCCATAATGTTTTTTTCGGGTTATTAATATGAAGTGTGTTTGCTTGCGAAACAATCCAGTCTAATATTCTACGGACAATGCTTTTAGTGAGGTGAGTTCGTTCAGTTTTTTTTGAAAAAAAAAAACAACAACAACAACAACAGATTGAGGCACATTTCACTTACCACATGCAGGAGCTCAGATCTTTTATTTAGCTGCCGCACGACATCTTCAACCTGTAAGATTCCGCAAAAAGTTTAATATTTGGAGGGCTGCACGAATAGGGTAAAGGTGATGTTACAAGGGGCGATTCGCAACGATGATTCTTTGAGCAGCACAGCATTGCAATGTTGGAAGAATGTTGCAACCGTTTGAATCAATGTCGCAACAATGTTGCAACGCCGCGTTCCACTAAAAACCATTGTTGCGAATCACCCTGTGTAACTTCACCTTAACGGACAAAAGAACATCAAAGAACATCGTAACTAAACTTACAGGAACTTTGTCGATATTGTCAATCAACATCTTCACTGCTTTCTGCAAAAAAAGAGCAACAAGAATGTAGTTTTTTTGTCCAGTTAAGTAAGTTTTTATCATTTACATATGAAAAGAAGGAAGATTTTTGCTCCCAGCGTCATATAGCAAAGTTCTAACTTTTGAGTTCGTGGATGAAATCTTATCTTCAGACCATTCAAATGAAACCTCTTCAGTAATGCTATCACGTGGTACCATTTGTTTTCTAGTAAGAAATCTGGAATTTCTCGTGAACATTTCGACCTCGATGGAAAGTTTACAACAAGTAGTTATAGCTACCTCTTTATCAAAGTCCATGAGCATTATAATCTTGTCCTGGATTGAATCGAACAAGTTGTGTTTATGGATCAGGTTAAACACATCAGTGTGACCTAGTCTGTGAAACAAAGTAAGAATTTTATTACATATATTCGTCTCAAATTTCGTTTAAGGCCTAGGGGAAACGTCGAACTTTTGATGAGACGAACCAACTCTAATTTGGGTTGACCTAAATTAAATTCGCCTGTTGGGTCAGACGTCGAACTTAGGACACGTCGAACCAATCTACTGAATCAGATCAGTAAAAGTTTTTTCTTGAACGAGGCTGAATATGCATTATCATACCAATTTTTAATTAATTAGTTTAGTTCGTCGCATGTGAAGATCAACGTTTGTTCCGGAGACGATCCTCAGACGTTCTATCCGTCTGCTTCAGACGGATAGAACGTGTTGGACGACCCAAACTCATTCAGACGAACGTAACTGAGCCAGACGTCGAACTTTTCATGAACGTAACTAACCAAATCTGGTTCGTCTCATGACAAGTTCGACGTTTGCGTCCCTCCGATTGCTTCAAACAACAACGTTTTCTCACTCAAAAGTAATTTAAAAACCACGGAGATTGCGTAACATAACGTTCTTGGAAATCAGATCCCAAATTCCTCGTCTTTCTGCAACCGTAATTTCTCGCTCTGAATCATTCTGTCTTAAAAGCTACATAGAGCAATTAAAACAATGTTTGTTCGCAATTTCATACGCCTGAAAGGTCGTTTAAAATACTCAACCTCACGTCCCGTTTTTCGAGTCGTTTAAAAGTAAGCTGTGTTTCAATTGATTTCCAAACATCCACTTAACATTAATTTCCTTTGAATTTTCTCCATGAATTAATAAAGAGTTTGCGTTAAGTTAACCTCCTAACTTCTAACGTCCATTTACAACAGGATTGACATGTACTTCGACCTTGTCAAAGCCCGTTTCCGCAGTCGACTTGTGGCAAGTCTAACCGGTACTCGGCAGACAGGTTTAACTGATAATTTGAAACTTATCAACTTACTTAAGATAAATGGCCAGTCCCTTGTCATATCTTGTCAGTCTAGTGTAACTGTAATGGAACACCAGAGGGCAAATGTCAGTCACTGAATGAGGGGACAAAAATTACATAATTTTATCCTCAACGGCTTACAGTTCTCCTAGAGTTTCCAAAAGGACACGGTTATCTGGATCTTTTTCCAGCTGGTCCTATCAAGACATGAAAAAGAAAAAAAGAAAGAAAAGAAAAGAAAAGAAAGAAATGTGAAAACAGCCACACCTCTCTGTTTAAAATGCTCTTTGAACAAAGTGTTGTGTTCAACTAATTTTTCCACCCTTTTATACTACACTTATGTACTGCGCTTCTGACTGCGTGATCATTCATACGTAATATGCTTGATTGGCTGAACATTCGCCTGTACGGTGCTAATCATTGGCTGAAGAGCCGCTTGTAAAGCGCTTATGATTGGCAGGGTGACAATGATTGGCTGAAAAGTGGCTTGTATAGCACAAATGATTGGCTGATCTCTTCCCCAAACGGCAGTAACGATTAGCTGATCGCTCACCTGTACTGCGCTTATGATTGGCTGAACACTGTACAAGTCTGCAGGCCAGTCCTTTATAAGGTTTTGAAATTTCTGCAAAATAAAAAATAGTACGCGTTGGTTGCTTGTGTCGGCTGAGTGAAAAACATGAAATACTCGAATCACCAGTTTCAAGAAGAACTGTAATCAGATTTACTCAGCTGTGGTAATAAGCGAACCAGCGAAGAGAATTGCAAGAAAGGACGCCCAGTATCAGACTGTTGGTGTTATCATACTGACCAATGAACAAAGTGTGCCCCATGATAACAACCAATAAAACACTGGCTGATATCACCTGACATCCTGCCCATAGCCAATCAGATGACACGCATAAAGTGATGTCATCACGTACTGGAGAATTACTTCACAAAGGGGGGATTCATTTGCGACATAAGCGTGGTCATCAGTTTTCAAGACCTCAAAGGTGAACAAATCTGAACAATCTGTTTCAGATGAAAAGAAATCTAGCCTGTGAATACATCCGTCTTTCATCGCTTCTCGCCGCTTGGGTCATTTTGCTGGAGAGACCGTCGTCTGCGCCTCAAAGACAGAAATAGCTAAAAGAATATGATCAGTAGGTCTACCAATAAGAGTTCCCGACCAGATTCTTGACGGATTTTACGTCATCAGTATGCAATTTCCATCGTTCACACGCAGACGTGTCTCTCGACAAACCTACCAAGCGGCGACGAGTAAGGAGAGACGGCTGTATTCGCAGGCTAGAAGAAATCTTTAGAGTATCACTATGAAAATATATAGAAATGAATATGACACGCCAGGAGAAATTACCTTGTAATCCTTTTTGAGGAAGTCGTACAAAACCATTTCATAAATTGCTGAACTTAGTTTCACAGCGCTTGTTGGGATGTACGGTGCAATAGCCTGGTCAACAACAACAACAAAACAATATTATTTTTTAACTACCAACAAGGTTGGATGGAACTCACTTCCATCCTTAAGTTTCACTTGCAGTAATCACGCGGAAGTACTGCTGAAATTTCACATAATACCCCGCTTTTTCTATAGCCTCCCACAAACTTGGGGAAGAAGCCCATAAGACAAGCAAGAATTAGGGAGCTTAAGCAACAAGAACGACGTCAGCGACGAGAACGGGAAAAAGCAATAGGTTTAGACTAGCAAACCAACAGCTCTGCACGTGCATCACGCTTTTTTGCACATTTCTTTGCTGTCACTGCACAACTACGACGTGAAAAGGCCCAATTTCACGTTTTGTGCAGGGCGTGAACACACAAGACAACGATTTTGTGATTCTTTTTCAAAACTTAGATACTGTCCTTAAGAATTCATCTCCAGAAATTCACCACCAATTAACAAATTAAACGACTTGGAATGAGAGTAATGAATTTTGAAACAGGGTGAATTCACTTTTTAAGAGACGTCATCGTCGTTGCTTAAGCTACCCAATGTGTGCATGAGAGGCTAATTTTTCTGTACTATTACGAAACAATAACAGTTGATTTAATATCACCAAAGAAGAAAATATCTCCTTAACAGAGCAAACAAAAGATAATACAAAATGCGCAAAAAGCCAACATTAGTCACAGTGGAGGCAAAATTAAATTTCCATTTAAGACCAACTTGAAACCTACTTCTAATTGATGTTTCCTTGCAAACTTGTACACTTCGTCCTCCCAAAGTTTCTTATCATCGCCCAAAACTTTGACGCACACTCTACGAGAATTTAAAAAGAATTCAACTGAGTGGAGTCGGTTTGGAGATGTGCAATACTGTCCTAAGTTCTTTATTATGTGGAGAAAAGCCTATGATTGGACAAGCTACTGAGTAGTTTTATTTTTTTCTGTGGTGCTGTTTATTATGCTGAACAAGGTGGTTCTAACTTTTGAGTCTGTGAATGAAATCCTAAAGTGTGACCATTCGTCACATGAAAGCTACTAAGTGGTACTTTCCTGTGGTACTGTTTATTAAGCTATACATAACAAGGTGGTTCTAACTTTTGAGACGGCGGATGAAACCCGTAAGTGGACCATTCGAATGAAAGCTACTGAGCAGTACTTTTCTGTGATAAATACTATTTTATGTTGTGAAAGGTGATTAAAAATCGGTTGTCAATAAAACCTCTTCAACGGTACATTTACATGGTAGTATTTGTGTTACAGTATTTTACACAATAAATCTGTTATTCTTCCTTGAATTTTGAGTTAAGACGTTCTTCGAAGTGACAGACAGTTATCAAAAATAATCTCTTCTCCCTCTCTCCCTGAGAGCACAAAACATGAATTCATTTTAGTGAAACTTAATGCATAAAACAAATAAATACACGTGAGGAAATACAAACCTCGCGGCAGTTTCATACTTTCCTTCTTCCATCAGAGATTTTAGATATGACCTTCCAATGTCCTAAAAAAGCAGCCACAGTGTTACAAACTACAGGAGCATTTGTTTTGATAATAGGGTGTTTAAGAAACCACCAAGCCGACGATGGCGCAAACGTGACTTAAAAATTGAGTTCGCTTTCTTTGAAACTTCAGCGCGGTCATCCCAACTCGCTTACTTAGTCTAATACAGGTGAACTTTCCTAGAGTTGAATTCTTAAGAAAGATATCCAAATTTAAAAAGAGAAAGAGAAATTCGTCGTCGTATGTTCACGTTGTCAATAAAACGTGGAATTTGGCAATTCACGTCCTAATGTGCCCAAAAAAGTGTGCTGCACGTGCAAAGTTGTTGTTTTGCTAATTAAAACCAATAGACCTTTTCAGCTAACTCAGCGTTGTACCCAATTCAAATCTCCTGGGGTTAAGATTCTTTGTGTATTGTATTTGCATTCTAATGTGGCATTCACATTAAAATGATATGGAAATTCCTGAAACAAAAACGTTTTATTCCCAAAGGGCTTGAATTGGACAAAACTCGAGTTTATTAATAGCCAAATAGGTCTATTGATTTTTTGACGTTCTTGTTGCTGTCGCCGTAGTAAAACATTAACTCCCAGAAATCTTGACCTAGAACTATCTGTTTCTAAATAACATCATTTTTTTAAGGGCAAATTACATTCCACTGTGCTTAAGTTTTTGTTCCTTTTAACTAACCTGCTGATTATGCTTCTTGACTTCTTTGCTGTTTGTCTCTGCTGCAACCAAGGCTTCCTGCACAACAAACAAAAATATCATTAAATGAAAAAGCTATTGTCAATTTAAATGAAATGATAACAAACCCTCTAAAAGGACACACTCGGGCTTTTGAAGTCCACCCACAGTATGTAAAACCCCAAGCTCGTTCCCAGGGTTCTCTCCTACCCGTCCCTAAGGAGCGAAAGAGAGAACCTGGGAACGAGGTTGGTAAAACCCTTGCTCTTCAGCTAGTGCTGTGGTCCGCAGTAGGCGAAATTGGAGTGCTCATGTGAGTTTTTGGGTGTTGGGGTGAAATGTGGGACATGCAAGAAGAAGGAAAAGAGAGAGAAAAAAGGATAAAACAGTTATTATTTTCTTTCTCCTCCACTTGCGTGTCTTGCACTTTGCACTCATTCCCTAAAAAGCCACCTGAGTGCCCTCAATAATGCCTGTTTTGCAGGCAATTTATGAAGCGCAGAGACAAAGGTTGCTGTCAATACATTAATTTTTTTTTATTTTGTGGCCCATTTATATACTGACGACCATTGCCATATATAGCACTTTGACCTAGGTCAAACGTCGAACTTTTCATGAGACGAACCAAACTTAGTGAGTTAAGTTCACGTAAAGTTCAACGTCTGGCTAATTTCAGTTCATCTGAATGAGTTTGGATCGTCCAACACGTTCTATCCATCTGTTTCAGCCGGATAGAACGTCTGAAGTTGTATGTTTTGTTTTGCCAAGAGAGGTCCCAGGGGAACCTGACCCTTCATCTATTTATAAATTATGCATAGATATGCACGTGAATAAGATCAAATTTGAACGGAAAAGTTCCCGAGAGTATTATCACATGACCTGTATTGGAAAAACAAAACATACAAGCTAAAGAGGTCTATTAACCATACTGTCCATGCTTACCTCAAACTTGCCATGATCAATCAGCCACTTGAGGTGATCATCAATGTTTCTAGGCTAAAAGAAAACTCCACAAATTAAACACACACTGTAAAGACTATGCGTTTTAAATGGAATAAAACCATTGTTTCATGTAATTTACAAAGCATCAACTTCCAGACAATCAGCAGCTGATTCCATTCTTCAGCATACAATATGTAATAAATATAGAAGCACATTTAAGAGTCATGTTTTGCATGCTTGGCAAGTTTCTACAAAGCTCCTTGAGGATTGCCTCCACAGTATTACCATCTTTGAAGAGAAGCCAACTTCAAGATAATATTTAGACTTGCACAAGTTGACCTCATGAGTTTCTTAGTGAGCGGGGTGAGCTTTTTAGGCTACGAAGCCGCCGAGTGAGCGACGAAGTCATGAGAGATCCTGTGCCATTTGAAATCGGACAAAGGACTTCTTTGGAAGTTTAAATAATACTGGGCCATCAACAGGTGACTCTTCTTTTCAGAGTCATGTTTTGAATTCTTAGCAAGCTCCTACACTGAGGAATTACTAAATTCACCTTGGCCAGCACAAGGTCTTTAGGGCTAACAATGTAGAACAAGTTCTCCTCTGCAACATTTTCTGCAAAAAGCAATTAGTAAAAAAAGCATTAGGTCTACAAATAAAATCTTCTGTCATTGCTACCATTTATAAAAATACTGTAGTAAGTGGAGCTTGTATGGATTTTTGGTTTTTTACACCCAAGGATGAAGAACTAAGTCCCATAATTTTGTTTCATTGCTTTGTATCACAATATCAGTCAAAATTAATGCTTATTTGGATTCATAACCAGGACTTAAGGGACAAAAACAAGTTTTGAGAGTAAAGCAAACCTTCCATTTAAACTTTTAAAATGTTTAGAGCATCATACTAATTTATCTTAGCATACCTAAACGTTAAAAGGGCTATTCTCCTAACCAACCGTTTTTTTCTGTCTTGTCACTGAACGTTCTTCCCTCCTCCATTGGGAAGGAAACCAGCATGACAAGACAGAGAACAGCTGTGTGGTAAGGAGAGGAACTTTTAATTTTTAATGTAAGAGTTTACAGTTTATATCACAAACTTCTAAAATTAAACTTTGTTTCAAGGTCAATTTTATTTATTGTTGATTGTTAGCTATTTACCTACTCTTATTAAAGGCAGAGGATGGACAATCCAAGTCATCATGAAGAAGAGCTGATATTATAAGAGTTTATATTACTTTATGTGAATGAGTCAGAAGATTTAGCTCGGGTTAGCACTTCTTTTTAATAACAAGTAGTTAAGGAAAGAGGACAAATAGCCAGGGACTTGACATTTCCTTGCATTGTCATAGCCTGGGACCAGACTCTGTAGTGGGGAAAAAGGCAAAAAACTGGGTGAAACAGCCAAAAAACAAAATTTCGGCAAGTTAAGCGAGCAAAGTGGTAGACTGGATTCTTTTTACCTTTTTCCCCCTTTGCACAGCCTGGTCACAGTACTTGGTACCTAAGGGTTATCCTGGATTAAATATTCAACTATCATTGTTATTATTGTTGTTGTTGTTATTATTATTATTATTATTATTATTATTAACTAATTAAAAACTGTCACCTGCATAAGCAATGTGTTTGATCACAAGTCAAGTTTTTTATGTTGTTCAGAATATATTAAATCTAATTATATTGTTACTGTAATTTTTTGGTTATAAGGCACAGCATTTTTTCAATGGAATTTTGCTTGACAGCTACGAGTCTGTTGTAATTCAAAGGGCGTCTTATAGAAGAGTATCTTCAGGCCACAAAAAAGTTGTATAAAGTAGTTCAATTTATAATTTAGAAAATAAAGGAAGCGGAGATGTGACACGCTTGATTTTTAATTCATTTGCCTCTTTCAAGGGTACCTGGAATACATGTAAAGTCACATTTACTGTCTATCAACTGTTAGATTCTCAGTGAAAGGTTTGAGCCCAGGAGTCATTTCATTAACAACTGTGTCGCTTTTTGGAGATGGATGCCTGGGATGTCCGGGGGGCTTCCACTCTTGGCAAACCAGCCACTAGACAGAGTTATGCCCCCATGGCAGGTAACCTGCACCTTCCAGCCATGAACCCCCACGCCAATGGAACCAGGCACCTGTCACACTGATTTATCAGTGGAAAAAATTAAGGAGGGGAGGTGGTGGGGGTAAAAGAATGATCCACAGGCTAAACGAAGAGAGTGGCTGCCAGGAAATGCTGTACTAAGCAGATGGGGATGATGCAAGCAAGGCTGACTGCGCTTGAGCCACCGCACTGACCGCTGACTGACGCCTGCACTCCTAGTTGTTAACTGTGTTAAATTTCATTTAACTACATTAAGTCCGTGGAATATGATTGTCCAGCTGTATTAAGCAAAAACCAGAGTTTAATACCATCAACTGATGTGATACAACTCACTTTGATTCTGAATGACTCCCGCTACCTTGTTGAAACGTCAGTCAATGTCAGCAACAGTCCTATTTAGGACTACGTTCACCCGGACAATCATACTCCACCTACCTTACATTAGATTTTCCTTCAAATTCCTTGTAGTATGGTTATGAATCATGAGGAGAATTCTTTAGATCAGTATCCCCTTTAAGTTTCACTGCACATAACTCTTAATTTGCCCTAGTTGATCACCTAACTGAGGGTTTTATTTATGATGAATTGGTTCACCAATCAAACAGTCTACATCTATTACTCAACCTGAGCAAATGTGAGTGGGAGTTCTGTATGGTGTTTACAATAGTGAGCCGAAGGCAAGCGACTATAAACACGATAAAGATCAGATGTAGAAATTTACATCTGACTTGTATGGGATTTATAATGGCTTTAATGGCACATTTAATGTCAAATAAAACAATGAGTAGAGATCTGTATCAGAAGTGAATGAATGCTAATTAGACTAGCAGAAGTTAGTTATCAGAAGCTAATTTTACATGTCATTGAATCACTACAGATGATTGAATTGGGGTTTACAGAGGTGTACACGTGAGTTAAATACATGTGTACTACCCCAGATTGGTGCTAACTTTAAAGAATAAGCAGGGCTAAAAGAATAACTTCAATTCCATGCAGCTTGTCCTTTGGGCATGCAGCTCTAACATTTTACTTGCCCAGGGACACTTCTTACTCATCTTGGTTGATGATTTTGTAAGAGGATGATTTGCCTGGAACCTTTCTCATTGAGCAAGTAAACCCTGGTTCAGATGCTGTACTTTTCACATGCCGAACCGAAAAAAATTAAATTTCGACTTTGGAACGACATTGGCGCAACATCTGATTCAGAAGGTGCACCGTGTGTCGAGCCTAAGTTAATTTCGACAAAAGTTCAACAGACTCTGTCAAACTTAATGTTTTTGTTGCACAAAACTAAAACTGCCATACCAAACTGATTCAGACACTGCTCTTCTGCTGTACTTAATTCATCAGTTAGGTTTGGCACATGAGTGCCGTCTGAACTGGGCTTAAGCTTTACAGCAAGGAGCCCAAACGTGTGACTACTTTTGATTTATTCAAATTCTTTTGTACAGATTTAATCCAATCTGAGGCCAGCTGAAAACTGTTCTCAACTTCTCATTGGTTAATGTCTGCATGAAAGAATGTGAGTTAATTACAGGAGGTCACAATTTTGGGCTCCTTGCTGTAAGAATGAAAAACTACTCATCCTGGACTTAACTGGATGGGACTTTTTTTCAAGCCCTGATAATAAGTGAATTTTACCACTTGTACTTTTAATAAAAAAACACAAGCCTTACCCAAATGATAGTCATCACAGCGGTACTGTTCAAATCCCCTGACTGACAAGGCATCTGCTGATATTTCCTCAGGCTCGTTAAGGCCACGAGGTGTCACGATCCTTAGCTGTGGTCGGTGAGCTACTACATGACCTTTCTGTTACATCATACATTATATTAAGATGGAAAAACAGAAAAATGATGAGAATAATACTGATAGCGCTGGTCTGCTGAACAGGAGGCCGTTGGTTCAAAACCTGGCCGGACCAAAAGTTAGGGTCTTTAAATAACTGAGGAGAAAGAGCTGTCTTTGTAAAGATATCTACAAACAGTTAGACTTTCTAGTCTACTTGGACAAGGATGATAAACCCTAAACCCCATCTCACAACTTTTTCACAGTCTATGAGACATTAAAGAACACACACACTGTTCATAAAGAGAAGAGGATGTAGTCCCCTGTGTGTTGGTATATCTTATGGGGGGTAGGGACTGGTATGGGCCCATGTAGTGGCACCACGGGCTGTTGCGGTAGCCTGTGTACAGACTGATTTTTCCTGAGGGGAGGGGGGGTTTGTACACAGGCTACGTTGTGGTGAACCAGCCAAGAATATTGGTGAGCCTAACTAAATAAAATAAATGCTTCGGGGTCACTATTTCCAACTTCTTTCCCATTGTTTTTGCAAACGAAGGTGTTCTTTACGTCACAAACCTTTGAAAATAAATCCGGAAACTACTGATTATGACAAAGCAGGGGTTTAATATTCAAAAACTCATTAATAAGTCATAATGAAAAAACAAAAGAACTTAATGCTTAATGAGTGTCTTTATATCTGACAAAGACATGGCTAAACTTTATGTCCAATTTTTTAGCCCAAAATAACCCCAAATCTGAATATTAGTGGAAGAATGAGTTGATCTATATCAGAGATTTTGAAGCTGTTCAAAAAACTCGCAGTCATGTATTATCAGGTTTAAAAACTCAAGGTGAAGCCAAGAGTTTTTAAACTTGATAATACACTTCTGCTTGTTTTTTAAACAGTACGTAACAAACCTCTACAATCCATACAAATATTCTGACTACAAATCCAGTGAGAGATATCAAGTGCTACATATTTATGAATATTTTACTTTGTTCTTTTTTTTTTAATTTAATGAGAAACATAGCCTGCAAATACAACCCTCTTTCTTTGCTCCTCACAGCCAGGGATGTTTAAAAGGGAAAATTCTGCATTTTGGGACCAAATGTCCATACTGATCATGTAAATCAAAGTTTACATAAATTATCCGATAGTCATGGGGTTCCAGCTGTATAAAGTTTATTTGAGATCATTTCTTCAGGTCCATAATCATAATATTTTGAGTTCTTCTGTGAACTAGCACCAGCAAACTCAAACACTTCTTGTAAAGAAGAATATACTCCAAGAACAATAAGTGTTTTGTGAAAGCTTCATTGCATTTATATCAGAACTTGGTGACCTTTGTCTCATGTCTGTCATTAATAAACAATGGCAAAAGGAATAAATTAAGAACTTCAACCACTCAGAGCTCCTGACTAGATTCTCGACAGGTTTATCATCTGTTAGGAATTTTTGGGCCAGAAATGCAGTTAACTTGTCTTTTCCCAAAAAATCCCTGGGTGCAGGAAGCAAGGAGAGATGACTGTAATCGCGGGCTACATTAAAACCCAGAGACAAGAGATTAGCATAACTGTTAATCATGACTTTCTTCTCCATTTAGCTGAACAGAATATTAACACCAACAGCTATAACAACTTAGGAAAATATTAACTTTTTCCTAAGCCATTGCAGCTGCTAATGAAAATACATGTCTGTCAAATCAATGCATCAACTGCTTTCATGCTACAGTGCTAAAATGAAGGTGGCAGGTAGCAAGTGGAGGGCTTTTTTTCAGTGCTTACATAAACGTGTCTATGTTATAAGTCAAAATTCAATTCAGGTTAAAAATTTTCAACACCATTGGCTCTCAACTTCCTTTGTCTCTGCTGTAGGTCAAAACGAAATTTAGGTTAAAATGGATTCAACCTCAAAATGTAGGTTGACTCTTTATCGCCTTTGTTCCATAGCCCTAATTGTTCATAATCAAGAATAATTAGTGCTAAGAGACAAAGAAATTTAAGCAGGCTAAGGTTGAAACCATTTTTACCTGCATTTCATTTTGACCTACAACAGCTCCTAGCCTTCATTATTCATGAATAAGGGCCAGGAGACAAAGGAATTTGACAAAATCAACCTAGGTTAAATAAAATTTAACCTGAATTTGATTTTGACCTACAATTATTAATAAAAAATACTTTAAATTAAAAATGCATTATTTTCATTTTTTTTTATAAATGAGTGAAATAGCCCTTTTCAAAAAGACCATAATACTCTTCATTGTCCCTTCAAAATTTTGCATAAGCATTGTCTTAAATATTTTCTCTTGGGGCAATTGTAAGTCCCAAGAGAAATTGAAAAAAAAAATGTTTATGCAAACTTTTGGAGGGACAACAAAGAGTATTAAGCTGTTTTTTGAAAAAGGCCCATAGTGGTTTAAGGTATTAACAAAAATAACATTACTAACTCGGAGCAAAGAATTTGGCAGAATTAACACAATATTTTGACATTATCTCAATGTCTTCCCAGTCATGTGATCTAAAATAATGGTCATGTGATCATCAATCATCTGAACATACTAAAACCTGTATATTGTATCATTAATTACCATGTTGTCGGGGCAGGAAAATAATATTTTTAGTAAGCAATTTACAGGTTATTGCAACTACTCCAGGAAGAGGCCCTTATAGGCGCAAAAGACATTTCAATGACTCAATAAGTGAAGCTTGCTTATGAAGTAAAGGAACTATACTAAATTTCTTTTGTGTTTTATTCAGGGGAAAAATGACAAAGTTTCAGTCTTAATCCATTTGCCCCTGATCCACCCGTAACCGCCCGCGCAGATCCACCTCCCTTCTACCACTTATGAAGTCGTGAGTTTAAATGGTCAAGGACAACTTTGTGCCCTAACTTCTGCATAGTGAAGAAATCTTTCAAACCATACTAGAATGAGCAAAATTCAGTCAAGGACACTGGATAAAAAGGCAACAATCAGGTAACATTGAGCTGAAAATTTCCATGAAAATCTTGTTCCACTACTCACCTACCTTTCCTTTCATGAAACCTAAGACCCTAAAAAGTTTCCCAAAAAACTTTTCCCACCAAAATGAAGTCTACCACATGCCCAGTAAAAAAAAAAAAAATGAGGCAAGAAAAGCGAAAAAAGAAGGGAGAAGAGAGAGCAAAACTGCTGTCACTTTTAACCCCCCAAAACATTTGCAAAATTTTGCTTTCCGCTCATGCCCGAACTTCGCAAGCTAATAGGGAACTTAAGCAAAGACGTTTTTGAGCGACACACGTTAACCGGAAGTGAGGCCCTCTCCCTTTTTATATGCCTCGACACTGACAAATTTGTATTGCTAAGTGTCTTTTCTCTTATAAAGAGGATTTAATTGAGAGTTTCAACAGAACCACTGCTCAATGATGCAAAAAGTCCACTTCCGGTTGACGTCCGTTGCTCAAAAACGCTGTTGCTTAAGCTCCCTAATATTTTGCATCTTTATCAGAAGGCCACAAAGTGTATGACCTGTAAATGGCTTTATGGTAAGTTTTGGCTTTTTATAGCACGACAGTGACCAGAAAACTGCTTGACTAGCTTCAAACGTGTTTTTTGGCAAAATTTCCAGGGGCAAATGGGTTAATGATTTACATTTATTCACCTTACTTGTGCCAGCTTCAATGTTTGTCATGTAAGACAGTATGACCTGTGAAAACATACACAAAATAATTCAAATTTTAATGATCCTAGTCTTGGTTTTCCTGTGGGTTTTACAGACAGGACAAGTTATGTGGGGACCCTCTCTTGCTTTTTTTCAGGAATGTTATTCAGCCAGGGAACTAGCAACTAGATTATTCCAGGCTGCCAACTCTTGGTTGAATGGACCTAATCAGGGAATTAAGTACGTCTACCTAAAATCGAACCTCTAGACAATGGCCACCTTGGGGACAGAAGAAGGTGGCCATTGTGGGGAGGTGGCTGCTAAGGGGAGGTAGGGGGTGTAATATGAACAATCCTTTTTAGGAGGTCAAACACATTTTTTGTACTAATTTTATGCTAACTGTATCCCATGATGGTAATTCAATTATATATAATAATTACAGAGATAAAATTAACAAAAAACATGAATAATGTTTTGAATCAAAATGTTAACGTGACAAAACGGTCTGATCAGCGCAAAACCAATTTATTTCTAGCGAAATTTGCGTTGAAAATAACCACAAAATCGGCCATTTTTAACAATTGCTTTTTGGTGAAGTTTGCCTTGAAAACTCCCCCGAAATTCCTGCAAAGTCGGCCGATTTTTCCGCGAATTTGTCCCTAAAAATCCTGCGAAATTTGACTTTTTCTTCCGCGACATATCAGAAGCCCTGCTTAGAGTAATGCAGGCATTATCAAGCTCCATCAGTACAAAATCTGAGCTTCCAGAGTATACACTACTGCTAACTTCAAAAGAAAATCAATTCCAACAGGCTCACCAAGTCACTTTTAAGGTATGCAATTCCAGAAATGTAATAATCTGTCTTAAACCTAGCAACTGCAAAAATAAACATTCAGACATGAGTTTGAGTTGGCTCATATTTTAAATCTGCAAATTAAGATAAAAAGGAAAACAGAAAATAGCAAACCTATTTCCACGACAAGAGGAGGCAGATCTGATCTCTGTATCAACCTCTCCTTGACAACACAAATCTGAAGTTGAAAAATACAGTTTAAAAGAGAAAATAAATAAAATTTTCCAGAGAAAATATGATATCTTGCAGACTTTGTTTTCATGGCCTGTACTGCAAGTTACATGTACAGTCTGAATTTCATTTCTTTTTTTTGGATTTACGACCTGTGCAATTCAGGCTTAGATTGTATACTCAAGAGAAAGTATCTTGATTCAGAATGAGTTTGCAGCTCAGACTGATAAAGTAAGAGGTATACCTATGCTGTTTTTCATGTTATGATATTTCAGGTGGTGGTCAAAACACTGACCCCCAGTCCAAGGACTACCCCCATGGACTATTCATATGGACTACCCTAAAATGGACAATGCCACTGTAGTTTAATGGTTAGGGTCAGGAAACTGAGAGAATCAAGTTCTATTTGGGGTTATTGTACCGGGGAAAACTGACCTGAAACTTGATTCACTCAGTTTCTTAACCCTACACTATAAACTTCAGTGTATGTTGTCCACTTTAGGGTAGTCCATATGGGTAGTTCACGGGGGCAGTCCATTGCCTGGGGGTCAGTGTTTTGTCCACCACCGATATTTTGGTACATGGTGCTTTACTATTAACAAAATTGGTAGCATTTATAACAAAAACTACCTTCCGTACCTGAACCATGTCTGCCCAGCCAATAAAAAGGGTGATGTCATCTTTCCAACACAAACAGCAGCGATAAAGTTCAGGTCTATATCTGCCAAAATATATTATTACAGAAAATTTTCAATTGCAACTTCCTCACACGAGCCATCACCTTTTCAAACAAAAAAACAAGGTTTTTTCATTTAAAGAACAATAGTTGGGACCTCTCATATACCACTACTACTTGACCATCATGTGTTTCTGGGCAACTGTCCACCTACCCCTCCCCTAAGCCAACATTAACACTTACTTCTCACTTAAGGCAAAATGATGGCTTAGAGGAGGGGTAGGCGGGCAGTTTCCCAGAAACTTATTATGATCCCTTGAAACCAACCAAAACCACTTTGCGGGGTGAAAGTTTTATAATTCTCCATTGGTTTCAACCTCTACCTATAAATCACCACTCACGACACATGGTCAGATCTGTATGTTCATTCTATCTACTAGGTTCCTCAGAGAATACAAAGAACAAGGAACTGCAGTAAAGCTCCAGTACCTCAAATTCGGATAACTTGTACTCCCTACTAACTTGGACAATTTTTAAATACCCTGATAACTCAAATTCCTTTTTCTTGCAACTCACCACCTATGCCATTCCCTTAAGTCTTAATATAAAATCTGTAATAACACTAAAAACTAACACAAGCAATAATTTGATTTTAAATAGAGCGATAAACAGATTGCGTATTTGACAGTCATTTTATAAGTCACAACGAACATTTTTACAGGTTCTGACAAGAAATGTTTATTTTGGCAAATTCACACTGTATGGTTTACTAAGGTGCTAAAAAATCAGTACACCATCTGTTGTTAACATGGCAAAATGACTATCCAATCAGCCCCGAAAACTCAAACCCCCACTAACTCGAACAGTTTTTTGTTTCCCTTTAGAGTTCAAATTTATACTGGGGTTTTATCATATTACTAAGACATATTTAAATTTAAAAATTGCACACTTTGCGATGAATCCTTCTCCAAGAAAGTTGTCTGTTCAGCAAAATTTAAGTTACTGGAACATATACAGCAATAAGTCTATGCAAAGTCTACCACCACAAGTACTATCCACAACCTTTAGGTTTGTCGAAGAAATTTTATCAGCAAAGTTAATTAAAGTCACATACTTTCCAGGTTCTCTTTTAATGTTGGTTATCACTCGCTGAGAGTTCAAGTCAAACACCTTGACTTCCTGAGTTGAACAAACAAACAAACCAACAAACTTTCAACAAAGAAATCTCAAAAAAGGCTGCACTACTGGTCATAATTTTTGAAAAGCTTGTAGATTTTTGTGCATATTCTCATTTAACATTATGACATTTGAGTAGCATTCAAAAACTCATTAATAATTCATAGAGAAAAACAAAAGAACTTGATGTTTAAAAGGTGTCTTTATATCTGATAAAGACACGGCTAAACTTTAAGTCCAATTTTTTAGACCAAAATAACCCGAAATCTAAATATTAGTGCAAGAATGAGTTGATCTATATCAGAGATTTTGAAGCTCTTCAAAAGACACGCAGTCGTGTATTATCAGGTTTAGAAACTCATCAACATTAATATTATGACCTTGAGCAAAGCCCTCTTAGGGGGTACATGTCCGGGTCTGAATTTCAAAAGTGGTCATTTTGTGAATTGGAGAGGAGGCCATTTTTGGCAGGATGTTAAAGGGCACTGCTACCCTAGTAGGTTACTTTATAGCAAAACAACTGCTTCATCTTACCGAATTATTAGCCCATGCAATGAGGGATGATCTCCATTTAATTGTCCTGATGCTGCCCTCTCCTTCATGCAAAACTGTTGCCTTATTTCTGAACCAGCCTCTTTCTGTGAGAATTAACTACAATGCAACAATATATCAGAGAAAAGAAATCCTAGTCTTGGTTTAGCCGAGGTCAACCTATTCACACAAAGAGTGTTTGCATCGGGAGTGGGTACCACAGTTATTTTCACCAATAATCTACTGCATGACATATATCCATGGCAACCTTGTCAGAATAGTTTTGCATAGGTTGCCATAGTGACTATCCAGGGTTACCATAGTGACCAGCCAGGTCTGCCAGAGAGTTTCAATTTTTAATGTTAAGGATTTTTTTATCATTAGATCAGAAAAAGTCATGCTATTATTTCTCAGTGATACAAAAAATAAACAAACTGAACAACAACAAACCTTTGTTCCTCCAGTAACATACATTTTTGTTCTTTTCTTTGAAAACTCAGGATCTAGAGCAACTGACTGAGAGAAAACAAGTAACATTAAAAACATCAGAAACTCAAAAACAAAAGCAATTTTAGCAAAAGTTCTAAATTAACAAAATGGCAACAACATAGGAAAGAAACAACTCTTACCTTGATAGGGGAATCAAAACTGGCTTGGACATTATTCTCAGAGCTGTAAAGACCATTTATCACAACCTTAATGTGAGAAAAGCAACTTGTTAGATGGATTGCAAAGTGAAAGGTCACACAGCTTCTTATCCTTAAGGCTGGCATGACACACAGGGCAGGGCTGTCATTAAGAGCCGGGGGCCGGGGATTTTCCCCGGCTACTAAGAGAGTGGCCCCTGGCTACTTTTATTGAAAAATAGAAGAAAAATAGAACCAAAAGAAATCCCTAGCCGTTTGATTCACCACCTACTTGTTGTATTTACCTGGCAACTTGAAATCTTAGTGACAACCCAGCACAGGGTGAGTTAATGGATAAAGAAGGTTTTCAAAATTATGTGTAACACTTGGTAGAAAAGCAAAATACATGTAACAGTAACTAATGTAGTTGGCATAATTATGTTACAGGTCAAAATTAAATTCAGGTGAGAATTTTTTATCCTAGGTTGATTCTCATTTTTCTTTGTCTCCTAGCCCTAATAATATTATTTATGAATTAGGCCTAGGAGACAAAGGAAATTGAGAATCAATGTAGGTTAAAAAGATTTTAACCTGAATTTAATTTTGACCTTTAACACATACCCATGAAACTTTCCCAAATTACATGTCAATATACAATCATAACCATAGTAAACCATTTTTTTTGTTTTACAGATTAAATGCACTTATACCTGAGCCTTACAATAACTTGGGTAACCCATAAAGACGTTCTCAAATTATTGTAAGCAAAGGTAAAAATGAATGAAACCCATTCACAGAGGAAAACTCTCTCTTTTTCTACTCTTGTCCTTCACAACCAATTAACTAACAAACTACAGAGGGTATTGAAATCAAATGCAAATGAAGCATTTTATATAATTATTATACTGTACTCTGTATGCTTTAGTTAAAGTCCTGTTACATGCAAATCACTAAAGTGCTGGAAGTAAGCAGGGGTTTCAATAATAATTGAAGTAGCCAGCAGGTTTGAATAGAGTACCCGGATGTATCAACAGGAAGCGTTAATCCAGTACCTCTAGGGGGTCTGCGGGCATGCTCCATCAGAAAATTTTGAAATTCCAAAGCCCTTAAATACGATTTCCAGCATTCTGGGGACTAAATTAAATTGAGTACAAAAGAGTGCGTTTTTCATACAAGAAAATGTAGCTTTCATTCAGGTTCCGATTATCAGCCACACAACTTACAAGCAATGAAAAAACGTACATTTGAACGAGAACAAATTCTGTGTAAACCTCCAAAGAATTGACAGCACGAAACACAGCCTTTGCATAACTAAAGCATAACTCAAAACCAGTGGGCCTTTACGTTTTCATCCAGATTTTATGATAAGTTATTTGTTTATGACATCATAAGCACTAGTGGCTTCTTCTTTCGGAGAGAAAAGTAGCTGACTTCTCTGAGCAAAATAACCAACGCGTTTCGTCGGTCGTCGGTGCTTATTGAAACCCCTGAGTAAGATACCACGAAGAGAGTTCTCTAGGAAACTTAAGTACAAGGAGGTGTGGGCATAGGTATGGGAAGGGTTTACCCCTTGTTCATTGGGGCAGTCACCTAGAAAACTGTTTTGGGGACACTGAAAGTACATTTCATTACAATTTGGGTGATCTCAGAACTATCAGGAATCTTAGTCATAGGGTTACTCCTTTATTTATCCCCAACTGCTTTAATTTATATCAAAAGCTTGTTCTTGTTGAAAAAAATATGTTGGATTTTAATATCCCTTTTAAAATGTTATTACTTTCTGTTTAACAACAATTTTAAGTATTTTTGCTACATTGTTGCTATGTATTTTTTAAAATTACTTACCCGTCCATCATCTGAGCAGCTGGCTACATAGTCACCACTTTGATCAATGCTAATTTGATTGATAGCTGTCGTGTGCTGAGGAAAAAACATTTTAAAGTATCTTCAATGAATTTACTTCTTTGAGAGGTCTCACTATCCTGGCTTCTCTTTTCAGCAGTTTTGTAGACCTCGCAGTGTTGATTTTTTTTCCCACAGAGCCATCTTAGAGCCCAGAAGTCTTAGGTTTTTTTGGCAAGACTGAAGATGTCTTGAAGTCCTCAACTCCCAATTAATTTGATGGTTGCTAGCATCTGGAAAATAAATTTGATTTCAGGTTAAAAATTTTTAAACAAGATTGATTTTCAATTTCCTTTGTCTCTTAGGGCTACAAGACAAAGGAAATTGAGAATCAACCTCATTTAAATCAAAATTCCGCTGAAATCAAATTTGACCTAAAATACATCTTTGACAGCTCTGCTGCAATGCAATTATTACTTCTTTAATAAACAAGAAAGAAATATATTCTGCATTGATCAGTAATTTGACTGCTGATATAAAGGACATGGTAAACTCATTTGGGACCTTACGCAATGAGAAAATTGACGTCCCAGACAGAGGGAGAAAAAAATCAACTTCTGGTTGCCATTTTCTCCCTCTCACTGATCTGACTCAAGAAATTCGTACAGCAGGAGTTAAAACAAAGGCATTCAGATTCATTGTGTGAGACAAAAGTGTTCCATCAAGCGAGACATCAAACTTCCGGTTGCCATTCATGAAGTCTGGGACTTCAGACTCATTGTTTCAGCTCACTATTAACTGTCTGAGAAAAACTCTGAGAGTCTCAAGTGTGAAGTTTAAGAGCTGTCAAAGTCTTGGGCTTGCATTTAAAAGAACTCTTCAGTCCTGGTTGCAAATTTGACATTTCCAGTCCATCAAGGATGAATTTTGTTTCCAAAATTAAAGTTAATTTTTTTTCTCCATTCTGCCTCTAGCAATTACCATGAAAGACAGGCTAAATCCACGAAACTTCTTCTGGATTAAGCACTGATTTTTCTAGGCTGAATTTGATGACAACATGATTGGCATGGGTCTTGAATGGATAAAGTGAGGCAGCAAGAATGTAATGGTAATGTGTAATACTAAGCATAAATTTATCACTGGTATACTTACTGATGGGTACTTTTTGCTACTGCTTGGGTTCCCTTGGTGATCCAGTATATGAACAACTCCATAGTGAGTTCCAAGAGCAAGAAACTAAAACAACAAAAGTCCTTGACAAATAAAATCACCAATAGCCTTTTCCTTGACTAAGACGAGTTTTTTAATGATAATTATCGGAGTCGGAATGGTACACTTTGGGGTGAGGGGAAAGGGGAAAGAGGGGAGGGGAGGTGACCTTTTTGAAAAAGTATGTGAGTGATTTTTCTTAACACAAAATTATGGTTTTTTGGAAAGGGGTCTTCAGAAAACTTTACAATAGGGCAGTTAGAATGTAAACCTTGCCTGTACAAAGTGGGACAGAATGTGCCTTATAGCCATGGCCCTGATATGTGATCAGTGAGTTGAGTTGGATTAGCATCCCTTATGGATCAGCCTGTACCAACACAGATCAAGTAAAACAAAAGAAAATCTCGCTATTTGTTTGGTTGTTTTGCTTTATGAGATCTGCGCTGGTAAATGCAGTAAAGCATTCAAAAATACAGTAAGAAGAATAACCGATTTGAACGAGAATAACCTTTTTTAACATCATTTTAAACGTGTCGGAAAGCAGAGCAGCGACTTTCACTTTCGATTCACGAGTGTACCTTTGGATGTACCGCCATACAGCTAGCACACTCCTCCCCGTTGAGAATAGTATTCATGGCATTTCCTATTCTTTCGTATTTCAACTTGGGTTCCACTTCGTCTTCATCGTCCTCTGATCCTTCGTCATCCTCATCTTCTTCTTCATCATCGTCGGCGTCGTCGTCGTCTTCGTCTTCATCGACTTCTTCCTAAAATCAGTCAAAAAATACGATTCACAGGAGACAATTAACCATCATTAATTAAACTTTACATTTACTTGAAACTACTAAGAAGATGTTAAGTTAAAAAGAGCCTGGAAATCGCGTCTGATTTCACCTTTTCTCGAAGGTCTTTCATATCACCCTTGTCCCCCATTTTTGACGCTCCTTTGAGTGCTCACAAAGGTTCACGGGATATCAAGGTATGCAACACGTGTAGATATCTTTAGGGGAAGAGTGGGTGAGGGAATTTATTTTGGGGCGCTCCTCAGTTGTATATCCTCTGTTTTATATCAACAAAAAAATTTTACTTATTTATGAATAAAGATTCTAAGAAAAAACCACTCTGTTATATTTACCAGTCATTACCGTGATTTTTGCATTGACAGCGGCAATATGAGGGAGAGCGGGTAGGTACTTCATATATGATTATTATTATGTACCTAAACATAATTATTATATCTTACTATATATTATTATTATTACACTATAAACACCTATACCCCTATACAACACCATATACCCCTATATACCCCTATTACACACCATATACCCCTATACAACACTATATGCCCCTATATACCCCTATACAATACCATATATCCCTATATACCCCTATACAACATCATATACCCCTATATACCCCTATTACACACCATATACCCCTATACAACACTATATGCCCCTATATACCCCTATACATCACCATATACCCCTATATACCCCTATACAACACCATATACCCCTATATACCCCTATACAACACCATATACCCCTATATACCCCATACAACACCATATACCCCTATATACCCCTATACAACACCATATACCCCTATATACCCCATACAACACTATATACCCCTATATACCCCTATACAACACCATATAACCCTATACAACACTATATGCCCCTATATACCCCTATACAACACCATATATCCCTATACAACACTATATGCCCTTATATACCCCTTTATACAACACCATATACCCCTATATACCCCTATACATCACCATATACCCCTATATACCCCTATACAACACTATATACCCCTATATACCTTTATTACACATTATATACCCTTTATACAACACTATATGTCCTTTATATACCCTTTATACATCACTATATACCCTTTATACAACATTATATACCTTTATATACTTTATATACAACACCATATACCCTTTATATACCTTTATACAACATTATATACCTTTATATACCCTTTATACAACACCATATACCCTTTATATACCCTATACAACATTATATACCTTTATATACCCCTATACAACAATTATATACCCTTTATACAACACCATATACCTATATATATACCCCTATACATCACCATATACCCCTATATACCCTATACAACACCATATACCTTTATATACCCTTTATTTACATAATTATATACCCCTATACAACACTATATGTCCTTATATACTTTTTATACATCACTATATAATTTTATACAACACTATATACCCTTATATACCTTTATACAACACTATATAAATTTTATATACCCCTATACAACACCATATACCCTTTATATACCCCTATACAACATTATATACCCTATATATACCCCTATACAACACCATATACCTTTATACAACACTATATGCCCCTATATACCCCTATACAACACCATATACCCCCATATACCCCTATAAATCACCATATACCCCTATATACCCCATACAACACCATATACCCCTATATACCCCTATACATCACCATAGACCCCTATACATCTCCATACACCTCCATACATAACCATACACCCTTATACATCACCATACATCCCTATACATTCCCATACACTACTATACATCACCATACACGCCTACACATTACCATACATCCCTATACATCACCATACACCCCTATACATCACCATACACTCCTATACATCACCATACACCCGTATACATCACCATACATCCCTATACATTACCATACACCTCCATACATAACCATACACCCCTATTCATCACCATACGTCCCTATACATTCCCATACACTACTATACATCACCATACACGCCTACACATCACCATACATCCCTATACATCACCATACACCCCTATACATCACCATACACCCCTATACATCACCATACACCCCTATACATCACCATACATCCCTATACATTACCATACACCACCCATACATAACCATACACTCCTATATATCACCATACACCCCTATACATCACCATGCATCCCCATACATAACCATACACCCCTACAAATCACCATACATCCCTAGATATCACCATACATCACCATACTCCCCTATACATCACCATACATCCATATACCTCACCGTACACCCCCATACACCGCTATACATCACCATACACCCCCATACATAACCATACACCCCTATACAGCACCATACACCCACATACAACACCATATATTCCTATACATCTCCATACACCACTATACACCACCATACATCCCCATACATCACCATACACCCCTATACATCACCATACACCTCCATAAATAACCATACACCCTTATACACCCTTATACATCACCATACATCCCTATACATTCCCATACACTACTATACATCATCATACACCCCTACACATCACTATACATCCCTACACATCACCATACATCCCTATACATCACCATACACCCCTATACATCACCATACACCTCTATATATCACCATACATCCCTATACATCACCATACACCCTCATACATAACCATACACCCCTATACATCACCATACACTCCTATACATCTCCATATACCTCCATACATAACCATACACCCTTATACATCACCATACATCCCTATACATCACCATACACCTCTATACATCACCATACATCCCTATACATCACCATACACCCCTATAAATCACTATACACCACTATACATCACCATACACCCCTATACATCACCATACACCTCCATACATAACCATACACCCCAATACATCACCATACTCCCCTATACATAACCATACACTCCATACATAACCATACACCCCTATACATCACCATACACCTCTGTACGCGAAGTTCTTGGAAGGATTAACGTATGGGTTTTGAATAACAGTATCTATTCCCCGGGGGGGGGTACTCCCATATATGGGCTATATAGGTACGTGCCGCGCAATAGAGTATGGTTTTTGAAGTTCTCGGTCCTTAAATAGGGTATCTTTCTTGACCCTTTTGTTTCTGTGTCCCTGGTGTGGTCCTTAGATAGGGTAGGTTAATTGCATTATCTAATACTGGAGTGGGAAAATGCGCGCCTAAACGAACGGTTTTGATTTTGCAACAGAGGTTTAATAGACGTTAAGCGGGTAAATACACGTAACGCCTCTTCAAGCCACATGTTTGTTTTTTCCTTGAATAGGGTGTCATTTTTCGGCTTTGGGCCTTAAAAAGGGTACCAGTTTTCTTAGCTTTTTATTGGATAATACCCGACCCGCGATGCCAAACAAAAACAAAAATGAACAAAAAAAAATGCTCACACTTTACTAAGGTATATTGAATGTACTTCCTGACTTTCATGGACATGCATTACACGGCTTGATTTGGTAGGTCACATGAACTATGGTTCGTGGAGTAATATAACTAAGTAAAACGTTGCGAAATAAATTGCACAAGCTTTGTAGCACTTTGATCCCGGCTGAACCGTATATTACCAAGATCGATGCCACCCAGCGACAGTTAGATGTTCGACATCAAGGGGACATAATGAGAAATTTAATCATTGTTTCTTGCTTATTCTTTGTTTTGGGATTTAAAACAATCATCTGTGTTCTTCTTGGAAAAGAAGCAGGACAATATCTGCGGGATGTCTTAAGAGAGTTTGAGTGTACACCGCAAAATGGAAGGTTTGATCAAATTGTTGAAGGGCCACACGCTATGTCAAAATTAATACCAAAATTATTTATCTGGTGTCCAATAAGACATTACGGTTTGACTATTTTATGTCCTATTCATGGCTGTCCTCTGAAATTCGGACAGTGGACCGATCTTCCTGACTCCTCCAACACAACTCCAAGAAACCCAAGATTGATTTACGACTTGAACGGAAATGTTATTCTGGTGCAGGCGTTCTATGAATGCAGCGAAAGTTTGCCAGAAAACGTGATGATTGGACATCGGTATTTATCCGCATCAAACGATGTGTTAGGCGCTCTCCCTGAAAGTGTTGTTAAGGGATTTCCTCTTATAATGCAGCAGAGAAGCGGTTTTACGCTGCGTCTTTATGATTATTTAATAACTGGTATTTATCAAGGACAAAACTTCATGGAATTATCTGAAGGCATTGCATCAATGAATTACAGACAGTACATGCGTAATAAACCGGACAGCAAAGAGTTATCTGTAAAAGAGTTTGAGAGTATTCCTTTCATTGCCTATCCAAGCAACGATAAACTAATGGATTTGTTTCTCATGCAGTTTGAGCGGAACAAAAAACGTTACGAGAATAACATGCAGAAACACACAGGGGAGATTCTGTCCTGTGACCACACCTTTAGAACGAGTAAACATATCGGGGTAACCCGCGAGGACGGCAAGTTTGTAGGCCAGTTTAAAAACGTCTTCTTGGGGGTGAACGAAAACGGAGAAGTTATGATATGGAAGTTTACGAAGACGACTTCTTCGTCCGAAATTATCGACTCACTTAAAGAACTGAAAGAGAGGCTTGATAAGGCAAGCACTAACTTAAAAATGATAATAGTGGATGACTGTTGCCACGTGATGAACCTATATGGACAAATATTCCCGGAGATAAAGGTTCGGCTAGACTTATTTCACGCGTGTATGAGAGTTGTACAAACGGTACCCAAAAGCGAAGATTACAGTGAACAATTTGCTAATGAATTTTCTTTAATTTTCCGTTAAAATGGAGACCTTGGTAACGAGAGAACAATGAGCACACCTTGTCCTGATGAAATAGAATCAAATCTTGAACGTCTTCTATTTGTTTGGAGAGAAAAGCTGAAAACGGAAACCCTTCTTCAAATTGAAAATTTGCGCAAGCATATAAAAAAAGGATGTCTCTCGGAAATACCTGTTGGATGTGGGACTGAAATAAATGAGCGACTTCACAGACATCTTAACCGATCATTACTGTGCGGAGTATCCAAAATTGGACCTGAGTTGGCGGTAGCGGTAATGGCGTGTGCTTTGTATGCATGGAATTGCAAACGAAGATTAAAAACAACCCTCAATAACAATTCCGATCACGCCAATTGAATTAGAGCCTTTAGAGTCTTTAAACCAAGCGACCCCTTATCTTCAGTCTCACATGACGGCTGTGGATTCTACGTCAACGTCATTACCGGGTTCAATATCTGGAACTGTCTCTGAAAATAGCAGTATGGCTAGTAGAATGCCAGGGACACCATCCGTTTTCGTCACAGTTAAGACTGTGGAAGAACTGGAAAACGATTCCGTCTTGAACTACATTTTGGAACGAGCGCTGCACATACAAGAATTTATCACCAGTTGGACAACAAAATGTAACAACAAAACAATAGATTTGATTGGTCTTCTCTGGAAGATAAACTTACCGGCAGCTAACCTTTATGAACAGGAGTCAAAGTTAAACGTTATGGAATTAAATTTGACCCCATAGCACAAAGATAACCTGTTAAGAAATCTCACAGGATTTAATCTTCAGTTGGACCCAATTAACAAAGACGGAAACTGCTTCTTCAGAGCAACAGCCCGGCAGCTACAAAAACACTTGCAACGTTCGGATTTGCAAAATCTACAGCATATTTCCTCACTGGGGCTTGGAATCAACGAGGAACGTGACAAGGAAAACCTCAGACTACTTTTCGTGCGTGAAGTCACTGAAAATCTCGATGAATACAGGGAGTGGATGTCCTGTTCGTCAAATGTACGGGAAATTGAACGTTTTAAAACTGATGGCCATTTCGCAAGTGACATTGGCGACATCTGTGCTAAGGCATGTGCTAATCTCCTCCGTGTCCCGATAATTTTAGTTACCGACAATAATTGCAATGTATTTAGCAAATATACCTATCTGCTATTTGTGAATTAGATTTTCAGTGAAAAGCTCAACAGAGTATGGTATCTCCATCCAGTACATATAATAATTCAATATCGTTTTTTATTGATGAACTTGAAATTTGAAGGTCATATACCAATAATGAAAATAAATGAATAGATGAATTAAATAAATAATGTTTTCTCTACTGACCTTGGAACTAGTAGCCGAATTGCGGAGGAACTGCGGAAATCAGACGCATTTGCAGTCGCTTCAGTCCATGTTTAATCTCACCGCCCCCTCCCCCCCTCCACCCCCCAGTCCCATAACAGCACAAGTCGGCCGGCTTACTCTTCGAACCAAGAAACGACGAAAACGAAGCCAACGAGAACGCCCCAAAAACAATAAGAATATGCTTGGATTAGCAAAACACTACGACTTTACTTTGCCGTTGCGTGACTGCGACGTGATGTTAGATTGAGCTTTTTAAGCCACCATCTCTTTGGAACTTAAGCAATTAAAGGACTTTTTGCAGACAGCTATACCACCACGGGGGCAACCATGCTATGCAGGCACACCACTAGTGGCGAGCTTTGACAAGAATTAATGCTATATATGCATTGCTGAATGTAAGGCATCTAGAAATAAAATGGGACAATGACACACATAAAAGTACTATATAGGGTTGTATGGTGATGTTTAAAGACGCGTATGGGAATTTATAGGGGTGTATGGGGACGTAGAGGGGTGTATGGGGATGTATAGGGATGTATGGTCTTGTATAGGGGTGTATGGTGATATATAGGGGTGTATGGGAATATATAGAGGGGTGTATGGGAATATATTGGGTGTATGGGGATGTATATGAGCATATAGTGTTGTATAGGGGTATATGGCGATGTGAAGGGGTGTATGGTGATTTATGGGGGTGTATGGTGTTGTATATGGGTATATGGTGATGTGCTGGGGTGTATGGTGATGTATAGGAGTACATGGTGTTGTATATGGGTATATGGTGTTGTATAGGGGTATATGGCGATGTACAGGGGTGTATGGTGATGTATAGGGGTGTATGGTGATGTATAGGAGTATATGGTGTTGTATATGGGTATATGGTGATGTGCTGGTGTGTATGGTGATGTATAGGAGTACATGGTGTTGTATATGGGTATATGGTGTTGTATAGGGGTATATGGCGATGTACAGGGGTGTATGGTGATGTATAGGGGTGTATGGTGATGTACAGGAGTATATGGTGTTGTATATGGGTATATGGTGTTGTATAGGGGTATATGGTGTTGTATAGGGATATATGGTGATGTATAGGGATGTATGGTGATGTGCTGGGGTGTATGGTGATGTATAGGAGTACATGGTAATGTATATGGGTATATGGTGTTGTATAGGGGTATATAGTGTTGTATAGGGGTATATGGCGATGTATAGGGGTGTGTGGTGATGTATAGGGGTGTATGGTGATGCATAGGGATATATGGTGATGTGCTGGGGTGTATGGTGATGTATAGGAGTACGTGGTGTTGTATATGGGTATATGGTGTTGTATAGGGGTATATGGCGATGTACAGGGGTGTATGGTGATGTATAGGGGTTTATGGTGATGTATAGGGGTATATGGTGTTGTATATGGGTATATGGTGTTGTATAGGGGTATATGGCGATGTAAAGGGGTGTATGGTGATGTATGGGGGTATATGGTGTTGTATAGGGGTATATGGCAATGTATAGGGGTGTATGGTGTTGTATAGGGGTATATGGTGTTGTATATGGGTATATGGTGTTGTATAGGGGTATATGGCGATGTAAAGGGGTGTATGGTGATGTATGGGGGTATATGGTGTTGTATATGGGTATATGGTGTTGTATAGGGGTATATGGTGTTGTATAGGGGTATATGGTGTTGTATAGGGGTGTATGGTGTTGTATATGGGTATATGGTGTTGTATATGGGTATATGGAGTTGTATAGGGGTATATGGTGTTGTATATGGGTATATGGCGATGTAAAGGGGTGTATGGTGATGTATGGGGGTATATGGTGTTGTATATGGGTATATGGTGTTGTATAGGGGTATATGGTGTTGTATAGGGGTATATGGTGTTGTATAGGGGTGTATAGTGTTGTATATGGGTATATGGTGTTGTATAGGGGTATATGGTGTTGTATAGGGGTATATGGTGTTGTATAGGGGTATATGGTGTTGTATAGGGGTATATGGTGTTGTATATGGGTATATGGCGATGTAAAGGGGTGTATGGTGATGTATGGGGGTATATGGTGTTGTATCTGGGTATATGGTGTTGTATAGGGGTATATGGTGTTGTATAGGGGTATATGGAGTTGTATAGGGGTGTATAGTGTTGTATATGGGTATATGGTGTTGTATAGGGGTATATGGTGTTGTATAGGGGTGTATAGTGTTGTATATGGGTATATGGTGTTGTATAGGGGTGTATGGTATATGGTGTTGTATATGGGTATATGGCGATGTAAAGGGGTGTATGGTGATGTATATGGGTATATGGTGTTGTATAGGGGTATATGGCAATGTATAGGGGTGTATTGTGTTGTATATGGGTATATGGTGTTGTATAGGGGTATATGGTGTTGTATATGGGTATATGGTGTTGTATAGGGATATATGGCGATGTAAAGGGGTGTATGGTGATGTATGGGGGTGTATGGTGTTGTTTATGGGTATATGGTGTTGTATAGGGGTATATGGTGTTGTATAGGGGTGTATAGTGTTGTATATGGGTATATGGTGTTGTATAGGGGTGTATGGTGTTGTATATGGTGTTGTATATGGGTATATGGCGATGTAAAGGGGTGTATGGTGATGTATATGGGTATATGGTGTTGTATAGGGATATATGGCAATGTATAGGGGTGTATTGTGTTGTATATGGGTATATGGTGTTGTATAGGGGTATATGGTGTTGTATATGGGTATATGGTGTTGTATAGGGATATATGGCGATGTAAAGGGGTGTATGGTGATGTATGGGGGTGTATGGTGTTGTATATGGGTATATGGTGTTGTATAGGGGTATATAGGGCTATATGGTGTTGTATGGGGTATACAGGGGTATATGGTGTTGTATAGGGGTATATAGGGGTATATGGCGTTGTATAGGGGTATATAGGGATATATGGTATTGTATAGGGGTATATAGGGGCATATAGTGTTGTATAGGGGTATATGGTGTGTAATAGGGGTATATAGGGGTATATGGTGTTGTATAGGGGTATATAGGGGTATATGGTGTTTTATGGGGTATATAGGGGTATATGGTGTTGTATAGGGGTATAGGTGTTTATAGTGTAATAATTATAATATATAGTAAGATATAATAATTATGCTTAAGTACATAATAATAATCATATATGAAGTACCTACCGGGAGAGCGACATCCAAATACTCAGGGGCTATTAGTGAGGAAACACGTGCTACCCTGAAAAAAGTGTCCAAGATGGCGGCCGTACAGAACCAAAATAGCGCTCTTCCAAATTTAAAGAATTTGACCCGCGAAAACTTCGGTAAGCTGTCCAACCAACAGCACAAGGTAAGCTTTGTACCACTTGGTTATAAACGCAGTATTAGCGGCCTGCAGAATTGGAAAACGTCCACTTCGCTGGATCATCTCGTTGAAGGTTCACAAGCTGCGAAATGGCTTCAGTGTGATGTATAATTTCTTCTCGGGTTGTTGTCCTTTCTTTTAGGCGCTACAAGACCTCATCAGGCCTCATATAGAATCCTTCAATTTTATGTCAGAAGAAGGTCTTTCGTTGGCGGTTCAGGTACTTCTGTAGCTTTTATTTCATAATTATATAGTTTTATTGATATTTTTTAAGTTGCTGTATGCACAGGCTACCCAGACGTAGTGTGCGTCAAGTCATTACACAAAGAGATAATGGTAAAGATATATTTATTTGAAATATTACATATTTTTAAATTCTTGTTCGGTCGAATATCGTTGACTCTTAGGCTAGCTCCGATCCATCCAATTTTTTTTTACCATGTTGTTGACACCCACTACATCTAGGCTGCCGGTCCTGTATAGAGTATTCAGATTTTCTCTGCAAGTGTAACGAATGTTAGTAGGACTATAAATATTGAATGACACACTTATGGGCAAGCTAAGGTAGTGTGGTCGGCAAGAATGTCATGTTAGCCTACTGGTCTTACGTAGGTGAGTACAGTCTTGGTGGGTGGGTCCACTGGTGGGTGGGGTGGCTGGTGAAAACACAGGCAGCCCATGCTCAGCAGGAAGGTTACCTGTGGTATAATATTGCATTCTCTTAAAATATATGTAAACATGGAAGATTTGTATGGAACTCCTTTGCAGAGGTTCGCAGTAAGAAATGCTATACCTTATATTCATGGTCTGTTCTTGCTTCTTGTGTGGTTATTTCCCTGATCCGACCGACTCAAGGAATGTTTTTTTTCAATCCTTTGTTTTCGCCTTAAGAGAGAGCTAGGTAAACACAGTCTGGACAGCCACCAAACAAAGCCAAAATTTTGAGGTTAAAATAACCTGCGGTCACAATTTCACCACAGAAACCAATTGTCAAGGCAGGAGTTAGCGAACTTTGCAGTAGCCAGGGAGTGGACTTGTTAGCTTTCCATATATTACTTTTTTAAGACCACTGCAGTTTTAGCCACTTGAAGCATTATAATCTCTAATGGTTGGTGTTTACATCCTGGTTAGTGAATTATTCTTGGTGTCTTCATTATTTTAGGGTATTTTTCCACAAGAATTTCTCCTTGGGAATGGTCAAAAAGTAACTCTGTACTTCACAGTAAGTCCTTTAAAAATAATCCATGTTTAAATAAAATTGTTCAATATTACAGACAAAGAGAAGACTGCATGCTGCGTGCAAAATCTTATAATATGGGGAAACAGAGACTATGTGCATTAAATTTCTTTTAACTGCTGCTGACAAGCCCTGTGCTTAGACATCTTTGTAAGGGGTCTTAAGAGAGCTTGTAAATGGAGGGGCTTACATCTGAGGGGACTTACAACCGAAAAAGAAAGAGCATTTTGAAGCAAGCTTAAACAGTGCTGATCAAAATACATTTTTTCATTTGCTGGTTTTTATTATCGGGAAGCTTATATTGGGGGGCGGGGGCGGTTGGTGCTTATAATGAGATGTATTTGTTTTTTTACAAGTGGATGGGCTCATAACTGGGGGGCTTATAAGTTGGAGGGTTAGTATTATCACAGTTTAGGGTATATCCCTTTAAGCCTTAATATCAACATAAAAATTCTCCATGTAGTGAACTCCATACATTTCCTTGGAATGCTATTTGTGAGATTTTGGTGCTAGATCAACACATTTTCCCTTTGTTTGGTGATCATTTTCTTAATTATCATAACCTTTTCTGTTGAATACTGTACTGTTATCATTAGGAGAAAATTGATGTTGGTCACTCTTGGGACTAAAAGGGATATAGCCTAAAAAGTATTTTTGTTCTCTAATATATGTGTACTTCTTCTGTATTGTAATATACAGCCAAAGCTCTCTGTGAGACAATTAGTAAACAAGCAAGATGTTGTCTGAACTGTCAACCTGTTGCAATCTCATGGTTAGCTTCTGGGATGAATCTTATTGACAATGATAATTTCATTATATTAGTTTCTGCTGTTTACATGTACGTTTTCACTGCTTATGTTTAGGATGCTTCTATTGGCATTCCAACATTATCAGAAAACAACCTACATGCCACACAGTACAAGGTCTTTCCTTCTGAGGTATATTTGCACTCATTAGAGCTTGTGTTATAATCTGTCAATTTGGTAAGATCTGTTCTCAAGTTAAAGCAGTATTCATCCTAGTTTCATTCAGAGTTTCTTTTGTTTCATAACTGTTCATAGTGTAATGTTCATTATTATATAATTTTATGTTACTGGTATCGTAAGTAAATGTAATTCAGGTGTCAGAGGTTAAGTATGCTGCTCACAAGATTATCATAGTTACCTTTCAACTGCAGCTGCTGCTCCCACAGATTTTCTTAAGCTACCTACAAACCAATGCAACAACTTCCAACATTGTTGGCCCAATAATGCCCAGTTATTGCATCCATTTGCACAAAGCTAAAAGTTTAACCAGTTTCAAACTTTGTGCAACAACTCCCAACAATATGCAACAACATCATGCAACAGGATGTGCAAACAGATGCAACATGTCACATCCAACAATGTTGGGAGATGTTGCACAGTGCCTCCCTATGCTGATCTACGTGTACTGGTGATGGGTTTAACTGTCCCTGTTCTAATTTTGTTTCATAGTGTCGGGAACGTGGAACTACATACAAAGCCAAACTTCAGGTGACTTTACAATGGAAGCTTGATAACCAGCTGCAAGGAAATGTAACCAAAGCTATAGCAAATATTCCCATCATGGTGAAGGTGAGGGTATATATTCAATATTTTATACTTGATTTTAAATTTTTATTTTTTTGTGTGTGCGTGTTTTGGTATGGTATTATGTATGATAAAGAGTTTGAAGCAATGGAAAATAAATTAAACCTTAACATCAGCATCAGGGCTCAAAACCTACACTGTACTTTTAATGACCTTTACAACTTGATTCAGGGTCACTGCAATTATGGATGGCACCAAAAAGTACATTTGATTTTATTACCTAACACTAACTTCATGTGATCTTTTCAGTCCAACAACTGTTCCCTGGCAAAACTCACACCAAAAGAACTTGTTCGCCACCATGAAGAAGCTGAGGTATGTGTGGTATCCATGTTCGCTATGAGCTTCATTGGTTGCCAGTTTTTTATTGTATATATTTTAAAACTTTAAGTATTATTAGCTAATCAATTAGCAATAGGTCCTGTTTTATGTATTCATTGAGATTACATTGCTTTATCGTGTTGGACCATCCTAAGACCATCCTACTAGATTGTTTTCCACTGCTGCCCCTACATTGAAGAACAGCCTTCCTGCGCATATCCATGATATCGAATCACTGTGCACTTTTAAGGGACATGTCAAAACATATCTTTTTATATTAGCTTTTACGTAGTTTTAAAATATTTTTTATTTTATTTTCATTTTATAAATTTTTTTTAAATTAGTATTTTTACTATTTTTTACTTTTTTATAGGTTTTATTTATCATAGATTCATTTTATAAATTTTTAAAACTAGTATGTAGACAATGTACAACACTTTTGATCATTCTTTATGTTAAAAGGCACTATAGCAAATTAATAAATCATCATTATCATCATTTTTATTATTATTATTATTATTATTATTATTATTATTATTATTACCAGTGATGCACATGTACTATTAATGTCAGTGAAAAGTATTTTTTAATATGGTGGTAAAATCTCTGCATCCTGTGTTCCTTTTCTTTCTTTGTAGGAAGCTGGAGGTTATTTTATAATAAACGGTATTGAAAAAGTAATAAGAATGCTCATACTGCCAAGGAGAAACTTTGTAAGTTCACCAGCTCTTCATCCTTTAAGCCCCAATATCCACACACAAATTCCCTACACTGATCTCCATACATTTTATGAAAGGATAAGTTGAGGTTTTGACAAAAGATCAAAGCATTTTTCCTTTGGTGATCAGTTCATCCATTCTCATAAACTTTTCTCTAAATAATGTATGAATATAGTTGGGAGAAAATTGATTTTTACGACCGTAAGGACTTAAAAGGTTATATCACCATGGAATAGCGTTTCTTTATATTGTTATGACGTCAAAACCAATCATGCAATTCTGAAACTTTGGCCTCAGCCATTACCCTGAGACCAAAAAGCCTCTGGAAGGTTTTTAATGGACATTTTGTAAATTATGTTTCATCACTTAAATTGTTTACTTTTGAGTGGAAACTTATGATTGAAGGACGATTAAGACACCAGTTTTCTTATCACAAGATGCTCAATTCTGACACCAATGGTAATGCTTATGATTATGATGTTGAAAATGAGAATTATGATGATGATGATAATAACAACTTTGGTCTTTTTTTAGCCATTAGCTATCACCAGACCATCATGGAAAAGTAGGGGACCTTTGTATACAGAATATGGAATACAAATGAGATCTGTAAGAAAAGACCAAACAGCTGTGGTGAGTAGGCTTACTTCTAAAACATTCATCACACAAAAAAATCCAAATAATTTTCTTGTTGTAAAGTTCTCAGAAATGTATAGTACAATTCAAAAGTTTTGCCAACGAGGTTTTATTTGAATTGTAACACCACTGGATTTCATCTACAGACTTATAATTATTAATGATTTCATTTAATGTTAGAGTGACAAACATAACATTGGGAGTGAAAGGGGGTTCTCTGGATGCTCCGGTGACCAGAGAAAATCACTTTTGCTTGGGTAAAATTAATGATGTTGTCATCCTCATGGCTAAAATTCCTTTCACTGGTTACTCAAAATACCCTAACCCCCTGAATAAAAATTTTCCCTAGGGATACAATTTGCAGACTCCCACAATGAAATGTGGCAGCCCCCATCCCACACCTACCCCTATACACAGTTGTGTGCATGAAAGACATGCCTTTTGATCTAATCAGTAGCAGTCTACTTAATTTTCCAGGTGGGTTAGCTAATGTAAATGTAATGTTTCAAGCAACAAGGACAACACAACATGGAAATATTCCACTATCCTTCACATCAGCAAAATGCTTTTTCTGATTTATTGTTTTTTTCTCATAGAATTTGGTTCTTCATTACTTATCAGATGGAGTTTTAATACTGTCTATCAACTACAGGAAAGAGTTATTTTATATTCCTCTTATTTTCATTCTGAAGGTAGGTTATTTAACCTTTATTGTGTTCAAAACCTGTTACCTGTAATTTTTTTAGTGTTTTATTTATGTTTTTATCATATTAATTTTTCTAGTTATCTAACCAGTAATAATAAGAATAAAATTCAGAGGGGTGCTTTTTCAGATCAATTGTCATAATTTGTTTTACAAGATGGGTAGATCTTCAGAGTGGGTGATAAATATTCTAAAACTTGCTTACTGTGCTTTTCAGTCACATGGAGCCACTTAAAGTTTAAAAAAATGTAACTAGTTACATTTTTTGCTTCTGTCCATCATTATTACAGTGACTAACAATAGACCTTGAAAAAAAAAGAAACAATAAAAAAGGGATCAAAATCTACCAGTTACAGTCCACTGACATGATCTTTTGAACCCACTGAAGAATACCTGACATGTTTTCTGAGTGATCATCTTTCTTTTTTCAAGGCTCTGATAAACACTACAGATCAACAGATTTACTGTGACCTGGTAGCTGGTGAAGAAGATAATACTTTCTTGAAAGAGTAAGTCACCCCTGGTTTTAGAGTGAAAGAAAACGATCCCCAAATTTTCATTTTGCTAATTGTCACAAATGTTCACATAATCATCACAATTTATTGCACATGAAAATGGCACAATGCAATACACTATTGTATTGTGGTACGTCACCCCAAAACAATATTTTGGGGCTTTCTTTTGACTTAAAAACACACATACAAGTCATGCAAAAATAAAATTTCAAGGCATTCCCTGCTTTACTACATGTTACCCCTTGGAGAACTGAATGTCAAAGTTTAGAAAAAACAAAAGAAAACAGGACAAGTTTCAGATCATTGATATAAAAAGTATACAAAAAAATGATAATATAATGTGCAAAAGTCCTGCTAAAGGGGTTTTATTTGAATGATCACACAATGTAATTTTTTCTGGACAGACCCAAAAGTCAGAACTAGAAAAGTTAGGTGTTGGACAAATTACTGAGGTGTTTGTTTCAAATTCTTGGAATTTAGTAGCCTGCAAAACAGGTGCTATGCGAGTGATTATACTATTCTTGGGACTTAATGCCATCCCACCATACAAAATTGATTTCAAGGTAGAGGATCACAAGATATAGGAGAGGTAGCGGAGGGAGAGGGAAAAAACCCCTTTTTTCTCCCTACCCCTCTCCCCTTGCTCACCCCTCCTCCCTCAGTTTGTTATTTGCCTTTAAGATGGTGGCCTAGGGAAGGCTTGGAAATTATAGGTGTTTTTTGTTAAAATGCTTCTTGTTTCTTTTTTTAGCTGTATTGCCTCTATGTTAAGGACAGCCCAGTCAGAGGGTGCCGCGACACAAAGGGCTATTCTTAATTATATTGGTAAGACATCTGTGAAATGTTCCTTGCCTTAAGCCCTTCAATACAAGAAAAAGAAACAAATTTCTCTTTATATAATCTTAAGATGTAAATAATACTGTGCAAAAGTTCTGGCAAAGAGGTTTCATTTGAATGGTAACACCATAGAATTTGGTCCACAGACTCACGCAAAAGGTAGAACCACATACTTAATAAATAGTACTATGTGAAAGTACTGCTGAAGAGGTTTCATTTGAATGGTAACACCAAAGGATTTCATCCACAGACTCAAAAGTTAGAACTACATACTAAATAAATAGTACCATGTGAAATTACTGCTGAAGAGATTTCATTTGAATGGTAACACCATAGGATTTTGTCCAAAGATTTACAAGTTAGAGTATTTTGCCAGAACTGGTAAATTATTGAAATGCTCTCATTGATGACCATAAATACTGCTTTACAGTCAACTCTGCTTAAAACAAACACCATTGCCACCATTAGAGAGTGAAGTGAAGTAAAAAAAATGTTAGGAACAGATGCAAAGACTTTGTTCGTTTTGGGAGCTGTCTGTGTTACAAGTGTATTTGTAGAGAGATTTGACAGTAATGCCAACTAATATATTCGATTGTCTGCTAGGTGAAAGGTTTAAAGTCAAGATGGGCTTACCAGAATGGTACACAAATGATGCTGTAGCACAATATCTTGTCCAGTGAGTCATTTTTTCCTTGTTTTTATCGCTGTGAACTGAGTATGTGGCACTTTCAGTCAGTTTGATTAATTTCAAATTGTTTGTTTTACTTCTGAATATCAGACAATGTATATGTGTTCATCTGGATTCAAATAAGGACAAGTATAATTTATTGGTGTAAGTATCAACCAGACAATTTTTTTCAGTACTGTACCGTTTCATCATCAGCACGTGATCATGATCATCATGTCATGTCATTGACATCACCATCATCATCAACATCATCATCAACATCCATCCATCCTTATCATCATTATTATCGTTTTTGGTGATTATATCCCTAAAGCAACTGCAGGTGCGTCGCCATGAAAGAGCTGTTGTTGTCATGACCAGCTTAATTTACCGTTGGTTGCATCTAAGCGTGTACACGTGACGGAAAAACATGTTCTAATATTTGGTTGAAAACAAGACATGTTTTGCTGCCGAACTGTTGATGTTTGAGTTGGCCGTAAACGAATGTTCATGAATGTTCAGGTGTAAAGTAGGTAGCTGTTTGTCAGCTTGATTGGTTTTCGATCAACAAAATATTCATCGCAAGACGTTAAGAAAAATTTATGGAGTTGCAAAACTCCAGAGAATAATTCTTAAAAGCAAGTGTGCTGTTTCTGAGCGAGAAATATTACTGAAAATTGAGAAAAATGAAAGATGAGCGGGACGTGCTGATCAAGAGCATGTAAACAACTTACCTTTGGCACGACAGTTTGCTTTAAACGGCTGTAAAACGTCAAATGTTTGGCGACAAAACACGTCATGTCTGGCACCCCATTAGAACACGTTGTTTTGTCTCGCGTCCACGCTTAGATGGAACCGACGGTAATCATTGATATATTTCTTGGGCGCCCTATCAGTTAATTATCTGATTTGCCTACTCATCACTTTCCATTATCCGTAAATCTCTTTATTGTAGTTTTATGGCAAGGAAACTTTACACATTGGCACTGGAAAAATGCGCAGCCGAGTCAGCGGACAGTCCTATGATGCAGGAAGTACTGCTTGGCGGTCATTTGTATTTAATGTCATTAAAGGTAGGCCAAGATACTGTAAAATTCCGAAAATAAGCCCCTCCATGTATAAGCCCCTCCAAATATAAGCCCTCCAAACCGGTAATGCAAAAAACGCCCCTCCTAATATAAGCCCCCTGGGGGCTTGTACATGGAAAATTGCCCTCAAATACAAAATAAAACAAAGCAAAAACGGTAATTAACTTCCAACTATAAGGCTAGCCCAATCGTGAAACGCAAATTTCCCTCCGTAGATAAGCCCCTCCAAAAATAAGCCCCTCAAAAAGTGCCTTTGAAAAATATAAGCCCCGGGGCTTATTTTCGGAATTTTACGGTAGTTCATTCGACCCCACCCAGACCAGCTTGTCAAGGCCATGTTTATGTAGAATAAAATAGCGAGCTTAAGCAACAACGACTGCCACGGCTACGAAAACGTCCCTTAAAAGGTACAGTTGCGCTGCTTCAAACTTTTTCCCGCTTATTCCATCTTGTTCAGTTCGTCAAATGTTGGCAATTTTTTCTGGAATTGAATTCAAAGACTGTATCGAGGTTCAAGAAAAGAAAAAGAAATTCGTCGCCTTGTGTTTACGTCCTCCACAAAACGTCAAATTAGGCATGTTCACGTTGTAGTCATGAAGTGACGGCAAAGAAATGTACAAAAAATCGTGATGCCCGTACAAAGTTATTGTTTTGCCAATCTAAACCTTTTGCTTTTTTGCCGTTCTCGTTGAGGTCGCCGTCGTCGTCGTTGCTTAAGCTTCAGAGTCAAAGATGAAGATGACTACCGAACAGGTTGTCGAAACGTCAGTCACTGTCAACAACAACAGTCCTATTCAGGACTACGTTCATCCGGACGATCAAACTCAACCTACTTTTGAAATGACTCCTGGGTTCAAACCTTTCACAGTTCTATAATAATAATGTTGCAATATATGTTGCACGTTATCAGTGCCCGTTATACTGTAACTTAAAGTAGACACGAACACAGTTAGTTTTCAGTGGAAAAGCGCCGTTAACCTTCGTGGCGTGCATTTGAAGGGGAAGAAGGGCTCCTGAGGCACCTTTTGCATGTCAGCAAAGCTTTCTTTTGTTTTGACTCTTGTGCTAATGCTTTTAGTAAATAATTATAATACTCATTTCCACAGGAAAAATTGGAGGTCTGGCTTTATAACGTCCGTGCAAACTTGGAAAAGGATATCAAAACAAAACAAAATTTTAATCTTAATGCATGTGAGTATTTCTGTTTTTTTGCTCTTTCCTCTCGAGAATTTTTTCCATGTAAAGGATTAAGAATCTATGCTATTACCCCAAAGGAACCTCAAAATGGGTGGGTGAAAATTTTTTGGAGGCGGGTGGGATAGTGCGAGAGGTGACTTGTGGGTTTACGCAAAGGGTGCCACGAGAGATCGGGACAAAAATCTCTCAGGCAATCTATGTCAGCTTGCCTGTCTCTTGCTCAAAGAGATGACTTGTTCGCGGGCCACTGTAAAGGAAGGGTTGGAGATGTGTGGTTGTAATTCAAGACGTTAGATGGTTGATTAATTCAAGCAAGTAGGACGTTTTTAGTCTGGTAAGAAAGGAAAAGAAGTGGAAGAAGATGACTTTGAATCTCATGTAAGAAGCTCCTTAAAAACTTAATGCCAAGACATCAAAGAAATTAAAGCAAGTCAAGCCAAAATACAGAATGTCATTCAACAGTTGAAGAATGACGTGGCGACCAACAAGGATGAGATAACAAGATATGTGAATGTACAGATAAAGCGACTGTACTTATATCTATTCTGCTTTCCGACTAATTTTATTCATACTACATTATTCTGGATAATCTTCTTCCTTTAAGTGATAAAATCAACTTTCTCATGATAACAACTGCACAATAGTAGTTATCCTAGGTGTGCCCCTCTCCTCTTTTGTAATATATTCCTTTATAAATATTTCTTTATGATGTGTTAATGTACTAGAATTGATAAAAATAAAACACAAATACAAATACTCGGCTTTCGCTTCTATCACATGTTGCAGCTAAGATTAGTAATATTACTGTTATGGTTTGGATATCTTGATAATGATGTTGGATACATCGAAAATTGGAACATCATTTATCTTAAAGTATTCTTATTGCAAAGTTGCGTAGGAAACTTGGGGGCAAAATTCAACTCCTGAAACTTAACCTCTCGGCCTCTAAAATGGCCGTTACATTGAAAACGTTTTTCTTGCTGCGATATTGCCTAAGCAAGAATTTATCTTTGACTACGTTCCTCAAATTTGTAATCAATTTTTCACAACTGCTGCAAGTTTTTCCCTCACTGTAATATTGTTTCTACATTTACAGCTACTTTGTTACAGTCCATGTCAAGAAGTACTAACATATCACATCAGATGGAGTACTTACTTGCTACTGGGAACCTTGTATCAAGATCGGGACTTGGACTTATGCAGGTTAGAATTGACAAAATCCTTGTTATAAAGTTATCCGTGTAATAAAGGTTTCCTTCCAACAGCAGTCTCTTGTTTTGTACCTGCTGACAGTCCATACACTAGGGCATTTAAGCGACCATGGTGGTGAAAACAACAGGAGCGTCAAAAAAGCAATTACAATTACTCGGATCATGTCGCATCGAAGGTAACTGACATACCAATGAAGCCTTGTCCAGATGGGATTTACTGGCTTCTTTGTTGCACCATGATTCTGATGATCTGGGATCATAAATCCTGATCCTACTAATCCCTAGCTTGTTCCAGGCTCTCAGATAGTATAGTGCGGCACTATCTCGGAGACTGGAACAGGCTAACTAATCCCAAAGGAACGGATTTCTTTGGAGAATATACAAAAAACAACTCGTACATTACAAGTTTTAGTACTTTCCTTTTCCGTTAGTGTAAGTCTAACACGTGAAACTTACTAATGTGATATTTTGCCGAGGACACAAACACTTAGACGAAATTGTCTTTATCCTTCCAACTTGAATGTGCGCCTTAAAAACTCAACTCCTGGAAAGTTCGCCTGCATTTAACAACTTGAGCATGCTGGAATTATCGCAACAAAGGAATGCGAATGCACTCGACAAGTGACGTCGCTGCCGTAGGTCTAGTAGTTGCATAAAATCCCTACTCACTCCTGCTCTAATAGCGACCTTAGGAAATTACGACGGCGACGGCACGGAGAACGTCAAAAAAGCAACAGGTTTAACGAGCAAAACAACAACTCTGCACGTGCACGCTTTTTTGTACATTTCTTTGCTGTCCCTGCTATACTACGACGTGAAATGACCAAATTTTAAGTTTATTTGAGAACTGGAACGGCAAGGCGATAAATTCTACCATCTCTGTCTGAACTCTGGCGCGGTCCCCTCTCTTCATCTCCAACCAAAATTCTCTTCTTTTAAGTAACAAGGCGAATTGGGATAATCGCGAAAACGTTTAAAAGGATGCGAAGTCTATTTTTCTCCGACGCTTTCATGGACGTCGCCGTTGTCAGATCGTAAGGTTCCTAATGTCATACGAAGGCCAACCCTTCATGCATTTGACTTTTGATTGGTTCATTTGATTATCAGCTCGTGATGTGATTGGCCAGAGTAACTGCCTCGTCTTGAAAACTCCCTACTTGTTTCTTGTATGTTTTCTTAACAGACTTCTGGATTTGCAGTGGTAGCTGACCGCCTTAATTTCTACAGATTTCTTTCCCATTTCCGCTGTGTTCATAGAGGTTCATTCTTTGCGCAGATGAGAACAACAGCTGTGAGGAAACTTCTTCCAGAGGCTTGGGGTATGCTGTTGGCAAATTGTTCTGTACGGTCAAACCAGTATTAAGCGTTCGCCCTTGGGGAATGGCTTACTGACTGCTTAATTACAGGTTGACCGTTTAATATAGTTTTGAAGAAGGAAAATTCGAACACCAGAAACCTCAGAAAAAATTCCGAGCTCCATGCCAGGTGGGAATCGAACTCACGACCCTCCGAGTTCTAGTTCGGATGCTTTAACCATTGAGCTACTAAAAGCTCTCTGGCGAGCAGGGTCGAAATCATCCTCGGAGACCCAGGGGCAGCTAATCGGGACTATAGAATGTTCATGGAGAAAGTTTACTATAAGACCGATCAATCTTAAATAGAGGTAAAGACAATGACAAATAACTCTTTGGGACATTGGAAAAGGTGACCGCGACCGTTTAATAGAAGTGACCGCTTAATACAGGTCAATGTTACCGACAGTGATTAAGGGAAACTATTTCCGGGACTTTGGAAACTGACCGCTTAATACCGTTTTGACTGTATTCGTTTGTTGTTGCCCTTCCCGTCGTCATCCGATCTAAACGATTTTTCGTTTTTCTTAAGGCTTTTTATGTCCAGTGCACACTCCGGATGGTGCACCCTGCGGATTGTTGAATCATATGGCGGCTTCTTGTCAGGTAAATAGGGAACTTATGCAACAGCGTTTTTGGGTGACGGACGTCAACCGGAAGTGGTCTTTTTGCATCATTGGGCAGTGGTTTGGTTCAAACTCTCGGTTAAATAGTCCTTATAAGAGAAACGAAACTTAGCAATACAAATTTGTTAGCATCAAAGCAAAAACGTCTTTGTTTAAGCTCCCTAATACCATCATTTACCACTTTAGAAACGAGAGGGAAACTGGGTCGAGTTGACTTTTGCAAAGACCTCTGGGACTGTTACTAGGGACAACGGAGAAAATTGACCAATAGCTGATCAGCGCGTCCTCAGTAACGATCCCAGAAACAATTGCGGGACGCATTTCGGCTCCAGTTTTCTTCTCGTTTCTAAAGTGGCGAATGCACGGACTCCCTATCAAGAGTGATCTCTGGATTCATGTATCCTGTATACAGCCGCCCCCTCCCCTCCCCTCCCCTGAAACAATCGGGGAAAGGGACGACGTATCTCTCCCTTAGTTTGTGTGAGAGGAGGGCATGGCTGTACTCAGGCGGATCATTATACGTTTCTGGGAAACTATCCACCTACCCCTCCCCTAAGCCAACATTTTACCCTAAGTGAGAAATAAGTGTTAGTGTTGGCTTAGTGGAGGGGTAGGTGGGCAGTTTCCCCGAAACATATCCTCTCAGGCTTGGTTCTAACCTGCGATCAGGAGTTTTTTTTTCTTTTTCCTTCGTCTCCCGAACAAAAAAGGGAAGAAAGACCGCCTGATCGCAGGTTATCTTGGTTCAGGCCCCGCTGGGTTCATTGCGTTTTGTTCTTGCGCAAGACACTTTATTCTCACAGTGCCTCATTCCACCCAGGTGTATAAATAGGTCCGAGCGAATTTAATACAGGGGGTAAACCCTGCGATGGTGCGATGGACTGGCATTTTTTAGAAGTGTTTATTTAGTCCTCAAAATTGAGGGGAAAACTTCTAGTGGTTAATGTGAATGGACTTCTTCTTTGGCCTTTGTTTCTCTCCCCCCCACCTCCACCCTTAAAGGAGCAAAATGTTTAACTGAGTTATACACGTGTACTTTGCACTAAATGGGTTTCCTGTGGTTTAATTATGTCAGGTTGTAAATACCATGCCACAGACAGCCCATCTTCCCAGACTGTTGTGTTCAATGGGGATGACCCTGCACGACGCACCAGCCCCGGCTGATATCAAGTCTTGTTACACGGTGATATTGGATGGCAGAGTTATCGGCAGAGTTGATATGGATCTTGCTCCATCCCTTGTGAACAGGCTCCGTATGTTAAAAGTACTTGGACAGGAAAAGGTACACCTAGGTTGTTTTACCATCTACAAAAAGTTTCCGGAAAATCCGGCTGAAAAGTAAATGGAACACGACTTTTTTAGTAGTTGCGACGGAAAATTTCCTGGAATGAAAGAACTTTATTTAAGTGTCAGAGTGTTTAGCTAGATATTAGCTAATTGTGGACACTAAAACAAAATAAAACTTAAAATAGGGGTGCTAGGAGTGTTAAAAATCTATTTCAAAATTTACAATCATTTTGAAGGCAGGGAAGGGTCATAATAAATATGTAAAATCTACACTATTCACAAATTTAATATCGCTTGGTTCCAAGAAAAACTGATATTTAGAATGTTCACGAATTTATATTTATTAAGTTCAAAAGTAATAACATTCCATTGCAAACGTGGTTAACTGATACATAAGTTACAATTGATGCACTGCCTTCAATAAGAAAAGTCAAGTTTTTCTTTCTAATGTTCCATCTAAAATTGTCCAGCGAGGGTCAACGTTGGAAATTCGTGTTTCACTTCTTCAAAGCCATCTTTAATACCAGTTTTGGGCTTTGGCGGTCGTTTTCAAAGCCATCTTTAATACCAGTTTCGGGCTTTCGCGGTCACTTGTACTAGTGGTAAACGCGACTTCGGGACGAAATTTACCGGTCCTGAATTTTCCACTTGCTTGCGGAACCAGCCATATAATAGTAGAAGCAAATAAAAGACGTTTTTGAACGGCGTACATCAACCGGAAGTGGACTTCTTGAATTCTTAGGCAATGCTTTTGTCCAATCGGGCCAATCGTCTCTTACCCTAGGGACGACGGGGAGCTTCGTTTCGTCGGCCACAGGCCGACACGTGTTCGGCAAGGCATATGAAACCAGAAAGTTGAAAAGCCTTGGCACGTTAATCGGCGTGTTAAAAGACACTTGGCAAAAGTTGTTAGCGTTAAGGCGTGTTAAAAGAAAAAGACCTTACTTCCGGTTGACCTGCTTGGCTCAAAACGCCTTTCCTTTATTAATGCACCGTAACATCCAGCGCCACTCGTCTGTAATCTGCTAAGAACTATTTTATGTAAAAGGTCCCTCAGATGCTGGAGATCTGCCTGGTGCCCATCACAAGCGTGGCGAGTCAGTACCCTGGATTGCACATCTTTTCTTCTCCTGCTCGCATGATGAGGCCTGTTCTAAACCTGGCGGCCAGTAAAGTGGAAATGATTGGAACATTTGAGCAGGTGCGTGTCTGTTCGAACATACACTGTTTCACTCTAAACCACGACAGCTGTTCTTATTGGAGACGGAAATGCTCCAATTGCACGTATCAGATGTTCAGAAATCGGTTTTGCCTTCTCTTTGTGTGATTAACTTGGATCATTATACGTTTCTGGGAAACTGCCTACCTACCCCTTCCCTAAGCCAAGATTTTGCCCCAAGTGAGAAGTAAGTGTTAATGCTGGCTTAGGGGAGGGGTAGGTGTGCAGTATCCCAGAAACGTATACTTTAAACCGACCTCAGCTTGATTTCATTTTTTATAGTTGCTATAGAACGTAGGACAAGGAGCGACCCGTAGTTAATTGCCGCATGCCCGACCCGTATGCCCTCAAAGTACTAGGCTCCATTTTCGCCGCTCTGTCGGGGAAGGAGCGTGGGCTCATTTCCCGAACAGCGGCTGGTAATCAAGCCTACCAAAACACCTTTGTTTATACACTGGGGTTCAATACCCCTCTGGACTGAGTGATGATTTTTTCCGTGAGGAACTCATCGGAGGAATTACCCCGCAAGATTCAGTACAATGTGGGGAGATTCCCTCCAGAGATCCATTGTGGTCTTCATTGTGGTTCATTAACTCCCCCAAGGGGTTCAACAGAGTTATCAATCAAGGTCTCTGTTCTGAGGGTCGCAGAGATTTCTGTCCTTGAAGAATTCATATTATACACATCTATTTGTAACTTTAATCTACTTTAATTGCTTGCAGTAAGGTGAGGGCTAGGGCTTGGGAACACGTCTTGATGTCTATCATAAATGGCGTGAATGTCAATTGCGTGCATTTCTGGACATAATTGCTTGAAAATGAGTTGTAAACAAATGAGATTCTTTTTCGTAGGTTTACATGAATGTTGCTGTGGTGAAAGAAGAAGCCCATGAGGGGGTATGTTAGAAGAACAGTTCCCATATAATAGGAAAATATGTGCCGTTAACGTCAGTCTTTTATTTTCCAGTGATTTTGTTACAAATAGTTATGGTGAGTCCTGGGACTCGTGTAGTCAAAAATCGCGAGTCTCTGTCCATAACCATTGAGTATCAGTTCAAAAAAACAAAGTCCTAAATTGAAAATGCTTGAGCCTTTATGTAACCAGACAGTTAATCTGGAGACAGACACCAGAACTCTATTTATTACAGTTAACTGAAATTAAAATATAGTCCTTCTACATATTTAAAGAACAAAAAAGACTAAAATAAATATGCATCTTTAAACAACAGTCCGCACAGACATCGCACGCACAGGATATTTTACCAAGAAATCTTCAAATCGATCGATCGTTCTTTGCGTCCTACGGGACGCATTTCATGAGTTATTTTGCGTCTTTGGAGATTTTTATGCGTCAGGGACGCAGGACGCATAGGTAACAAAATCACTGTTTTCTGGCTTTTTTCCTTTTTGAAAAAAACAACAATTTTTTATTGTAATCTCAATGTTAAACTTATTACAGGAAACAACTCACCTTGAATTGAAGCAGACGAGTATGCTCAGCGCTGTTGCAAGCTTAACGCCATTCTCGGATTTTAACCAGAGTCCTCGTAACATGTACCAGTGTCAGGTGAGTTTATTGATTGAAACGTCAATTGTTCTGGGGATTTGCAATTGAGTGTCGGCACGCAAAACACATAACTCAACAGCATGGCCAATCACAGCACACGGACTTATCCAAAGAACCAGTCAGTACAAAACAAGATGATGCAGCCTCGTTCCCAGTCGTCCTCGGCAAGTTTAGATGTGATTCACTCGTCAACCTTATCTCAGCCTTGTGGAAAGAACATAATCACATAGACCATAAGGCACGTTGCTTACCCCCCTAAATTTTGCATATCCATTGTCTTCGATTTCTCTTGGGACGACTGTAATAACCAGGAGAAATTGGAAACAATGGTTATGCAAAATTGTTGGGGGAAGGGGGGTAATTCTGATCTATGTGAAAATGGTGAAGCAATAATAAATAGGCGCGTGCAAAGATGGCGGGCATCGTGAATAAGGTCTGTTCGCCAAAAAGCTTCTCAGAGCAACTCGGAAATGGGCGGATTTTTTCGGCAGACTCATAGAGTAAAACCAGACGTAGTTAATCGAAAAAGCGATAATCGATATCAATCATTGATGAAACTCGATTTCCGATATCGATCGATAGAAATCGATGAAGAAAAAAGTTAACTTCGATTAATATCAATAATTTTCCGAAAGAAATCGATGATTTTCGATAACAATCGATTCCTATCGATTGTTATCGATTTTTTTAATTGATAATAATTGATAAATTATTTTTCCTGTGACTTCGATTTCTATCGATTTCCGATATCAGTCGATATTAATCGGCGGATTAAATCGATTAATATCAATCATATCGATTGATTTTCGATATCGATTTTTATCGATTAACTACTGGAGTAAAAATGGCGGTGTCTGTCTCAAAAGTGGGTATAAAATCAGTCAGTTTCCTTGACCGCTATCTTAGCAAGACGGACGTGTTTTTCTTGTTGTTTAGATGGGAAAACAGACAATGGGGACACCAGCTCAAGCACTAAAGCACCGCGGTGACAACAAACTCTACAGGCTACAGGTCAGTGTACACGGATATCATACTAAGAATAAATTACAGGGTTCAAAAGTAGAAAGGAATAGCCGTTACTTTCATAAAATACATTGGCTTACTTGTTTATGCCACTTCATATTTATACAGACCTGCCAACTCTCACTACTCTGTCTTGAGTCTCACGATTTTGTGTCTTTTCTCACGGCCCCACGACAAGACTACCAATCTCACGGTTTGTGAGGAAAATATCATTCTGAAATTAAATGTTACCTTGCTGCAAAAAAGGAAATTTATTGATAATGCTTTACCATAAACGAAAGTGATCAACTAATAAAAATTAACACTCTTCTAAATACTTACCGAGCTGTAGGATTTGTGCTTCTGTTTATCGTTAAGGCCTCTACTTAGTACTATAGAACAGAAGTTAACCATTAAGATTTAAAGAACAATTAAATATAATTCCCCCAATGGATAAAGGCCGGATTTCGTTTAATCCTGATCAGGAAAAATATAGAATCTCGCTACTTTAGTAGAATCTCCCGGTTTTTTTTCATGAGTCTCCAGATTTTCCTTTATTAGGGGTTGGCAGGTCTGTTTAAAAATGATACGCCTTGGTTTTGTCCTTAATATTCAACAAAATGAACAGTAGACCACCGTGACGCAGTCCCGGGCACTTAAGCATTTTTCGTTTGCTCTAAACGTTCCATTGTGCCATAAAACAAATAACTTTCGGTCTAATTATTTTCATACTAAGTGCTACTACTCGTGTAACACCTCTTCTATTTCGCTTTAGACTCCTCAGTCTCCTCTGGTTCGACCTGCCGCTCATGACGAGTTTGCTGTCGACAATTATGCCCTTGGAACAAATGCCGTTGTAGCAGTTATTTCATACACCGTAAGTGAAACACAATGTGGCGGATCCAAACCTGCAGATTAGGGAAGGGGGGCGGTCATTCAGACCCTGAGATAAGGGGGGGGGGGGGTCTGGTCTCAGAAAAAGTTTTTTTCGCCCTTCGGGCCTCAGTTTGGTCTAAAAATAAGGGGGCCGGGGTGCTCCTCTGGATCTGTCACTGTAAATTGACTTTTGGTGTCGACTTAAATATTCCATTTAATAGTTGTATTTCATTTAAACTTGCACACTACCAGACAACGTCCAAATGTGTAAGAACAGAAAAGTGTCCAAAGGAGATGTGTAGAGCCTTTCTGTCGAGACAAGCTCTGGAATTTACCCTCCCCTCCCCCCCCCGCCTCCCCCCACGATTATGCAGTTTGGGGGTCCATAGCTCAAATAGCCCTTATGCATGTTTACGTCACACAAGCAAATTTCACCACCAAGCCTCGTTTTGAAATTAAAAATAAGTCGAATTTTCACAGAAATGAATTCCCAAGGCAGTAGAGTTGAAAAGAATACCCACGCACAAAAAGTGCAAATGCAAAAAATTTTGTTCACAAACGAGGCTTGTTGGTGAAATTTACTCGTCTGACGTAATCATGCATAGGGGCTATTATTTAACAAGCGATGTTCTTTTTCTGTGCCAAAATTGACGCTTTTTCCTTAAAGCCCAAAATATTTTGTACCATTCGCCTCTTTAGAAACAAGAAGATAACTGGAGCTGAAATGCGTCGCGCAATTGTTTCTGGGATCGCTACTGGGAACGCGCTAGTCAGCTATTGGCCAATTTTTTCCCTGTCCCAGTAGACAGTCCCAGAAGTCTTTGCGAAAGTTAATTTGGCCCAGTTTCCTACTCGTTTGTTAAGCGGCGAATTCTGGAGAACTATCTGCCGTATTTAGTTTTTCTTTTGGCATGTTTTGCAGGGATATGATATGGAAGATGCAATGATTCTCAATAAAGCTTCCTTTGAGCGTGGATTTGCCCATGGGACGGTGCTCAAGTGTGAGGTATTATATTGTGCTTTTTATTGAAAAAAATTAATGTCTTTTATGCTTGTGCGCGCGGTTATTTTTGTCTCGATATTAAATAACGTCACAAAATTTTACTGATGTTTTAGGTGTAAATTGTCAATTCTTTGAAGTTAAAATGACCTCTCTTGTACTTGTTATCCCTGTTTAACACGGAATGTCTAACTATTTGTTGGATTTCTTTTAACGATTATAATTCCTTCCGTCGGCGTCTTTTAGTTGTCTGTGTTATACATTTACAGCTGTTTCCGATAACACGCGACCTACGTTGTCAGAAACGTTCAGGATTTGGGGTTTTTCTGCGACGTCAATCAAACCGTTACCATAGCATGCAGTCCTTGCTTGTTAAATAAAAGCGGTAATAGCGAGCCGAAGCTGCAAAATTAAATGTTGATGGGAACCTACCGATTCGTTTTTACCCTCCCATATCTGTGTTTCTTCTGGATTTGGAGGCTCTAGAGGAACAATTTCGCCTAGGGAATCTAAACTTGCCATTTTTCGGTACGAAGGTAAAAAAAAAACTTGAGAGCTAAAACGTGAAAACACGTGAACACTGAAGTTCAGAAGCAAGGAACCTTGAAACACAGAAACACACGAAACGGATCGAAATCCACTAATAACAAATTACAAACCATGATCTTTTAAACCCGTTGAAGTAAACTTCTGTTTCCAAAGATGTCCGGACGGCAGCTAAAAACGCAATTATTTTGGTTGACAGAAAAACGCATAAAAACCCAAAATCCAAAGACGTTTTTGATATCGCAGGTGCCTTGTTATCCGAAACGGCTGTAGTTTATTTTACTACCAAGAGTGTATGCTAAGAAACTTGTCATTTTGTTCCTTTTCTCCAGATAGTGGATCTTAATAAAATAGCTGGAACCGGCAAAAATTCAAGTCTAAGATTTGGTAAGATGAATCATTCTCAGTATCATTTACTCACTTTTTTTGAATGGCACAAAACACCTAGCACGAAACTCCGGGGAGAGGGGGAGGAGGCAAGAAAACCAAAGATACCGTAAATCGTCTATTTAGCCCCCCGGGGAGCTTATTTATTTCAAGCCCATTTGAGGGGGGCCTTAATAGAGACAGTGGGCTTATTTGAGGAGGGGGGGGGGGGGCTTATTTAATTTAGAAAGGACGACGGTATCAGTTCTCCAAAAAAACTATAATACAAAGTGGAGAAGCTCAAGAACAAGAAGGTTGGAATAAAAAAACTTCCAGTTTAAATTTGCCTATGACTTTTAGATCATAAGTTGTTTCGATAGTTTTTTTAAACATAGTTTAGTTTAATTTTATTTTCAAATAGTTTTTAGATAGTTTTAATATTTCCAGATTATTTTTAATCAATATTTCCTTTATCATGGTTAAATTTATATATATAATATCTATTTGCTTTTATGCTCTTATATTTTTATTGTATATAACCATGTATTTTATTATGTTTTTCTTATACCTTTGTAACGCGCATTTGATCATATACATATGCGAATTTGCGCGTTATATATAAGTAATAAAATGCAGTCTCCTTTCTCCTCCTCAATCATGATGTCAAAAGGAGGCTCTTCTCGCAGTTTGGGTCTTTTGCTACCATGCGTCTGTTTAGACGAAACGGGCGCATAGATATCCATTTAATTGGGGATGAAATGGGTAGGCTGTGAAGAGGTTTAAAACTAACTGAAGAGAGGTAACTTAGCGGTGTTCATTCTATATCGGTCAATTTTGTTCCGGGGTGTTATCCCTTCCACTACCGCTATATTCGGCCAGAAAAAAGATACCCCTGGAAATCGAGTTGCCCTATTGAACGAACATTAACATATGGTGTTAAATAGTGTAATTAGTTCAAGGGTATTAGATTTCTGTGGCTTTCCATTGGAGGAACTAACTTGTTCTTTATATTTTGTTGTTAAAGGTTGTCTTCCTAATGATGATCGGGTCCAGGGGTTTCTAGACATTGATGGTCTTCCGCCAATTGGCGCCAAACTAGAGACAGGAAACCCTTATTACTGGTAAGAAACTGGTATAACTAGAATGAAACTTGACAGACTGGTAGTAAACCGGTATGTACTAGTTAGATTGTTGGGTATTGACAAATAACCTAGTAATTAATGATTAGCTGTATTTGCTTCTTAAAGTGTTCATGGCCAGAGCATGATGACATCATATTGTGCGTGTCATCTGATTGACTCAGTGTAAAGCGTCACGTGGCTTCAGGCAGTGTTTTATTGTCTGTTAGTCACAAGGCGTCATTGCTTTAAGTCAGCATGATAAAATGTGAAGTCTGAATCTGGTCTTTGTGATCTTATTTTGCAAAACCTAAACCAAACTATTGGTACAACATTTGATTAAAGGGCCCTTTGCAGAATACGGTCACATCGTACAAAAAACACCTTGCTGGAAAAAAACACTGCTGGATGGTCCCAAACATCCACAGACTGTTAGAACCTTGCATAATAAAAGCAAAGGATGTTAGCTTTTTTTGGAACGATGAAAGCTTTCTTCATCCACAAACTCAAAAGTTGGAATCACCTTGTACGGCATTATAAACAGTTTGTTTTTCATTTACGGCATTATAAACAGTACCACAAGAAAGTAGTGCTCAGTAGCTTTCATGTGAATGGTCGCACTTTAGGCTTTCATCCACAAACTCAAAAGTTGGAATGTACTGTCGCTTTCACTTTTTGTCACTACAGGATTCAATCCCAAATCAAAGGTTAAAACATAATAAACGTTACCACAGGTTAAAACTGCAGCGGTATAGTAGATCTTATTTGAATGTTAAAAAGTAAAGATTTAGTCCATAGAATTGAACTTCAGATCACATTATACAAGTCATTTATCCTTGTTTGGGTTTTTTGTAGTTACATTGATGATAACACTGGCAAGGCAGTCATAAAGAAATATAGCAGCTTGGAAAACGCTGTAGTTGACGACGTAAGAACCTTTTGTTGTTCAGTACACGTTCTGTTTAAGTTCTGTTTTAAGAAAGACTCCCTCGTCCTTTTGAATGCGTTTGCTATCTTTTGTGGTTGGCTGTAGGTAAAAATTCTCGGTAATGATGACGGTACTGGAACACTTCAGAGAGTTTCTATTAAACTGAGGATTCAGGTCAGTCTATTAGTTTGTTTGTTTAGTTTTTAGAATAAACAAAAGCAAGAATGTGCGTGAAGAAAACCAAAATCCTATGAATGAGACGCAGACTGCGCGTTCTTAAAATGAGGGCTATCTGGAGATTAAGAAGAGAAAAAACTACTTTGAAAAAGAGTAGAAATGCACGCGGAGCGTGACCTTAACTTTCTCGCGTTGTTTGGAGAAAGGGCTGTTTTGTCCCGGGAAGGGGAGTTCTTATATAATAGTGATGGGGATGCTCGTCGTCTCGCCTTTGGGTGTAAACGGCAGATTTTCGTCTCACTTAGGGTGTTTGGGATGGAAAGTCACTACATTTGCCCATACCGGTATCGCTTAGTACTGTTCTTAAAGAAATTTACAGAATATACAGAAAATGCCCCGACACTGACCACACAGAAATCTCCCTTAGGGGTCAGCTTAAGCTTTAGCCACACCCACATTGGTCTCCTTTGGGAGTTTAATTTGAATTTTTGGACGAGGCATCTCCGTCGGCCTTTATATAGGAGTCCCCCCGGGTGTTTTGTGTTCACAGTAACTGGCCCAAACTGTTGTGTTGTCCCCGCCATATCTGGCGAAGGTTATAAGTGCCATTAGTTCAAAATTTTGCTGGATAATGCGCGCGGATATCTTACGAGGTGCGTAGTGCTTTTCCAAGCCTCGTAGAATCGAGGAAATATTCGAGCTATGAGTAAAATGTCTCAGGCTCGCGCTATATTATGTGCTAGTGATGGTTTTGGAATTCCTGAGCATTTTAGTGGTATTGCTATCGTTTTCAGTCCCGACTCGCATCATCTTGTGGTACAATTTTTTATTATTTCAGAGAAACCCGATTATAGGAGACAAATTCTCCAGTCGACATGGACAGAAAGGAATTTGCAGGTATGCAATATACGGTAATTCTGTTCAAATTAACTTCTCCTTAACTAAAGGTGAATGCACTACAACCTGTGACATGGAGAAAGTAGCTGTGTAAATGAACAAACTACACAACCAAGAAAGCATTCCTATTCGTTCCTTAAACTCCTTTATCATGTGTTAACCAATCATAGCTTGCATAGTGTTTTCATCCAATTAGATGTTAGTGACAAATTTTGGCGTTACATATTTTCCCGCCCTTTTCGCGGGCTGCTTACTTCTTAAACCCACTCTGATTGGTTCTTCTAATTTTTCTATTGCGCTTTCCTTTTTCTTGCAGTCAAAAATGGCCGATTGAAAACATGCCATTTACAGAATCAGGAATGACGCCAGATATAATTTTCAACCCTCATGGATTTCCCTCGCGTATGACAATAGGTAAGAGATCGTTTCTCTTCATCACATCGAAGATCATCAGACGACGTGAATTACCCAAAGCTCAAACGAAGATATTATATGCAATAAACAAATATATGATAAGTATGATATAGTATGATGTGATATGATATATGATATATGATATATGTAAATGATATATGATATGATATGATATGATATGATGATGCCAAAGGTGTCAGGAGCCTTAAATAGGCCTCTGTAGGTGTTAGTTATAAAAAAACAAGCGAATTCACTCTGTGGAGGTGCCCCTTGCTCCTCCTCCTCCCTCACCCCCCACCCACTTTGACTGGGGGTTGTTAGTTTTGGTTAGTTTTAAACAAGATGGCAGGTAATTTTTTTAAGAGTTCTTGAAACACAGCCAGAAAAGTTCACTATAATTATAGCTGTCGGTTTCGGTTTACGGCTAAATATAATGGCGTTTACCCCAGAACACCCTAAGTTAGGCGAGAATCCCAAATTTACCCCCCTAAGCGAGACGAAAAGCATCCCCGCCCCGTTCATATGGAAGTCCCTCCCCCGGGATTTCTCTAACTGCAAGACGTATATGTTTGTTTTCTCTTCCGCAGGAATGATGATAGAAAGCATGGCAGGCAAATCGGCCAGTCTCAATGGCACGGTGTATGATGCTACACCGTTCACATTCTCAGAGGACGATCCTGCCGTGGATTACTTCGGAAATCTCCTCAAACAATGTATCTTCTACGCTTCTTCTTTCTTTAGTTGATCACTTCAAATGAGTATCGCTGAAGAGGTTTTCACCATAACATTTCATCCACAGGCTCAAGGAGTTTTGTTTTATTAAGAAGAGACTCTTTTGCTTTTAACAACAACAAATTTTTTTGAAATTCATTATATAACTAATTATTTTCCCACCCTTAAATAGCTTATTAATGAACAAGGCGGTGGAGGAGATATTAGAGGGATTCACGTTTACGCCAAAGGACACGTGAATTTAGTTTTACAATATTTTCCGTTTAAGGTTCAAAATGTAGTTTTATAGATGATTCTGAGAAAAACATCACGTTTGCCGTTAAAAGTAAACGTGAACACTCTATTTACAATACAGGTAAATTAGAGAATAAAAACAATAAAAGAACAATAAAATAAAAGAATAAAGTAATATAAACGAAACGAAGAAATAACGATTACGACTAAGATAATGTGTTAAACTCAGGCATAGTGTACGACAGGACGAAACGCATAAACGAAAGCCAAGAGAACAATAAAACATTCGATTTAAGAAAGAAGCAAACTTAAGGAAGCACATTCAACACACGTCTGTTTATCTTGGTCAGCTCGCGTGACTACGGAACTCCTTTATTTGGAAAAATCCGTCAACACCGCTGAAAAGAGCGCTTTAATGTTAGTATACTTGCCAAGTTTGAAAGTGATTTGTCTGAAGCGAGCGAAGATATTCTGTGTTTTCCCGACGTGGTCATCTATGCAAATTTTTGGAACAGACGTTTGTTTACATAGGAAAAATTTCCCACAGGACTGGTTTGGGACACCAACATGGCCGCCGTTTCATTGTTTTGGTCCCAAGGCCTCATTATTGAACGCATACAACCGTTGCGTTTCGGGTCACGTGGTCCGAGAGGGCCTGGGAAGACGCCGTACACTGGCTAGGCAAGGTTATATCTTCGTTACTTTGCAACAAGTGTCTCTAAAACTTGGTGTAGTTACTATTTTAGGCTCTCTTTCGGGTGTTGTCGACGAATTTTCACTAACTGATCCATGTAAAGAGTTGAAAAACCGTGGATGGGTCTTTTAAATGCCAGCCCCGTTTTTCGCGTCAATAAATATGGAGTTTTCCCTTTTTTTCCTAGCTGGTTACAACTTCTATGGCACAGAAAGGATGTACAGTGGGACAGATGGCAGAGAGTTTGAGGCAGATATCTTTTTCGGAATTGTTTATTATCAACGGTTGAGGCACATGGTGGCCGATAAGTATCAGGTACCCAGCCCTCCCCTCCTTTCCTCCGTTGTCCTCCCCCATTCTTGTTTGAGTTTTGCACCATGCCATGGATGATGACGTCATGTTTTGCGTGTCGTTTGTTTGGCTCACAAGGTTGAGTCACGTGGTGCACAGTGCATGCTTTTACTGGATGTCATTCACTGACATTTCTGGCGTTTGTCGGTACTCATAAATTCGCATGGCTTTCAAATCAAATAACCTACTTTATACTAGCCTTTCTATAACTATTGCGTTGTTCAGGTGCATCAGGCTGGAAAGTCACTGTAGCTTTCATTTGAATGGTCACACTTTAGAATTTAATCCGCGATCTCAAAAGTTTGAACAAGCCTCGTAAGGCGTACTAAACAGTACCACAGGAAAGTACTGCTCAGTAGCTTTCATTTGAATGGTCACACTTAAGGATTTCATCCACAGACACAAAAGTTAGAACCACCTTGTACAGCACAACAAACAGTACCACAGGAAAGTACTGCTCAGAAGCTTTGACTTGAATGGTCACACTTGGTATTTCATCCGAAGACTCAAAAGTTAGTACCACCTTGTACAGTATAATAAACATTAACACATGAACGTACTGGTAAGTAGCTTTCATTTGAATGGTCACACCGTAGGATTTCATTCGCAGACTTACAACCAAGAACCACATCGCACAGGATAATAAAGAGCACCATAAGAAAGCTAGAGCGTTTATTTGTACGGTTACATTGTGGTCTGCCGTTTAAAGAAGAAAACAAAGTTAACACTTGTTTGTCAAAGTCAAAAGTGTGGTTGACAATGTGCGACGATTCAAGTTGTCTTTTTTTTATTTTGTTCGTTTAGGTTCGAACAACAGGTCCAATAGACATTTTGACTCACCAGCCAGTACAGGTAACGGAAAAAATGTTCAATATTATCGTTAGTTATTATCATCATCATCATCATCATCATCATCACCACCACCACCTTTGTTAATTATTATTTAGTTTTATTTATAATGGTAATTGAACTGAGTGGAATGCAATTTGGTCTGAAATCATACGCGTGATTTCAAAATTGAACGAGCGCGCAGCGCGAGTTCGGTTTGAAATCACAAGTATGATTTCAGACCAAAATTGCAGGACACGAAGTTCAATTACCACTTTATTACATCCATTTTGAAATCGCAAAATTTAGTCAGTACTAATATTTTATTGATCAAGTAGCCGGTTTGTTAAAAAGCCGAAACAAAAAGGCTTTTACATCTCATTTTGTCTTCGAAACAGAAATGATGCGATATAGAACAAAAATGGTGCGATTTAAAGCAGAAATGATGCGATTTAGAACATGAATGACGCGATTTGGAACAGATGCGATTTAGAGCAAAAAATGGTGCGATTTAGGAATAAATCACACTGCTGAGAGCCAATCAGATTGCACGGATAGCCAGTGATTTCAAAGTGGATGTAATAAAAGTCGTTCTTTTTGCATCATTGGATTTTGGTGGAAGTATTATTGTGGTGGTAGCAAAATAAAATATCAAACAGTTACTTCTCCTTTTGTCACACAACCCACTAGTACGTGCTGACATCACTTTATGCGTGTCATCTGAGTGGCTAAGGGCAGCGTGTCACGTGATATTAGCCAGTGTTTTATTGGTTGTTATCGTGGGACACACTGTGTTCATTGGTCATTATGTTAACACCAACAGTCTGACACTGGACACTCTATAATATGACTTAGCATAAGATACATAACTAGAGGTAATCATTGGTTACGGATCCGCGTTCGTCACTTACGGAAAAATTACGGAAACGAAATCGAGTCGAAAGGAGTCCAGTTTCCCATCAGAGGTGCCCCTGATAAAATTAACAGGGGCAGCTAATTTGCAGTCGCCCGTGATAGCTGGAAAATTTCTGCTTTAGTGCCACAGGAACACCAGATAAGGATGCGCTCTGAAGAAAGTTTGCTCTACTTCGCCTCTCATGAGGCAACCGTAGGCCCCATCTCACAAGACTTGCACATATAATAAATTCTGTGCGATGTTAAAGAACCCGCGCACTTTTGGCAATAAGTAGGGACGTAGTCCCCGATGTGGTGGTCAGTCTCGAATTCACACTCACATGGGAACATCATTACTCATCCCTTCATTACTAGTAAACTGTACCATAAGCAGTCTGGCAAAAGTCCCTCGACCAGTGTAGTAAATTATCCCTTAAAAGCCATGAGGGGAGTGGATAATAAGATATCCACAATTTACTTTGTGTCAGGGTCGTAAAAGACAAGGTGGTATTCGTTTTGGTGAAATGGAGAGGGACGCTCTGCTGGCACATGGAACATCTTTTCTCTTGCAAGATCGCCTCATGAACTGCTCGGACAGAACAGTGGTAAGAAATGTTCGTACAAACAGAGAGTTTAAGCTTCACGTATACGGCAAACGGCACTAACGGCAGATTCAAGATGAGAATTTCTCAAAACAGAAAATGAGCAGACGAAAACAGCTGAAAACAATTCTTATGGATTAAAAAAATTACGTCAAACTTCTAATTTATGTGTAGGAATAATGAACAGTAAACGACAAGTAAAGAGGAAACTTGGTCACGTGGTACAAATTCGTGATGCTTAATCTCTCTATTACTTTAGCCAGTGACCACCATCAATTTTCTCCGAACAATATCTATGCATCTTCAAGAGAAAAGATTACGAGAACTGATAGAATGATAATCAGACAGAAAATTATTGATTTTTTATTTTTTTTTTAATCAGATTCTCTAATTATAAGAAATATTTTGGAGACTATTCTGAGGTTTTATGTGGATATTTGGGCTGAAAAGGTTAAGAGCAGTTTCACGAACCCGTGCTCTCGCGAGTGCGCACTATTCCGTAGGTTCCGAAGATTTCCGAAATTCACCAGCGACACGTAGTGACGGGGGACAATAAGAATATAAAAAACAACTGTATTCCAGTTTTAGGGCCTGTTTACATGGAGGTGGGGTAACCCGCCTGTCCATATAATCTCTCACATGGTCACCCTACCTATCACATAAACGTGATAAAATTAAAATGAGAGATATGGACAGGAGGGTCACCCCACCTAAGTGGGTTACCTCACCTACCTGGGGTCCCCCGCCTCCAAGTAAACAGGCCGTAAGTGTATCGCACTTTAAACTTTAATTACAAGAAAACGTAAAAAGATCGATCATGAAGAGCCTTGTCTTGTCAAACATGCTAAAGAGTGCCTAAGGGCTGGTAAACAAGGGCGACGTTTTAGCGATTTAAGAGAAATTCATAGTCTATTACGGCACAATTTTCATATTACTCGCCAATATTCATATATCTTAAACCTTCTATCTCCTCCCCCAGGGTCAGGTCTGCACAAAGTGCGGAAGCATACTCTCCCCTCTCCTGGACAAACCCGCCGTGGAAGTGGCAGCTGCGGCTGCGCACAAAGAGCGCAAGTGGACTTGTAAAGTTTGTGAAAGCACGGAACATATTCAGCTGTTAGCATTCCCTTACGTGTTTCGCTATCTTGTGGCTGAACTTGCTGCGATGAACATCAAGGTCGCGTTGGAAGTGAAGCGAGTTGGAAGTGAGTGAATTGTACGTGTAAAAAAGCCGCGTGGAAAAAGGCTTACTCCAATGCGGGGGGCTGTTACCCCGGTGATCAGGAATACGTCATTGTGTAAACGTCATAAAGTCTCCCATGGGGTTATGAGCTACAGAACAAAATACAACCCGTGGAGGATCAAGCTGAACGTCAAATTCGCTTTGGATGTGGAGCGAGTTGGAAGTGAGTGGATTTTAAATTTACAAGAGGATACAAGGAAAATGGTACACTCCAAAGGGGCGAGTCTGTTACCTTAGTGACAAGGAATATATATGACATTGTGTAACCTCAAAAAGGGTCTTAAGGGTTTGAGTCATGGGATCTTATAGTACCCGTTGAAGAACAAGACGTGTAAAGAGTCAGATTTGAAGGGATTATTTCCAGGAAAATGATGACTCGCTTTAAGGTGTGCTTTAAGAACAAGTTTGCTTAACATTCATACTTTGGGCGATAAGAGGTGAGGGTGAGAATAAGTTTAATGTCGACATGAAAATGAAAACTTTGTCCATGAAAACGTAAAAGCGAGATTATCAGTTACTTGTTCCAGCATTCGTACAGGTCATGGAAAACCTGGAAAGTCATGGAATTTAAGAATTTCATTTTCAAGGCCTGGAAATTCATGGAATTTCATTGACGGTCCTTGAAAGTCATGGAAAATTAAAGTTTTGTTTGGTAAATGGAAAGTCATGGAACATGATTTGAAGAACTCTGTGTTCGGCAACTCCAGGGTGTGGCTTTGACACCTTGCGGATCATGGAACATTTCAGCATGACAACCAGAGATGTGGACGTGAAAAGCTACACTAGCAATAAGAGTAATTGAAATGCTGAGGAAATCCTATGTGGGGCATCAAACTAAGAGAGTAAATTTTTTGAGTTAAATGAGACGTAAGCTTTTTGGTTGTAGCGTAACGATTTATACAGTTGTCGCCACGGGATGACGTCAAGCTGCCGTTGGGTGCCAGCCCAAAATGTATTTTAAAACCCTTCAGTTCCCAAGAGTGACTAGCATCAATTTTCTTTTAACATCATCAGCAGATCATCAAGAGTAAACATTATGAAAATTACTCAATTGATTACCAAGGGGAGAATGCTTTTATCTTACACCAAATTCTCCCAACTGTTCTTTAAAGAAATGTATGGAGATCAGTCTGGAGAATTTTTATATGGATCTTGGGGCCTTAAGGGTTAGTGAATTGAATGAAGGGGGTGATATCTTTTGTAGTTTGCCACCTTTAAATGATCGCCCAATGCTTTCAAAATGTAAGTGCATTAGAAACAGCTACCACGTTTTACAGAGTAGAAGTGCCATGAGTTCATAGAGGATCAAAGTCATTCAACTCACACGAGATTGACAACAGTATGTCAGAATCAGAGATTTTAATCACGTTAGTTTATAGAAAAGGGCAACATACAAGGTTAAAATAGTAGTTCTTCACACGACTTCCACATTTAGCCAGTGTGAAGAAGTATCTTCAAATTTTCCTGTGTTCTTTCACGTGAGTCACCCCAGTCATCTCTCAGTCAATTGTGGCTGATAATCTCATGGACTGGGGTGAGTCAGTTCAGTCATAACGGAACGGTTTCATAGTTCGTTGTCTATCAAGCAACGTAAGAAATAAACTCTACAACGTAATCAACAAGTTACCGTAAACTATTTTATGGAATAACTAAAGCGTAAAAGAGTTAACGCACTACACTGATGATTAAAATTAACGATATATATTTGTTTAATAAAATCCAAGTTAAAAGTCAAGGATTAAATTGTACTGCAGTCTTTCTTGAAGTAAGGCAAATGTTCATGCACAGTACTTCATTCAGAACGAAAACACCGTCCCGCGCAATTCTAACTTCCTTTTTTTTTCACTTAATTGTACCTTTCCGTCACGATTAGAAAACTGCAAAAAAGGTATCACAGTTCTTCGTTTCCTTAATTAAGAATTTAGGCAATTTCAAGCTGAATTCGGGTCCATTTTGGATTCGCGTCCTTATCGTTCGAAAAATGCGATTCAAAGAATACGGTCTTATGAAGCAGATTAGTCCCAACAAACATTTTTTTAAGCTCTCTACTGCTTCTCCCCATCCCAACCATTCCAGCGTTTTTGTACCGTTTTAAAAGGACGTGACGCAAATTGCACAGCTTTCGTTCTACGGAAATTACAATTATTTATAGTTAACATATTTTACGTGCGTAAAAAGAAGAATTCACAGGATTCCGCCTGGCTACTCCCTTAAGATTAACAAAAAACACAGAGAGAGGGACTCCCCGCAAAGCTGACAGTGTTGAGCTGTAAAGCGAAAACTAAAGCAACCCCCGATCTAATAATTACCTTATGCTTTTGGAACCTTTACCAGACAGCCATGTATGCGCACTCAACCGTACGTCCTGCGTTTTGACTCCCAAAGAAAACAGTCCACTGCCATGTGGTTACATCCACACCCATGCCCATCAAAACACATTGAAGACTTTCGCGATAAGCCAAAGGTGAGAGTTTGATTGCAGCCGACTTAATAATATTTGATACACTTGGTATGAATGCGACCCCGCAAGTGTCAAGCTTGATTATGAGTAGAAGGACTTTTTCTTTTTTACGTGTGTCTGTTGAGTTTTCACAAGTTCCTCTGGCCGTTCTCGTACAGAGAATGAAGAAAACACTGTATATCACAATAATTACATGTATGTTAAAACATCTTCCAGCAATGTCTTTCGAACTTCTGCGTAGCGTAAAACATTCTGAATAACTTGTTGACGACTCACAGCCCAAATCTTTCAGCTCTCTTTTTCTTTTTGGCCTAGAAATAAGAACAGAATAAACGTTTCTTAGCAACAATACAAAGAGTTTACGATAAAATAGTTACGTAACAACAGGTTTGTGTACTTAAACCTAAGTTAAACGCGAAACAACGCTGATCGGCGGCCTCCCCTGTGGCGAGCATGCGGAGTGGTCAGGGGTCTGCAGTGGGTCACGTGGTTTTACAACAACGTTGTTCAGGTCAACTCAATCTCACGTGTGCTGTGCCTGTTTTCGTTTGTGCTCAACAACTTGACTCCCTGCCCTGCCTACTTCTCTGTGGTAAGCATGAGGTAAGTATTATTGTTCCGCTGTTTTTCAGTGTGACGGTGCCTGGTGGTTGTCGCTCACAGGGTTGTCAAGGTTATCGTACTTGTCGGTTCTTGTACTTGTGGTTCCACCATCCCCAAGCTCATCTATTGTCAAGATGAGTTTAAATGACTGTTTCAAGGGGCTGTGTCATGGCAGTACAGTTCATTTTGCCTAATTTTGCAAATTACTCGCCCTCAATCGCTATGAAACTTAAAGTAAGCAAAGAAATTTCATGTAAATGACAAAATGTGAGATCCAAGACAAACAAATATGTCTCCTGAGCATTATTTTTGAAGTTGCAAGCAGTAGGGATCAACTTTGAAAGACTGTTAGGCTGAACAGTTTTCAAAAACCCTAATTTCAATCCGTTTCAATCTTCTTCAGTTTTGCCCATCCGTGGCTCCTGCTGTTTCTGTTGTGTTATTTTAACCTTCCTTTAATGTTTTAAAAGGTTATTTTTATGTTTCTCCTAATTTAACGGGCATTTTGTAATTTCCTAATTTGGCAGAATTTCGTGACACAGCTCCTTTAAGGGGCTAGGTGACGAGGATATTTCTGTGCTGAAGTCATTAATTAGTGCATTTACTCATACACAAAATGATTGTGTACAGTTATAAAGAAGAAATCAGACAAATTTCATCAGAGAGCAGCAACTTTATGCTTTTTTGGTGATTTTTGCAGGCGTAGTATGAAAACTTGGCCCAATTTTTTCAAGTTTCAATCCACGTCCATCCTTTTCATCCATAGCAACAAACAACAGGAAACAGGTTTAATATCTAAAATAATAATAGTCTTAACAAAACTGTAACATCAGTTTTGGAATTCAATTGATGTACAGACACATTTCATTTTTAGCTCTCTAAAATGATAGAAAATGGCATGACATAGTCGCCGTAGCGACACAAAACTTACATCAGCATCTGTTGATGGAGATGCAGATACAGTGACACCAAATCTTTGTTTCCTCTTCAGTAATTTATCTTTCTCTTCAAGCTGTGAATCAAAAAATATATATATATAGCTGGGGATTACTACATCATGTATAAAAGGTTTTTGCGCAAGACGCAAAAAACCAATAGAAAACAACAAAAATAGTGTTTCATTTGAGCCATGAGTACCTTGGTCACCACAGGAGAAATTGCACCAAATCTCTCAGCTCTCTGTTTAAGTTTTTCAACATCCATGCCCTGGGATTAGAAAAATGAAATAACTTATTTCCATGAATAACAGCCATCCCTCTATTAATTGCCTCCCTCAAATAATTGCTGACCTTACAAAATACAAAAGCACGAAAAAAAATCCATAGACAGAAATGTTTAAAATAATTGCCTCCTTCTAATAATTTATTGCCTCCCCCCACCCCTCTCATCATCTTCTCAATCTTTTATCCCCTTGCTGTCAAGTTTGTGATTCAGCAGAATATTGATCAGTAATGATCCAAGCGGTGATGCTGAGGATATTGACATTGAAAATTTCTCAAGGAACCAAAATTTGGAACACCCAAAAACCCATGTTCAGTTTATTATTTTGATGTGATCATTTTTTTTATTTAATGGGATAATAAACTAAATAAATACACGGTGGGACGAAGATATGAATTTTACTTTCAAGTGGCAAAACAATATTTAATGAATGAGCACAGCGAGTGAGTTAAATTTTGTTTTTGCCATGGGAAAATAAAATTCATATTTTCAATCTGCCATGTAATGTTCTTTTTATTATATAGACAAAAAGACGTTGATAAAAAAATTGATGGAAATTATCGAAATTACGTCATCAATAAACTCACAAGTGAGATTATGGAAAATAAACCACTCGGGTCCCGGATGTAGTTTTTATGAATTTTACAAGTGGTATATTTTTCAGTAAAACACTCCTGTCTGTATAATAAAACAAAATATTAAGGGCACAACTTCCAATATTTGATATAATCGCCTCCCTCAAATAATTGCTCCCTTTCTGTGCGAAAAAAAGTAATAATCGCCCCCTGCCATTATTCGAGGAAATACGGAAGAAGAAACATGCTGAGTTATGAAGGGCCTATTCTTTCGTGACAACAGGAACTTAATGACAATTACCTTTGGTGAAACAATTGGAGAACTAGTTTTGGATCCATTACTTGTAGGACTGGATAAACCAAACCTGAAAAAAGTAACAACAACTGAAAACTATCTGTTTAAACCTGAGGTAAAATTATGTACAGAAGATCATCCTGTTTATAGACACAACTTTTACGGCTGAGAAAAAAGAAAGTCTAATAAAATTCAAGCTTGTAAGGCATTTGGAACCTTAACTGAAACTGCTTGTGACCAAGCTATCATGACCTATTCATTTTAGAGCATATTTTTTGTGACTGCTACCACTTTTTACACCTGGGTCATGAAAAACATTGCAGAGCAAAACGTTTCTTGTCAAAGGGCACATGTACTGTATGATTGAGTAACGCTTTTAACAAAATTCACCTTGCCATGCACTAGCATGCGTGGGCTCATAACTCAACTTCACCATGTCCCTGTCACACACATTCACCAAGCTTAAGCAGATTTACATGTACTAACATACCTCTGGGCTCGAGCCTGTTTTTTATCAGCTTCTGTTGATGGGGAAGACTGACCAAATCTTGCCAGTCTCTGGGCCTTTTTCTATTATGAAACAAAAATTGTTATCTGTGAGTTATAGCTGTTTAAAAAATTAATTTCAAATACATGTTTTGCATTGAAGCCCTCACGAAACTCGATGTGCCACTTAAATTAAGCCCTGCTGGGTATGGTTAGAAAATGGTCAGGTGATTAGCGGCAAATATCCTCTTGTAATCGCACCGTTGTACCAAACCTTACAGTTAAATAAACCGACCCGTTGACTGGTAAAAACATGAGTGGTGAGTCTAAAATACAGGTCACGTTCCACAGGTCAGAGTACAGGTCACCATGCTACAGACAAATAAACAGTACCAAAAGTGTCTCCTAGCCCAGATGTCTTTACAAAATTATCTTTTAAATTGAAGGGAAACTGTGTGGCTAAATAATTTATCAACCTGCGGAATGTGATATGCACAAGCCACACAAACTAGCCACATTATAATCATTGGCTAAAGGGTCAAATAACATGAAATAATGCATTCACCTGTTCATCTGTCAGTTTTACTTCACCAGGCTTCTTTTCTGGAGGTGTGACAGGTACCCTTTTACTGGGAAATGGGAAAACAAAAAAAAATTAGAAATACTCTCAGAAAAGCTTTCAAAATGAGCAGTGTAATGCTACACGAACAAAGACTGTTGACAGTCTTCTTTATTCCATAAGATCATTGGGATCAAGTGGCTTACGAGCAGCCATCTTCATTTCAAATATACTCACTCTAGCCTGGGTGTGAGTATTAACATCACCTCTACTTAGCGGGGTGGGAGGAAGTGATTTCTTTCTTTTTCTTGCCCTATTTCTCTCATCTCTCCCCCCCTTCCACTCCCCACCACTAAAAATCTTGAAGCCTAAACCCTAAGTACAATAAAAATCAAGATGGCAGCCCATAACGATAAAGGCCTGACCTTCATGACGTTATGGAAAAAATAGGAGACTGTGAACAGTCTAATATGCACACTGTGGTGACAACATAAGTGCTAGGAAGACCCTCCAGGACAGGGCCTTCTCTTGTGTCAACCCCTCACTGTGGAACATTCTTCCTGTACCTGTAGCTATCAGAAGTATATGGAATGTTCAGGGTTTTAAGTAGGCTCTTAAGACTGTTTGATTTCATTTGGCATTTGTCCAATGAATCATTTCTTGCACAGTATATAATTTTGTTGTCCAATGATTGCGGTGTTTTATTTCTATTTTCTCTGGGTGTACTTTTTGTCGTATGCTCATGTTTGTCAGTTCTCTTTAGTTTTGAGCGCTTTAGAAGATTTATATTGTTTGAGAGCTACGTAAATGAAAAATCTTTATCTTTTAACAGAACTTGTTCATGTTAATGGGGATTTCAAGTAAAAGAAATACAGTACTTCCTTAGACAACTTCCAAGATAAAAAAAATACTAAACTTGTTCCGAGAGGTTTTTCTCTGGGTACTCTGGCTTGCCCCCTCTTCAAAAACCAACATTCCAAATTCCAATTTGACCAGGAATCATACCTCTAAATCTTTATTTATTTATGTTTTATTTATTCATTTATTTATTTCACTTGTGAGTACATTAGCCTTCTGGCATGGAGCAATCAACTAATATTTACGGTTATCATTGATAGAAAAATACCTTATCACATTATGTAAAATCTGAAAATTCTCTGTTGCCTGTACCTGTGTGTGCCTTATTATTAAGCATTAATTTAACAGAAAACAAATTTACATAGTATTGATATCAAGTGTATATACTGTACTTACACAGGACGAACAGGTTCTTCTTGTTTTTCTACCTCTACAGTTTCCTGGATAGTAGAAGAACATAAGTCACAATGTGAAATGACAACAAAATCTTTACAGAATATTTTTTTGGCAGAAACTATGAAGGTTATCCTGAGCAATCAAGATACAAGGTCCATGTTGTCTGCTCCAGTAGCCAATCAGAAGACAGAATTTGCTTGTCAAAATAGCCATATAAATAATATTATTTTGACCAATATTGTGAGGTCAAGATGTACATGTAACTGGATATTGGCATTGTTGCAGCTCCAATCAAGGACTAAAATTTTTCCTTGTCACATTTTCCTGGCATGATGAACATTTTTCATCTTGAAACAGCTCACCTTGGTTGCCTTATTTTCTTTGGCTTCTTCTTCGGAGTCCTCTGTGACCAAATGTTCTGACACATCCTCTCCATCATCAACATCATCTAAGTCATCAGCATCATTGTCCAGTTCATCTTCTACATCATGATCATCAGTGATCTCTTCATTCTCATCTTGGCTTACAACCACACCTAACCATTGAAAAGATAAAAAGAGGAACTGACAAATACATTTATTTATATACAGCTGCAGTTGTTAACAGAAGACATAGTTATGTTTCAGTGTGCAAAGAATGTACTGTCCGATAGCCCGGGACTAGTGGATTTTGATATCGGGCTAGTGAGTTCTGGGATCTTTTTTGAGCAATTCGAATAACAGAAGAACTGTGAAATCAATTCTGCTCGTCAAAAAGCTTTTTGGAGCTAGTTGAAATGATGTCTGGGCTAGTAAATGCGAGCTTCAGCTTGCCCGAATGGCAAGCTGTAAAAATGATTTTCTTTGCACCCTGAACATAGCAATCCCCCTATCATGAGATCGATCACAGTTAAGAGTCACGCCAAACAATGTTGTTGTTTTTTTTTTCTGGCCCCTTTTATAGTACCTGCTTGAGCTACAACTTATTCAGAAATGAAAAAGCACTAACTCTTGGCAATCCAGCAGTTTAAGAATAGCAATCGTCTCACCTTGCTCGGAAAGGCATTTCTCTAATCTTGCCAGTAGATCACTTTTATTGCCTTTTGTAGGAAGGCCACGGTCTGCAAGCTCTTTCTTTAACTCAGCTACCTTTAAACACCACAACAAATTATTTTTATGCATTACTCATTTTACTGGAGGTCGTTGAACTGAAAACATCGCTTCATACCCAGAAAATATGTTAGTTAATAAATCGTTCAAGTACATAAGAGATCTTGACAGGATTTTCACTTTTGTACTCGCTTGAACCCGTCCTTCATCAGGAAAATACTTGTTAAAATCACCGAAGGATCAGTAAAACTCATTTTGCGTACAACAAACATTACTTTGTTGTTTATCGTCGACTAAAATTTCACAACAGCTTTCCTTGAATCGCACTGTTACCTGCAACCGATCAGTCAGATTGACCGCTATCTTCGCCTGTATTAAAACTAATACCTACTACGTATTCTCTCCTGCGGGATCAACCACTATTAGCGAAAGATAGGTGAAAATACCTTCAATTTCTTGAGGTTTACAGTTGTCACCGCCGCGTCCGCCATTTGCCTTGCTTCGTAGTGCGCACGTGTCGTACACTCCACTAGCATCATGGGATGCTCTCCTCGGACGCATTACCGCTGAATATGGCGGATTGTAAACACGTTTCTTCGTGAGCGTCGCTCTTCGTTTTGACCTGAAATTTGCGTTTTCAAAATGCGGAGAGGACCTGGTGGTGTTGGTGCAATAAATAGGCAGCGTCTTGCTAAAGTAAGCACAGATTTTTTAACAATTTTACACACATGTTTTTCATGTAAGCGCCTTGAGTAAATCTCTATATCTCCCCACGGCTCTCTCTAGTGTCTGTTTTGTAGCTTTTACGGAATCCTTCACTTATATATTGTCTACCTGAGCAACTGTAACTGCATTTGGACCGTAACCAAACCGAGCCATCCTATTTTTAAATAACATTATCATATGTAAGCTTACGTACCAGTACTGTACTTCCTCAAAGAAAATTGTTCCCAGAGCTTGGGCAAGGGGGTTGGGGGATGGATGTAAAATGACCGGGTGGCCTACATTTTCAGAGAGGGGGACATTTGGGGGTACCCAATACTGCAATACTGTAAGAAAAATTGGAAAATTTTCAAGTACCCTGTCGAAACTCGACAAAATACCGATACTGCATTTATAATCAGTCATGCTTGCATCCATCCAGTGTAATGACCTTGCCAACACCTTGAGTAACCTCAGCCATTATGAGAAAACATGCGAAGATCAAAAAGCTCAGTCATTACAGTGTTCTCCCTAAATTTTAGCTCAGCAGGTAAGGAACCATTCAGGGACGGTAAGGCAAAAAATATAAACTTTTCTAAGAGGGGGGCGGGAGGGGGGAAGGTGGAGTGAGGGACATGGACCCGCCTTAACTGGGAAATTTTTTATTCCCATATTTTAAGACCTATTTTACGCAAATCTGCTGTCGTTATCTTTAGAAAACAAATTAAAACGTTTGATTCCAATAATTTTACTATGTCTCCAAAATACATGTTCCTAAAAAGGAAAGCTGCATATACAGTACTAGTACAAAACCAAAATAATGCACGCGCAAAAAGTGGCGTAAGAAGTTGCTGCGCCGCAAGAACATGCAAGCCACCGCAAGAAGTGAAAGTGCCGTATTTTCGAGGACCCTTTATGGTTTACCCGCAAGAACTGTGAAACGAAAGAAGTCAAAAATCTTCACCGCAAGAAGCTAGAAAATTACCGCAAGCCTCAAGAAGGCGCATGAAGTTCTTTATAAGTGTTAACCTGAAAGAAGTTTGTAGTGTTTGTTGCCTTTCTGTGACAACACCGTTTTGTAGCGTTGATACTAATTCACTCTGTGGCAGCAAAAGGTAATCATGAAAGTACACACGTAAAAAGTTGCCTGGGGAAGCGAACAGCTTTCTCTGCTTTTTGTGCAAAGTGAACACGTCAATCGTTTAGCTTTTCCAAAGTTAGATAAAGAGTGTGAGGCGTTTGTTTAACAAAACGATCTGTAGTTTCGAACATTTCGATTATTTGGATCATTTCATAGTACAATACCATAGTCTCGGCAAAACAAACTAAAGGCGTTGAATTTCTGCCCACAAGAAAACATGGGAATTATTATTACTTTATTGCGCGAAGTTGAAAGAGCCTTTAGTGAAAATATTCCTTACTTTACTTTAGTATGTTTTTTTTTCCGAGAGCGCTTTAAGTTGACACAGTTGCACGTGTGGTCTCAAATTACACGGCTCTTTTGCGAAACATACTACGATGGTTCCTTATTTTTTGAAGCGCTGCTTTTTTTTAAAATCAAAATTGTACACATTTCCTCGCTTAAAAGGTTACCTTTGCACAAGATAATTTTAAGAAATTCTTGTGGTTAAATTTATAACCGCAAAAGAAGTTCTTGCGTCTTGCTGGATTCAAGCGCAAGCGCCCTGCAAAAAGCCGCACGAAGTTGCCAGCTTGCGGACGCAAAAAGAAGTTCCTGAACATGCATTATTTTTGGGCTGTACGTTTTGTACCTAGGTAGCTATACTTTTCCGCATATTTATTCATTTTCTTGTGAGGATCGGATCGGATCACAACTCGCATATTTTTTTTTTAAAAAAAAATTATTTAATTTTGGTAAACCTTTAAGCAGTTGCAGGCGGTAAGAAGTGTTGCTTCAGGCGGTAAATTTTACTGGTTACCGCCTGATAAGGAGAACACTGTCATTAGATGCAACAACAACCACAAAATTTGTAGACTAACTGCCAGAAAAAAAAAACACTTTATTTGAGAGTACTGTACTGCTGGTCCAGCCCCGGGAATCAAGCCCACGACCTCCCACTCTTCAGTCAAGTGCTCTACCAACTGAGCTAAACCCACCAAAATTGTGTAATCATCTTAACAATGCCTATTGTGTTTTGTGTTGCATGTTGTATTGACCTCTATTAGACAGGAGAGCGCAAATGAATGGTACGGCAATACCATGAAAGATCTTCTTTTCTCAAATACTCTCAACCAAAATGATGAAAACCGTACACCACAAGGCTGCAATACCACATATTAAAATTTAAATAATAACTAAAATACCACTTGAAAAAAAAACATCAGTCCACAAATTATACTGTAAACCCCACTGTTATATTCCTAGACTTTCTCTTAACCAAACAGGGACAGCCATTGGTTGATTGTTGGTCACATGGCCTAAACTAACTGTTTCCCTGGGGATCTGACATTAAGTGTTTATTGTCCCCCTCCTGAAAGAGTACAGCCAGTCCTCAAAGAGTCCAGTCCAGGTATCCATCACAAAAAAGAGCAATTTTTGCCAAAGTAAAAGTATATTCCCTTTGAGTACTTCTTTATCTTTTCTATCTTCCCCCTCAGGAAAAGTATGCCTCAAAGGGAACAGAAATAGCAGACATCCAGCTGTCACAGGTAATTTCAGGGTACTCATAAGGCCATAGACTCCACATGCAAAAGTTATTTAACCATTGTTAAATTTCTTGATAAATTGCATGAATGTAGTTTTAAGGCACAAAATGTAAGCCTGTTTGACTTAGCTCAACTAGATACACCGTGCTGTCAAGACAAGTATCTTGCAGCTTTGATGTATTACTGCATGCTAACCTGCGAGCAGGATCACTTGATGTGCGAATTCAAGGAAAATTTTGGTGGTAGGGCCATCATCCAGCGAGGAAAAGTGAGCCTGCACGTGGGCTGTTGATATTTAAGTTTCGTCCCTTTTGAGGTGTCAAGATACTATCCAATAGACCTTTTTACCGATATGGCGGCCATATTGAATTAATTCGATTTAAGGAGTATTATAGGATGCCCAGGGGGCATGAGCACATTTCATTTGTATTTTCAAGAGCTTTTTGGGACATTTTTTGTTAAAGTTTTCTTATAATAAGATTGTAATGCAATAATGATCGCCTTTTTCCCAAGAAATATATAGTGAAAGACCATATTTCTAATACTAAACTAGAAAAAGGCAATCATTATTACATGAAAACATGGCACAAGGATCTTTTTTCCCATTACAATCTTATTCTAAGAAAACCTTCAAGAAAAAATGTCCCGAAAAGTGCTCAAAAATACAAACGAAATGTGCTCATGCTCCCTGGACATCCTATAATACTCCTTAAATCAAATTAATTCAATATGGCCGCTATATCGGTAAAAAAGTCTATAGGAGCAAAGCAAATGTAAATAAGAATGAGGGAGGTTGCCTGAGGAAATGTGATGCTAAACTGCATCAGAGGTCAAATCCTGTCAGAAACAAAAACCAAAGAAATAAAGATGCATGAAAAAGAGGAGGCACCTTCTTCTTGACAAGCGGCAAAAATAACATTTGCTCAGTTGGTTAAAATTAACATGAGGTCAAGATACATGTAACTAGAGTTTGCATGAAACAGACCACCTTCATGGCCTCTCAGTGTGAGACAAGTAACAAAAATAGGCTACTGAATAGTTGATTGATCCAAATTACTAAAAAAATATCCTTCATAGCATAATAAGGTCCCCTCTAGAAAGAAAACTATAAATTTTCATATGGGGCAAAAGTTAAGGGCAGGCCAACCGACACTTTGTATCGTTTTAATTTTGATGTGTGGATGTTTATAACCAGTGTCCTTGGTTTTTGTCATAATTATGTAACCTTTCAAAGCCTGTCACTTTTAACTAATTAGCTGGCTGCATTCGTCACCAAACACTAAGCATTAAAAAATTAATAACCTGCATGCCCACTAACTTTTCCTTGCTGGATGGTGGCTCTGCCACCAAAATTTTCCGCAAATTCACACAAGTGAGCCTGCTTGAAAGCTAACTGCATGCATTCTCCTCCTCTGGTTCTGTTAACTTTTCAGATGGGTAAACAGCTGGAGTCCTTCAAGACATCTCTGGAAGATTTTGCTGGGAAATACAAACAGGACATAAGGAAGAATCCAGAGTTCAGAGGGCACTTTCAGCAAATGTGTGCTCGCATTGGTGTTGACCCTCTTGCATGTAAGTCATGTTTTTTGTAGGCTATAGTTTACACCATACTAGTTTGGTGCAAGCCCAGAAATAGATCCATTATGGTAAGAATAGCTACGACCATCTCAGCTTTGGGGACCTTTTGTTCCACATAGATCCAAATTCACCAACTTCCACCTAACAGTCATTCAAGCCTTTGTTTCAAAGCAAAGCACACAGCCATCTCATGCAAATGAAACTTATATTGAAAGTGAGAATTTTTAGATCTCTGAACTCTCCTGCTCATGATTTTTACTAACATGCACCGTAAAAATTCCCGTTCTTCAGTCAGTGAAGCTTTATTTCTGATACAATTAAGTTTTGTTAATATATTATAGCAAGCAAAGGTTTTTGGGCAGAGCTGCTTGGTGTGGGAGATTTTTACTATGAGGTAAGTTTAGCAGAAGCAGGTCACAACAGTTTTACAATAACAAGCTGTTTGTTGATCACTAAGAGACATGATAAGATTTTGATTTTACTAACAGAAATAAAAAACAATAGACTTTACAGTCTTCACTTAATTTCAGTTTCATGATTCATTTTTCTATCTTCTATCTTTTATTAAAAAAATAAATTATCTCATAACTAAGCAAAATCAAACCCGAGGAAAGCTGTGGGGAGCAGATCAGATGAGAGAGATACTAATGTTGCTTGGGCGTGGTTATTTATTTTATTACATTGCATTGGGCTGTCAGTATTTGACACTGCTACTAATAACTATAATTATGTCAATGATATAACCTAAAGCTGCATTGAATTTTCCATGTTTTCTGTACTTTGCGTAGTTGGGCGTTCAGATTGTTGAAATCTGCATTGCAACAAGACCAAGGAATGGAGGTTTGTTTTGAAACTAATGAACAACAACAACAACAATCTCTTTATTCACACTATTCAGATACAAAGGCCGAGAAGAAAAAAATGAGAATACAAGAAACTATAAAAAATGAAATGATGGAAATTATATAACTATATGTACAATTTGAATCAGTGTGCAACAGCCAAAGTAGCAAAGCTTCAAGTTACTCTCTAGCTACTTTCAAGTTAAGCTTTAAATGAACAATTTATTAACAAAAAAATCCTTAAATTTGTTATTTACTCTGCAAGAAGGTGCTTTCATAGCTAAAAACAATAATCACTTAATGACTGGGCTCAATAGAGATGGTTAGAAAAGAGTGTTTTGTTCCCCTTTAACCCCCAATGTTCCCTTGGCATGAGAAGCAATTAGACAATCTCAGGGTTTTCACTTAGAATTCTAGTAGCAGGAGAAAGGTGTAACATTACAGGAGAATATTTTGAAAGAGGCTCCACGTCTGAATAAAAAGTAGTGGTAGGCTACCGAACATTTGCTGGAGAATTCTGCATAGTTAATGGAGAATTCTCAGATCTCAGATCCCTATAATGAACACCCTGCAAGCTCATCTTCAAGTCAATTTTTGGAGAGTTCCATAAAGACCTCTGTTGTTAAGCATCATAATTTTTTTTCTATACAGGTTTGATGGCTTTAGGTGATTTGCACAAAAAAATTCTCAAGACGAGCAAGTCAAGACAAGATGTGACTGAGTAGGTAGCTAATGCAGGAAATACGTGTCAGTATTAATGAATGCTGCCAGCTAAGGCAAAGGTTCTATTCACGTCAACATGGTATTATGCCTATTCAAAACCTCATCAACAATTCATAAAGAAAAAGCAATGAGTGTCTTCATATCTGATAAAGACACAGCTAAACTTAACAATGTATGTCCAATGGGCCACTTCCGAGTTCCGAAATTCCTCACTTTCAAAATGAGTCCAAGTGTACAACCTTTCTTGTGAAAATGAATTTTATTTACATGAGAATGAAAAATGATTTCCATATCAATGGCTGAGCACTTCACCTCGTTTTGATACAGAGGCCCTGAGGAACTCAGAAATGGCCTATTTTTTAGACAAAAGTAACCCTTAATCTAAATATTAGTGCAAGAGTGAGTTGATCATTATTAGTGGAAGAGTGAATTCCCAAGGCAGTAGAGTTGGAAAGAATACCCACACACAAAAAGTGCAAATGCAAAGAATTTTGCTTTCAAATGAGGCTTGGTGGTGAAATTTACTCATGTGACATAATCACATATTAAGGGCCATTTCTTGTCTTTGCATAATGTTATAGGGATGACTTGGCTCGAGCAATAAAAAAGCTTCATATCTTGGGCAGTGGTTTCCAGATCATTCCAGTTGGGAAGAAGCGTCTTGTTCAGTCAGTACCAGGAGAACTTAGCATGGATCATGCTGCTGTTCTTCAGCAGGCCCAGGTACTTGTTGTTGTTGTTGTTGTTGTTACAAAAAAAGGCAATAAGGTTAAGAAGCAAAACAACAACTTTGTATGTGCTGTGCCCTTTTTAAATGTACATTTCTTTGTGGTCAGTGCACGGCTAAGAGGGGAAATGCCAAACTTCATGATTTATGGAGGACTTAAACAAGCCATGATGAAATATTGTCGTTTTTTTTTTTTTCCAACTTGGATGTGGCTCTTCGGAATTCAACTCCAAGAAAGTTTGCCAGCACTAGTAAGTAAGTTGGAATAATCGCGATGAAAATTGAAAGAATGTGAATTCACTTTTTAAGCAATGTTTTCGCTGCCGTCGCTGTTCTCGTATCTTGAGGTCCAAATCGTTGGAATAGTTTATGGATTTCTGCTCTGTGTGTTGCGTGATTAGAATCTGAATAATCAAGATCTTGACCTTGATTTCTCACAATATCTCAAAAACCTCATTCAATAGATATTATTGGTTCAGGTAACATGTACAGGGTTGTGTTTTAATGAGGTGACGACTAGTCAGTCCCTATGCACTCAATACAGTTTTCTTCTCTTTTTTTTTCACAGGGGAATGGGTATACATCAATTTCTGTCATTGCAAAAGATTTAGGATGGGAACGGGATCGTGCCATACGAGCCTTGGTAAGTTGTTATGTATCCTAATAAGAGATCAATGTCAGTGCATCACTGTCAATTGGACTACAGATACGAGATTGAGTACAAGTACAAGTTTTCAAACTAAATTCAAGTGCCTCATATAATTTCTTTTTAAAACACCAACCTTATCCCTTGCTTTTGTTTACGATATGTACCATACTAGTAACCAACAGGAAAAAATGTATGGCTCATATAATGTACTCGTAATAAGCCAAGGTTATTCTCATAGTCAAATCATAGATTGCTATAATTTAACAATAAAATTGGAATTCTGAAGTGCACTGTAATACACTCAAAGATAAATAAAGCAGAGAACCGAAAAAAAACAAGTGGCTACCAAAATTGAGATTCGCGATTCAATTTGATGCTTTATTTATTACAGGATCACATGGTCCATGAGGAAATGGCTTGGGTAGACGATCAAGCACCCAATGAAAGATTGTACTGGTTCCCAGGCCTCTTTCCAGAAACCTAGAAGGGCCTGGAGTAGATTAGGCGTCTTCTCTACGGACAAACAGGGTTGTAAATGGAAATCAAGCCACGGAAGAAGAAAGAATTAATCAAGTGGGTGAGAAATTTCAATTAAGTTTTTTAAAGAAAGAAGACTTAACTGAAAGTTTTCACCAATTTTTTGCTTGTCGCATAGCAAGGATGTTTGAAAAGAGAGAAACTTGTCACTATAACAATGAAAGAAACAAGAGTGTTACTGTGAGAGAGGAGGGAATTCTTCTGTAGCAAGAGGGATTGTTGTATCCAATAGGATCTAGGTACCAAGCAGCTGGTTGAAACAGACCAGGGGTAGCCAAGCTTTTTTAAAATAATTGACACCCCAGTTCTACCATTTGTTACTTTAAAATGACTACGCGATTTCCCGTCAAGAAAAACGCGGGTTGCCCAAAAGCATCGCGCGTTTTCCCGCCAAGAAAATATAACATACTCCTACCCCGATGGGCTGACACCTGATTCCTCTCCTCCCCCCAAAGAGTGTACGCTGGCGTCACAACCAAAATTTCTCTGATGGATAGTTTACCAAATTTTCTTAACTATGGACAAAAACTTGAGACTGACTAGAAATGGTACACTCGGTACACGTATACACTGTGGCAATGAGGAACCTGGCGTTAAGGTCGTAAAACAATGAAAAGTATTTGATTGCAAGAGAAGTGTCCTAAAACATCAGTAATGATTGTGCCGTTGTTTTCAAAGTAAATCCATTTTATTTTCCCTCTAAATATCTCACTATGTTTATTTCCACATGGTGCATGCATTGTAATCAAAGCTTGATTAAATATGTAAAACGTTCTTCGTATAAGTAAAATAAGTTACAGTTTTGTAAGCGAGTAGTTTCTCATTACCCATGAAAGCCACTGAAGTCAGCCAGACAAGAAAGTCTTCCGCTGCTTTCTTTCGTTTGATTGTGGCTTCTCTAGTACAGAGTTTTTCATTTTTATTAGTGCTTTGTACATGGGTTAGTGCATTTGAATACCTATAAATAACAGGGTTTTTTAACGTCAACATTAAATTGTTTTTTTTAATATATGAAAACCCTATGAAGGAACGGTGGGGTAAAGAATTAAATGAAAGAACTAACCAACTCAATGACCTGCTTCCAGTTGGCTTGTTAAAATACAAAACAGACTAGTTTGTGATTTTTCGGAAACACAAACGAAATGCTCCCCCAAAAATAACGTTATACTATACTGATCAAGGTTGGATGCAGTAGAAATGTCAGTTTTTTAAAAACCAAAGGGCCATAAAGTTCAATTTTTCTTCCTTAAAATCGCTCCAAAACTAACAAGAGCCAGGTTGGCCGTTACACCTCTCTAGTATTCAACACTTTCTACAAATTGCTCGGGCAAAAGCTTATGAGTGGTTTTTAACAAAGTACAGCTTTTCAGGGGTTATTATCAGATAATAATCGGTAAAGGTAAGTTGCCTTTTGTTATTTGGAACTATGAACAAATATCTGCAATGAAATGCTCAACCGTAAAAACTCGTACTACTGAGTTGGGTTGATTAGTAAAAATGGTGCCGTGTCAGCTGTAAACTTATCTCCTTACTGATAAAACTATACGGTGAGAAGGCACCCTAGAAATGTTATTTATCATTGGTTGTTCCGACCTGTGCATTACAATCCCCTCCCTTGCATTACAATTCCCCTTCCCCCTCTCCCCGTCTCCCTCCCCTTAAACGAGACTGCTCATTTCAAGTTGTGCTAAAAGTCAATTGCCATCAAGTCCTCCTCAAAGAGCGCAATTATCAGCATAATGACGAATCCTAGGAGCAAACCGAAGTTCTGTAACAATAACGTAGCGACAGGTTCTTCTTGAAGAGTTTCGCTGTGCATCAGGTCAGGAAGCTGTTTTAAAAATGACAAAATTACCGGTTAAAACATTGGAATGCAAGGCTTACTTACTTACTTAGTTAGCAGATGACTACCGCACAGGTTGTCGTAACGTCAGTCACTGTCAACAACATTACTATTCAGGACTACGTTCACCCTAAAGGTCATAATCAACCTACTCATGAAATGACTCCTGGGTTCAAACCCTTTCACAGATTTGAACTCAAATTGCTGACACTTTGTCTTGAGGATAGAACCTTCTAGGTTTTTGTTTTCCACCATTAATTAAGGGCATTTATAGCGAAAATCCATCAGCACCGCAAGATAAAGCGCTTTTAAGTTAAAGAACGTGCGAACTTTGCGAGTGATATATCATAAACGAGCGAAGGTATTTAAAATAGCTTTTGTTTTGGGTGTCAAGGAGGAGCAGTGGCGCCTATTTGATACGTTTAGCCTGGGGAAGGGCACCTATTGAGGTAGCCTTCAAAACAGGCAAGCGAAGCGGGCGTGAAGCGCGAGACACGCGTGATGGAGGAAGGCACGGAAGAATTTTATTTCGCGCCTTACCGGTCGCGCTCGTCTCGCCCTTCACGCCCGCTTCGTGCCCGCGTAAAGAAACGCGGGAAAAAAGCCTGTTTTGCATGCTTAACTGAAGGGGTTAATCTGTCCGAAACTAGGGGCTATTTCGTACATATATATCTTATGACCTAAAAGTACTGGTAATCTCAGTAAGATAAACAGTTTTACCATGTCCACCAAAGCCACATAAAGGAACATTCCAGCAGCCACAGCAAAGATCCAGAAACGCACATCAGCTTCTTGACCAACGTATATACCAATTGCTAAGCCAATGTAACAAGACATGGCAGAAAATAAGTTGGCTAACAATGCCATCTTGACTGTCATACCGGCTGTCAGCAAAACTGCAAAGTCCCCTGTGATATAAGAAAAAACAACGATAAATTGTAAGTGTTCTGTTATTGACAGTTATTGTAGTTATCAGCTGTGAAAATATGAAGTACAGTTAACTGTCGAGAGTTGACCAATCGTGGCCGATGTTACAAATGAGTTTTAGGTTTAATTTTCTGCTTAGGAGAAATTACAGTAAGAATCCCAAAAGATTGACCTCCTTTAAATAACTCACATTCTTTCATGCAGACATTAACCAATCAGAATTCGAGGACAGTTTCCAGCTGGCCTCTCATTGGATTAAATCTGTGCCAAAGAATTTGAATAAATCAAATGGGCTCCTTGTTGTAAAGCAAAGGTTATGCAATTTGTTGTTGTTGTTGTTGTTGTTGTTTTTGTTTTCGGGGGGAGAACAAGGTGTATTATTGATTACGTTTAGGTTCAGCTGCTAATGATGAATTCGTACGAATTATAGAAATATCGTCTAACGTTCAGCCCAGTCAGATACGTAACTAAAAATTAACATCTTTACCCAATTCATGAGGCAGCTCGTGACAAAACACAGCAATAGAAGTACTGATTCCACCAGACACACCCGAGCTTCCACCTTCTGCGAAAGCGGCACCAATGGCCAATCCATCACTGATGTTATGGAGAGTATCTCCTATTATTATCGTCCATGCCACAGTGGAAATGTTTCTGAGTGAAACCTTTGCCCTTCTTTCCTTGTCACTGACTGCAGAATGGCTTGGCAAGCTGTCTCTGTTTGGATGGTCTTGTTGAGCTCCACCCGTGTGATTTCCAAGGGTACCTATGGCATTCTGTTCAAGAGTGAAAAAAAATCTGTTTTTGATATCACCACACACAAGTTGCTTTTGTCGTTCATTGGATAAAGAATCCTATCTTCCCACCATACGCCCACTGGTTCACAGTACCTTAGGACCAGAATCTTAGGACTTAGAGCCTCTCTCCTCCCCAGAGGCCTCTTCGTGTTGTGGGGAGGCTGGGGAGAATTTAGTAGTAATACGAAGGCGAAGGCTCTGGAATAACATGTTAACGAGAATGAGTACTGCCTTGAACAAGCTGTAGGCATATCTAAATGTGAATTGGCCTTGAAATTGAATAATGGTTGTTGTCTCCTTTAAAAAAACCTTTGAGCTCTTATGTACCCTTTTAGAGGGTATGTTTAAAACAATAGCATGTTTAAAAATTCCATCGGCGCGAAACTTGATAAAACACGCGCTGGATAAAACACGTCCCCAAATTACTAATATTATACCATGTCAGAAACTCATAATGGGTTTCTGACCATGTAAATTGACCTAAATTGATGCGGCATAGTGAAAACACAACCACATCTCCGCCTCGCACCCAGGCGCTTCTTGGGATATTTTGAGGTAGTCGCTGCACAAGGAGTCATGGGAAGGCAATCGCGCTCCCAGGGTTCCCTCTCTTGCCTCGAGAAAGAAGCAGGAGTGATAACCCTGGGAACGAGGTTGCATGGAGGAAAGTGGAAAGCTTATTACGTTGAGCCTTTCCTTGTGATTGTGTTTTTGACGCTTTCCCATGATCCTTGCGCTGCGAGCCAGGCCACATCTAAGGGTCTGTTTACATGGAGGTGGGGGACCCCAGGTAAGTGAGGTTACCCGCTTAGGTGGGATCACCCGCCAGTCCATATAATCTCTCATTTTAATTTCATCTCGTTTACTTCATAGGTAGGGTGACCCGCCACATGTTACCTCACCTATCTGGGATTCCCCACCTCTATGTAAAGGCCCTAGCAATTGCACCAAAAACGTGATTGATTCCCTGAAATACATATGTGCTATGTTTAATGGTTTGTACTCACTACGTTTGTTAGAACAATGGCACCATTATTCATGTGGGGGTTTTCATCACGAGGCCCCATCTTGGGACCGTTCTTTTCCTGACCTGAAGGGCTAGGAAACTAAAAAGTAAAACGGAAGTACCAGTAAGTGTCCGCGAAGATCTTCGGCCCGTAAAAGGTTATAAACACTAGTCCTATCTAAAGCCAAGGGAACTGAAAATTTCCATCCTTTTTAAGGAACAGAGACGGAAACTAATATCCTAGATAAGGAAAACGGTTAACGCAAAAATCATTGACCGAATGGTGTTTGTTTCTGTTGTTTACCTGGACATTTATAAAGCGTAGAATTCTAAAGTGAAGCTAGTTAAAAGGCCATTTCCGTGTTCCCCCGGGCCTCTGTTTCAAAACGAGGGTAGGTTCTCAGCCTTTGATATGGAAATCATTTTTCATTCTCATGCAAATAAAACTCATTTTCACAAGAAAGGTTGTGCACCTAGCCTCATTTTGTAAGTGAGGGTTTTTGCAACTCGGAAGTGGACTATTGTTTTGATATTGTTTAGTTTCCTTTACACTGAGCGACCTGAGTCCTATTAGAGGAACACAATACCCAAAATAATTCATAATTGTCACTGATAAAGGACTGAGCGCCTGGAAAACCATGCACGCCACGCACATCAATAGCATGAATGTGGGAGTAAATCTTTGAGCTTTGAGTTCAGGAGAATTTCTGCAGTTATTGTAAAAAATAATTGATTAATGACCTTGACATCAATGTGACTATGGCCTCCATGATCACCAACTTTCTTCTTCATACACAAATGCATTAAACTTTCGAACAAGAAAAATCCATAAATGGAAAACAGCACCACCAATGCTTTCCAAATGAAGCCCTTCTCTTCTGAATGATCGTCATGGCCGTCACCTTCGGCTGTTTCTTCATGTTGGTGGAGACCAAATGCCTGATCGCAAATTAATAAAATAAATTATAGGCTGAGTAAATCACAGTTACGATTTGACTAGAAGGAATAAACAAGCCTAGCCCCGAGATAAGGCTCTCCCGTGGCTCCGAGGGGTAGTGGGGGTGGGAAAGGCATGCTCGCAGGGTGAAACTAATTATAACCGGGAATGTAAACCTCTCGGATGTTTCACCTATCCAGGGCAGGAATATAAATTTAGCAGCTAGGTTAGGCTGCCGTTTACCTTTGTTTTAATCGCAGGTGTGATCTATAATCACGCATGCGATATGGATTCTATCCAATCCGTGTGCATGACTGTGAATTCTAAGCTAGCGTTTACGTTAAAATTGACCTTTTTGTTTAATTACATGCATTTCACATAAAGATAGATCTAAGAAGGACAGAATCAGGTTTCCGCGTGAACGTAAAAGTCTAACCACGCTCAATTTTTACGTTTACGCGCAACCTTTCATATATTTGTTCTATTTTGCTTTAATGCGCACGCATAATTTTACGCGTACACGCACGTAAAAATTTCGCAACAGTTGAAATCCATCTCAGTCCTTTATTTTCTGCGCTCTTTAATGAGAAAAGAAGCCCCAAAAATTGGAACATGCTAAATTTCTAGGCTTACATGAGGTATCAAGTGAAGTAAACTGTCTCCAGCGAGAGTTCCGACAGCAAGAGCCACCAACATTGCCAAGATCTTCTTGTAAATTTTTTTTCCCAGTAAAGGAATAGTTGCCACGCCCACTAAAGATGTGAGGCTGATGATAGTCACAGCGGCAAAGCCATAACCCCAGACTGGAGATAAGAAAGTAAACCAAAGAAGTCAGAGATCATTGGTTGATAGCCTAAGTGTTTCCCAAGACGGGAATGTTGTTTTTTTGTTAAAAAAGTGTGTTACTGAAAAAAGTCTCTTTTTTTCGGGGGGGGTGGGGGAGGGTACCGTACAATACTAAATTACAAATTATTACTATCATACAAATTGCCAGCAGTAAAGAAATTATTAATGAGACCAAAAAAGAAATGACCGACGGAAATGCGCCTCATCGCAAATGATCGAATATGACTTAACTACGAGCAGTCTCCCTTTTTTTTCTCAGTCCGTCGAGAAAAGCGCGACACCCGAAACTGACTGCGCATTACTGAAGGCGCGAGATGGGATTGGCGCAATGACTGCACTGTCTTTTAAGTACGAAATAATCAGGAAACCAGAACGCTTTCTCGGCTTTTCACAGTCATAAACCCTGTGGGCATTTTCACAGACCGAAGTGACCCATTTCCCTACCCTTTCATACACTTCTACTAGTGAAATCCCTGTTCTCTCATGTTGCTGAAGCTTGAGCCTCCCCGTATAGGCCATTATAGGAAGTACCCCCCTCTTGGGGGTTGAAGTCGGAGCAAGCAAGAATACTTACTTTTTCCCATATCCTTATGATGTTCTGTTTTTGTTTGGCTTGACTGTTGTTTGCAAACTCCGCTATGGGCTTGTTGAACAAAAGCAGGGCAAAGCTGTTTGAAGTCATAATCATCTGCTCCAATGGAGTGATCAATGTCAAAAACTGTCAGCATCTCATCGACTGAGTAACACTTGACGCAAAAAAGTAAATAGAATTAATACTACACGATAAATCATACTGATTTGTTTGCTTGTTTAAGAATGGGCTTTGGGCGCAGGTCCTCAGTGGTGTTTAAGCAACTGGGCCCAGTTGTTCAAAGCTGGGTTAAGATAACCCAGGGTTAGTGCGAGATTTGAATTCAGATTTGAAAGCTTAAAAAGCAGGTCAGTCTTAATTCTTTTGGTACACAAGTTGATGATTGGAAGCTCTAAAAATAACTGAGAAATGATCTGAGAAAATGCTTTTGAACACAAGAAAAGGAAACCCGGGTTAAATTTAAGCCCAGGTTAAGCGCTAATCGGCCTTCGAACAACCGGGCCCTGGGCTATAGCCTTAGGCACTTTCATCACCTGGTAGCTTATGGTAGAAGAACTGAATAAAATGAAAACGAGAATATCACTGAGCTAAAAAATGTGGCTTAGAACTCGACGGAGAGTGAAAACAAGTCAAGACCACATGTTTGATTGTTCCTGTTGGGAGAGCACAGAAGTGTTTTACATATTTTGTCAAGTAGCTTGCATTGAACCACAATTAAAAGAATCTTGATAAATACTTTTTCTGCAAAATCTGAGGCAGCGTTCACACTTTGTACTCGCTGGGGACTAATGTGAACATACTCTTTTTTCAAGTAACCGGGTCCCTCTGTTCGCACTATCTTTTGTTCGTTCTGTTGCAGTCCACTGTTTTGTACTCGGTCGCTACTAAGTTCACGTTTCAAAATAACATCTGACCATGCGAAATGGAGTTATGTACACGGTTACCAGTGCCGGTTCCAGACCTTGAGATAAGGGGGAGGGGGACGGTCATCCAGACCCTGAGATTAGGAGGGTGGCTTGGTCTCCAAAAATTTTTATTTCGCCTCTTCGGGCCTAAGTTTGGTCTGAAAATAAGGGGGCGCCCCGGGCCCCTCCCCTGGATCCACCACTGGTTACATATCGGGTACTTAAAGTGTCAACAAAACACCATTTTGTGCTGGTACCCAGACACTGGGTCCCGGGCACCTAGTGTGGACAGCCCCTGATACTTACAGTGCCATTTCCGCCATGAGCGTGATCATGCGGATCAACTGCCCGACGATGAACGCTGTGCGACTCGGCTAAGTTCTTCTGCGGCAAAACAGCGGATACCTCGGCAGACCTTCGGCGTCTGTGATCATGCCCGTGATCGAGGCTGTCACTTGAAGATGAGGCTGTCGACTCAGAGGATTTCTTTCCAATACCAAGACTTTCAGCGATGCTTTCTAAGACTTCTTCAGTCAGGTACTTTTTGCCATTGAAAAGTTCTTTAATGAAGGATTCTTTTGATGGTAGATTAGGTTTGGTCTCGTTGTGTCCATGACCTTCCTCGATACAGTATCCTTTAACTAAGTGCAGGATAATGCTGGCACAGGCTTTCTCAAAATCATGTTGATCAAGAACCTTTTCTTCATGGCTGTGTTCATCTTCCGTGTGATTATGGCCTTCCTCCTCTCCCTCTTCTATCTCTTTAAAAATGTCTTCTGCTGAAAAACACTGGTAAAATAAATGCACAGAACGTCAGATATTTGATAGTTTGATGGCTTCAAGGCATACAATCTACCACATGCGCTGTAATGTCGTGATGGATTGTATGCCCCGTGGAGTTTGAGCGATTGTCGCTTGCCACCATGCAATGCTTTCCAAGTGAAGTCAGTACTCAACTTCGTGATTGTGAGAAATGATAAATACAATGATGGTGATGATGATAATGATGATGATCATGATTTATTTTATCCTTAGCCGGCAGCGATTATTTCTTTTTTCTCACACATTTAGTCGGCGTTTTTCAAAACAAAGCTACCCAAAATACACTGGCGATGTTCTTTCGAAAATTCTTGAGGAAGAAAAACACAATTATCAGAAGTTTTGTCTGAATTTGTGATCTTCCTGAAATTGGGTGTCCTGTGGTGAAAGTTGAAAATCTTTATTGCCAATTTTTTTCATGTTTCACCGAACCGATTTTGGCGGATTTTTAGTATTCCACAATTAAATGACGTTGACAAAAATTCTGCTGCATTAGTTTGATGCTAAACCACAATTTGACTGGACCAGATTCCCTTTGGATTCCCTCGTAAAAAGTGGATTAACTTTATTGATATGCATAAGGGTCGAGTCCATGATGTCACCAATTGTTATAACTTAGGGAAAGTGCCTTCCTCCATACCAATTCGGTGTAGGTTTAGTGATGAGCGTCCCTTATTCCTATTTCTCTTAATAGACGTTTAAACCGGGCTCAAGTTACTTACCGGGCAAGTCTAGGCAAGCCTATTGTTTCTGTTGTAGTAGAGGGATGCTCATTAGCAAGCCTATACCGAATTAGTATGGAGGAAGGCACTTTCCTTAGGTTATAACAACGGGTGACGTCATGGACTCGACCTTTAACGCATACCAATAAAGGGAATCCAACGGGAATCCACCAACGAGGCTTAATCCTAATGAAACATGACTACTACTGTACACGTAGCTTAGTGGTAAGCAAATGCTCCAGATGATGGCATGTGCTGGGTTCGATTCTTGAAAAACTTCTTTTTTAAAATCTTTTTCCTTTATTTTCTTTCTTTCTCTTTGTTGCTATTGTTGTTTAGTTTTGACTGTTAATATTTTCCCTTATATTTTCTTTTCCCTGTTGGCTTATTTCCCTTTCTTCCTTGTTCTGGCTGTTAGCCTCTGCTGCGCGAAGTTCTGCGATGCACGTATTTCTAGTCCAGAGTATTCTAAAATGAAAATGTATGGATACCAAGCCAGTTATGTGCATAGTCATAATATGCCGCACCGAATGTTCATTGTTTTTGTTATTCAAATGAGCCATCCATGGAAACAAATGAGCCTTTGGCTATGTTCGTAGTTACCGGATAGGTCTGTTCACACACAAGAACGGTGATTTCGGCGCGATGTCTAAAAGAGCTAGTGGAATGGCGATTCCAGAATCCTGGCTGCCCACTCCATCGACAAAATAGCAGCCTATCGATGCAACAGTTAGGATCGCTAAGGAAACACCTTTGTAGCGCGTTTAAACAATGCTGAAGCTCAAAATCCATGAACCATGAGTGCGGATCGAAATGCGCCAATCACCTAACAACCATGTTGTTATTTATATTTTAAATTAAAGATGACTCACGCAAGTTGAAGATAAAAACATGGGCTCCTGGTTAAAAATAAATGTTGTTCATTATCGAGGCTTTGCAAGGGCAATAATGATAATGATGATGACGCTGATGTTGTTGATGATGATGCTCAATTTGACATTTTTTTGAGTGCCTTCGCCAAAATAACCTCTTCACAATTAGGTCATTTAAATGCGAATAATCTGCAAACACACTTATCATACTTTACTCCCTTTTGCTTTGTCATCATTTTGCCCAGAACTTTTAGTTTCTGTTTTTTGATTGTGTTCTTTGTTTGAGTTTTTTTCATGTTTTTAAATATGTTGCGTATTAATAAATTAACTAAAAGGATGTCTAAAAGTAAATTTGTTCTACCACCTTAAGAATTAATGTCTGTAATGTCCTCACTACTATACATTCCTTTCATCGTTTCGTTACTTATTCTGACCGATTTCGTTTGAAAGTGCAAGTTAACAATAAATGGTAAAAGTTTACCAACCTTCTTTTCAGTTAAAAAGTTTCCGATCGTCTTGTTTATCTCCTCGAGAATTTCATCGAGAGCTTCGTGAGTGATCCCGTGTTCGCCATGACTGAAATTCCTCGTAAACAAGTCGAAAAGTTCGCTGTGATTCCTGGGAGAATCGCAACGTTGTTGACCAGAATTCTTTTCACTCGCAGGCAAAAGGCAGTACACAATCGAAGGACTGATCTCTGCGAATTCCGAGGAATTTAATGCTTGTGACGGCGGGGATCCAGAAATATTGTGCAATTCTGTAGGACTGAAACACTAAAAGAACAAAGCGTGAAAGTGAATGATATCGACGCACAAAGAAAACCTTCGTGGTCGGAGACATTAAAAGAAAAGGGCAGCTTCGAAAATCTGTCCGACCGAAGATCTGTCCGACGGGGTAACAAAAATCAGTCCAGTTATCCCATATTCTTAAACGTCTAATTAGTTATCAGAGATATCATTTTCTAGAAAGTTTTACCCGAACTACGTCGATTGTACTCCATCTAAGATTTAACGAAGCTCTATGACTTTCATTTTAACTTAAGTAAGTTTATCTTTTTTCTCTTGGCCATTTGTACCAACAACACTTATGTTACCTTTCGGTAATCCAGACTCGTTTTGTTTTCAGAGCAGTTCAAGAAATGCAGCTTGTCAAATAGCCTCTGTAGATCATCTGACTTCAAGGAATCGCCATTGACGGCGTCCTGCAGTTCTTTAAAGGAATAATGCTCATGATTTCGGCTTTCATGTGAAGAGACAAACACATGAAGCGACAATTGCATGTACAAGAAAAAGGCAACTTTTACGGAAAACATTTCTTTTTGGACGTAAATCATCTCTAAACCTTCACGCGACGCCTCTCGTTTCCAACTAAAGTGCGTCATGTTATAAATTCCAGACATAACAAGTATAATAGAAAAGTCAGTCATGTGTGATCGGCCACTACAATATAAGAGAAACCGCAGGTCACATTTGCTGAAACTAGTTTTCAGTAATAACGTAGCTTTTTTCAATCTTGTACCCCTGCAAGTGTGTGGCTCAAAGGCCTGGTTTCAATCTTTTTAATCAAACTCCGGACGTGTTTCTTTAGAGTATATGTGCACCGCATTTTAGCTTAGTTCCAAAAGCTTTATTATTGTTAATGACCCGTATCAATTCATCAGATATCAAAATGACTTCTATACAATCTATAAACCTCCACGGACCACCGACTCACTTGAGTGAAACGGGAACAATGCGCCAGAACATTTCTTCCGAGTCCTTTTTCCACGAACATTAGCTAAGACGTTCACCCTCACCCGCGCGCAAATACGTAAAGGTGCAAAGAGTAATTACCGAATCTAACTATGAACCTAGGAAAAATCTTTAAGAAGGAGAAGTTGAAGCTAGAAGCTAGAAATTAACATGCTACGAACGATCGTAGTAAAAATTGGCGCAGATGATAGTGAGGGAGAGGAGAGTGTGGCAGAATCATGTACAGACGCACGCACGAGCGTACCCTAGAAAAAAAACGAAAGGTCTCTGAAAACAAGGCAAAGAGAGAAAACGAAAACAAAACAAAAGTGATAAAATGAAGAGACATAAGGAGTTGGAAAAAGCACTTTAATCGCCTTAAGTGTGGGTTGGAATGTTGAAAAGAAAAAAAAGAAATGAAAAAAAAAAACCAAAGAAAAACTACGTGAGAGAATCTTGCCCGCGTAGCCAGCGGAATTGTTTTTGCGAGTGGGTTTTGGTGGCGAAGCTGCCATACATTTGAGGATATCGTGGCCAAGCAGGATTCCGTGAGCTTATCCCTCTCTTTACTCATGATCAACAACCTACTTTGAATTATTACAGCGAAATCAAGGGCTCCTTTGTAATGGTAACTGGGAAGGGGCCATATCTGCTGTGAAAATCTACTCCCTTTTTGACTGACGTGCAGTGTTCTTTTTTCAATTGGTGTACAGTCCGGTCCAGGCGAGGGTTTCTCAAAACTTCCAAAGAGTTTTCGCGCCCGGAAAGTGTTTTTTCTTATCCATTTTTAACTATCTGGGGGAGTTTTTGTGCAAAGTAGGCCAACATGCTTCTCGATCTTGTACAGCTTTCCAATTTTCTCATTTGAATTTTGTAAAAAATCGCATCTCTGGAAAGTAAAAGCAGAGAAACGCGCGCCAAGATCTAGAAAAATACCAAATGATGACAATGCCGGGGGTGCGCTAGTTGCTGCGTGACATGAAAACCAGCTCAAGTTTTCCTAGAAGTAAACACACCGGAAATAAACTGAACTGAAGACCCTCGGTTGTGAGTTTGATCCGTGCCATGCTATCCGTACAATCTACTATGGCAGCTGCTAATTCTAGTCGATGGTTAGTGGCAGTTTTGGATTCTTTTCAAAGACTGACCAAGGTTAGCTGTTTGCGTGCTTGTTCGACACTTTTCTATGCCTGTGACCCACAATAATGACTGCTATGTCTCGTCTACTCAGTTATAGTTGAGGATTTTAGTCCTTTGTCTCAGTTTTGGATTCTACTCAAGTGCGTGCTTGGTACGTGCTTCCCCGAGGTACTTGCTTGGAGTATACGTGCACGAATATTAGACTGCCGCAATCCCAATCTGCAACCACCCATTATATATACCTAATATGAACATTGTGGACTTTGTAGTCAGTGTGAAAGTTCTGGTTATTTCACTCTGATAATCGGTTATTTTAGTCTTTATTACTTATTACGGGAACTTAAGTGTGAGGCTGGATATGTCTTTCGTAAGTCGTTTTATTTATATGCCAGAAAGGTGCAATCTGTACGTGCACTACATTTTAGACTTCCGCAATCCAAATCGACAACCACCCGTATCCATTAATGTATTTAAATACCGCAAACAACCTCCCACATTTATAAGCCTCGCGCTAGTTATAGGCCCATCTATCTATTGTAGTACCTAGCCACTACCACTTCTCCTCGCTACTCGCCGCAAGGGACGTTCCGCCAGGAGGAACGTCTGCGACTCAGCGGCAGCAATTCCATACTGATGACTTAAATCAATGTTTACATGATAAATCCGTTAGTCATTAGGTTCCAAATGTAAATTTGTTTGATTTTTTGTTTTTCCTGTTCTTCTGCGAACGAGCCGCAGCAAAACTCACATGCTTTTTCTAAAGAAGAATATATTCTAGGAATATTGACTGTTTTGTGGTAGATTCATCACGTTTACACTTGACTTTGTGGCCTTTTGGCTTTCATTTGTAAACAATATAGGTAAAACAATACAACTGCTACGTTAGTCTGCTACACAGCCGTTTTTAGTGTCGTCACGCAAGTAGGGAGGAGCGTTGCGTGACGACACTAAAAACGGCTGTGTAGCAGACTACTGCTACGTCGACTAATCAGAGCTCCTGACCAGATTCCGGACAGATTTTACGTCATCGGTATGGAATTTCTGTCGCCGAGTCGCAGACGTTCCTCCTGGCGAAACGTCCTTAGCAGCGAGGGGAAAGGAGAAACGACTGTATTCGCAGGCTATAGTCCAGTCAAATTGTGGTTTAGCATCAAGCTAATTGCAACAGAACTTTTTTCAACGCCAGTTAATTGTTGGATGGCTATTTAACAACATACTAAAAATCCGCCAAAATCGGTTCGGTGAAAGATGAGAAAAATTGGAAATAAAGACTTTCAACTTTCACCACAGGACACCCAATTTCAGGAAGATCACAAATTCAGACAAAACATCTGATAATTGTGCTTTTTTTTTCCCGCAAGAATTTTCGATACAACATCGCTAATGTATTTTGGGTAGTTTTGTTTTAAAAAACGCCGATTAAATGTGTGAGGAACACCTGGGTCAGTGTTTCGTCCTGAGGGCTTGGCACAGGTAACGCAGCCACTCGTCTGTCTTCATATTCTGTTTTTTAAGCTTTAGTTTTTTTTTCTTTGACGGAATTGAAAAGGGAATTATTAGTCAGTCTGTGTTAACATGGTTAAAAATAGTAGTAATTGTTTTGTTTTTTTTTTGCGCAATATCAGAAATGCAGTACGTATTTTGGCAGTATCACAGGCTGGTAATTTTTTATATATCCTGCAGCACGAATGCAAATTCAGTAGATGACTGATGGTGAATAGTTATTTTGATCACCTACTGTTGGCTACTAAATTTGCATCCATGCTGCAAGATACGTGCGACTAAATGTGTGCAACGGTCGATAGCTTTGTATCAGTACAAACTCTTTATTTTAATAACCTATTCCCATTTTCTGTAATCGAGTTTTGTAAGTTAGTTATGTTCAAACCTTAGACACAATATGTGTGACGAAATCAGGGACTCTTTTTTTTTCTCGCGACATGCGCAACCTCCTTTAGGATTATGACTCCGTGCTTTACAATGTGAGTGAATAAATATACTGCTAAGGATTCCGTCGATTTGGTTTTTGGTAGATCGTAACGCCATGCGCTTTTCATTCTGTTGTAAGGGAAATCCAGAAAACCAAGGGCAGTGTGATTGTTCTTTTTTTATCTTCTTCTTGTAGCGAGTATCAGATTTAGTTTAGTGTATCTGTTATAATTAGTCACTTTGTATTTTCTGCAACAGCCCTTCATTTCAGGTAAGATGAATAAGTAGATTAATCGCTCTGTGGTCTAAAGGCGTTTATATTCCCTCCTTGCATTCCTTTTGTGAGAACAACCCTGAACCTTGACCAGTTTTTTTTCGTCAATTGGCACATGAAGACCTCTTTTTCTATAACGATCATGGGATCTTATACGTCTGAAAATAATTGCAGTTATCAATGAAGGCGCGAAAGTACTGGACATATGTACGACATTAATGGGCTTGCCTGACTTAGCTTCTGATGGCTCACCTCTTTTTGCGGAACCATTGTTTCTCTTCGGATGAGCGTTGTGTAACACTTGAACTTAGTGCATGTTAACCTTCTGACTGAGTTGTGTGAATTATGCTCTGGGTGGGGAATTTCCATTACACCACAGACTATTACAAGATATTTTTACATACGCATTGTTTTGGTTACCCAAAGTTAATCTTTCCCTTAAAAACAAGCTTCCCTACTATACTATTTCGTTTCCTTGAAACAAACGTTTGCTGGAACCAAAGTTCTTATGCGATGAATGTTCTGTTAACCCTTATAATTTCTTGGGGGGAAGGTAACAACACTTTTCCTTAAATGAAAACGCATTTCCCTCTTATCAAACTCATAGGCATTGGAACTTGACCTGTTCAAAAACTTTGCATTGTTGTGCATTGTAAAGAACTAGTAAAACTATCCTCCCCTCTTCTCCTATTCACTTATAGAAGAAAACAAAAAGCTTCAAAACATTTGTATATTTGAGCATGTCGATACGTTAACGAAAATTAATGTGAAGGTAACCGCAAAAGCCAAAGCATTATCTTGCTGGATATTTGAAAACGTACCAAACGAAAAGTGCGGTCTTTTGACTGAGAAAAAGACCAAAAGCCGAAGGCAAAATAAGCCCAAAAATCCTGCTAGAAAAGAACGAGGAAAGGGAAAATAAAAAGAGCGAGGAGAAAGAAAGGACGAGGAGAAAAAAAAGCAATGGCTGCACTCCTAGTTTTTATGTTGACTTCTTTGGAGATAGTTTTTGAAAGAAAAAGGCTGTTTTAGGGGAGAGGTCTATTTAGGCCGGAAGGTTATTAAAAAGTCCAGCTCTAATATATATAAATTTTTCTTACCCTTGCGTCTAATAGAAATCTGAAAAAAACGGATACATTTTAAAAGCTAATGATTAAGTAAACGGCTTTCATTTTTCAGGTTTAAAGCCTTACGACTAAATTTTTTGTAGTTTTACAGCCAACAGTTCACTCTATTACTCTGTAAGCCTCCTGTTATTTTGGAGTTCCTTGAGTGGAGCATGGGCTTCCTGTGCAAAAGCCAACGGTGTTTAATATTTATTTTGTTTGAAAAAAAGAAACTCTTAATGTTATTAATGTTATTAATGTTATTAAAGTTATTAATGTTATTAATGTTTTTATCACCGAAAACTAGGTAGCAGTTATTATTTTTTCTTTCACTTTTCCATAAAAGTAACAAACACATTTTGCGCATTTTTTGTTGGAACGTGTAATTTCAGCTAACGTGGGAGTCCTGTGTTAAAAGCTAAAAATATTTAACGCTTAATTTTGGTATTTTGCAACGAACTGATTTTGGCGGATTTTTAGTATGTTGCTAGATAGGTCACCCTTACTTAAATTGCCTTGAAAACAATTCTGTTGCAATTAGTTTGATTTTGAGCCTCAAAAATGCCTAGATTTACTGGACTACTACCTCTCTGACTTGTAAACAAAAAAATACATGTGATTATATAAAGCCACCCTCTAGCTTGTATTGAAATGATCGATTTATTTATGACGTGTTGAAGCCTGAAACCCGTAAATGCAAAATTATTGTTAGCTTCACTACAAGAATAGTCACGAAATTTCGCCGCGCTATCGTCCGATCATGTCTTTCCTTTTACACAGCCGGTTACTGGTCGTTGGGGACCGTAGTCTACCTATTTAAAGTCACGTTTTCCCTCTTTTCGCGAAGTTTTGTTTACGAGAACCACTAGCACAATTTTTTCCCACCCTGCTCCCCTTCGGCGACGTGTATCCGTCTGCCTGTGTATTTTCTGCTCATTGCCTGGGCAAAATGCCCGGGGGGCAAAATGTTTTCCCCAAAACTTAACTATAGCTCGACATTGAGTGGCTATTGTCGCATAGACTGCTTGCAGTCCGCCTTTTCTCTTAAAATCCG